TTAACTTAGTATACTTACTACTAAGTTAAAGTCTAGACTTTTATTATAAAAAGTTTATATATAGTAACTACTTTATAATAAGTATTAAAAGTAAAGGTTATTACTCTATTCTCATAATAAGCTTCAGCTTACCTAGACTAGTTCTATATAATAGAGTAGTCTTTCTTCAAGAAAGTAAAGTATACTTTATAAGAGCTTCTTTTTTTTAAAAAAATTATTTATCTTTAGTTTAGTAGATATTACTAGTATACTAAGTATATCTTATACTTTTTTTATAGTACTTAGCTCTATATCTTTATTATTAATACTTAAAGTACCTTATGATATTTACTTTAGATATATATCTTTTATATAGCAAGTATTAGTTCTTTTATAAGAGACCTCTCTTATAGAGTAACTTTATCTTTTTAATAGTAGCTACTTCTAAAATAAGGTTTACTCTTAACTAGTTTACTTTATCTAGCCCTACTAACCTTATATAAGTAGCCTTAACTATCCGGACTCTAGATCTTATACTTATTTAGTCTAGGAGCTTTATAAGCTTTATGCTTTAAATAGCCTTAGCTAGAAATCTCTTTACTAGTACTACTAGTATTCTCTTTACTACCTTAGTACCCTTACTAAAAGTACTCTTAGTCTATTTATTATCTTTATAAATTCTATTTATTACTTATTCTTAAATTATATATATATATATATATATATATATATTTTAATGGTAGGATTTATACTATAATAGCTATATAGTCTCTATTTATAGAAAAGCTAAAGTTAATAAATATAATAATTTTTATTACTAAGTAATCTTAGAGCTCTTTATTTATAAAGTAGCTATAGATTATTAGTTTATAGAATTATTAAGCCAGAACTATCTATTTCTTTCTTTTATTAGCTTTATATTTTATAAGATATTTACCTAGGTTAGAGGTACTCCCTTTTAAGACTACCTATCTAATAACCCTTTACTTCTCTTACTTATTACTCTACTAGACTTTCTAAGCCTTTTATTAAAAAATCTTTAAATATTCTCTTTTATTTATCTTTTTATTAGTATATTATTTCCTTCCTCTTTTTTTACTTAGTAGTTAAGTACTTTTACTATATAACCTTTATAATTCTTTCAATACTTTTATTCATAGTAACTAAAAACTAGACAATTTTAATTAAAGCCTTTTTAATAATATTTATATATATTACTTTCTCTGATTTTTTTCTATTAGTTTTTTCTATAGTTATATTTATAGTATTTAGTATAAGGGTTTTATTTAGGTTTACTATCCTCTTTTATAAAGAGCTTTGGTAGCTATTAATAGTAATACTATAGTCTAGTATTATTATAAACTTATATTCCTACTAGCGATCTAATATAAATTACTAGAATAATTTTCTAGAAGTTTTTAGTAACTTTTAAAAAAAAGAATTAATTTTAATAACTATATATATATTTATAATATAGGGTTTAATTTAGTAAAATTAATTTATATATATAGCCTAGCTATAACTTAGTAAATATAATATTATTACCTTTAGCTTTTTATAATACTTATAAATTAGTATTAATAGTAAGCTTTCTTTAACTTTAATAATAATTATTCTTACTCTTACTTAATAGTTCTTAAATCTTTACTTAATTTAGTATAAGTAAGTTATTTTTATTTAATAGTTCTCTAAAGTTTTTACTTAACTTTAATTTAAGTTTCTTATATAAACCTAGTAAACCCTTCTATAGTTTATAAGTCTATATAGTAGTTTAATTTACTAGGGCGAACCTAGGCTTATAACCTATTAAGTAGATATTCTCTAGAGATAGTAATAATTCTCTTATAAGATATAGAGTATAATAGATAAAGGGTAGGTTAAAGAGTATATATTAGACTAAGAAGAGAAGATATTAAGGCTTATACTCGGGTGATGTATAGCCAACGCTAGCTCGTATAACGCTAGTCCTAATCCGGACTTAGTACCCCTAGACTCTAATTACTACGTATATAATTTCCTTAATATATTCTAAGAAATTGAATACTAGTAACTTTAAACTTATACTTCTTTATATTATACTATAGACCTATATTCTAAAGGAAAGTAAGAACCTGTTTTATATATAAATAGTAAAAGAGTAAATTATTTAAAAATATAAGAATATTATTTAAATAAGCTATATTAAAGATATTAAAATAATAATATAAAACCTTATTAATCTAGGTCTAAAAAACCGCTAGTATATTAGTTAGCTTAAAAAGTATAACTAAGAACTTAAATAAACTATAATAAGTATTAAATAATATAAGTTACTTATTATTATTTTTAATTTAAATATAATTAGAAGTAAGAATAATATTAAGCTTTATAAAATACTTAACTTTACTTAAGTACTAAAAGGTCTTCTAAATATAAAAAATAAAGTACTTATTTTTAATAGTAATATTATTAAGTTTTTAGTAATTTATATAAAACTAGAGGCTACTACTAGGTTTTTTTATAAATGAAATAAAGAATACTATAAAAGAGATACTAGTATAAATAAATCCCTTAACTATTCCTTAAGGTACTTACGTAATATAGCTAACTTATTAACTAATATATTATATAATAGTTTATAAGAAGCTTTTATACCTTTTTTAAGTTTAATATAATTATTATAGTCTCAATATAATAAGAGTATATCAGTATTCTTTTAGCTAAAAATAAGAAAAAACCACTTTAAATAATCTAGTAAAAGTAGTTCTAGGTTAATAGTTAGTATATCTTCCTACTACACTCGTCGCTTATAGTTAGCGGAAGTAAGTATAACGTGGAAGTAAGTATAACGTTTAGTATATATATATCGCTCTTAACTATAATATAGCGCTCTACCTACCTTTCGGAAAAACATATAAATAATATAGACTTATAGGTATAACTAATTATTATCTTATACGAAAAGAGTATGTTTTTTTAATTTAAATTACGTATAATACGAACGAGTTTACGTATTCTTATACCTTAATCGATTTTAGTAGAGTATATATATAACGTAACTTTTATATACGCCGGGTACTCTCGAGTACGTCTAGAAGTACTCCTATTATACTTTCCTTTGTTATCTATTATATTATAATATACTATAGTTATATTTAGCTTATACTTTAGTACTGTTAGGCTATTTAAGGGCTTTCTTTTAAGCTTATATAGACGCTTATATTTCTTAAAATAACTATAATATAATAATCCTAACCTCTTATATTATATTTACTTCCGCGTTATACTTACTTCCGCTAACTATAAGCGATAAGTATAGTAGAAAGACGTACTAACTATTAACTGTTTTCTTTAGATAAAGAAGAGCTTTTTTTATATCTTTTATATTAACTCTAGCTAAGTATATAAACGTAGCGCGTTACTTAGTAAACTAAGTAATAAAGTTTATAAAAGTATTCTTAATAAAAGTAAAAGAAGTTTACTAAGAATACTTATTTAAATACTAAGCTATAAACTTTAATATATATTTATAGCTTAAAATACTATCTTTTATCTAAGCTAAATAAAAGTAAGTATTCTAGCTAAATATAAGTATAAAAGTAATACTTAATAATAGTAGTCTTAGTTTTAATATAAGTTTTAATATAACTAAAGTATAATTATATACTTTATTTTTACTCTTAGCTTAATACTTTAATATAATATAGTTATTACTTTTAGTTTATATTTTAGTATATACTAGCTTATATTCTACTAGTTATAAATATTATAAATATAAAGTAGAAATATTAAAATAAAATTTAAATACTTAAAGTGTTTATATTTAATTAATACATATTTTATATAAGTTATAGTTCTAGTTAAATATATCTAGAGAGAATAAGATTTTTGATTTTTGAGTAAGTTAAGTAAAACGTATATATTTTAGTCGTTTTATATGAAAGGTAAATAACTTAGCTACTTTATCCCTTATATATATTATATATAGGAATACTAAAAGTATAATCTAACTTATAAAGCTATATTTAGCCTATAACGCTTCTAAAACTTTTATTGCTAAGGTATAAATATATTAGCCTAATATACTATAATCCTATATTTTCGGAATATATATATAATTGTTATAGTAGAAGTTATATAATTTATAAGTTATTACTTTCTAATTACTGCTTTTAAAGTATAACTTCTAGGTACCTAGGTACCTATATAGGAATACTAAAACTACTACTATTACTCTTATACTTATATCTAGCTAGAATAGTATAGAAAATATATATCGAGCGAGTATAAATAATATAAGTCTCTAGGCTATATTCTAGTATTCTTATAATACTATTATAATACTTATAACTAGTAGAATACAGGCTAGTATACCGAGAGTAAATAGAACGTAGACTAAGAGTAAGATTATATTATACCGAGGTACTAAGCTAAGTATAAAATAACGTATAGCTATACTTTAGCTATACCGAGAGTTATATCTAAAACTATTATTCTCTCGCTTATATTTAGCTAGAATTATATTAAAAATATATATAAAGTAAGTATTAATTATCTAAGTATTTAGACTATATTCTAGTATTCTCGCGATACTATTATAATATTTATAGCTAGTAGAGCGTAGGCTAGAAGCTAGATAATTATAACTATAGATTTTAGTAGAGTACTAGGGGTATATCGCTTAGAGTCTTAGTATATAATCGACCCTTACCTTTACGTCTTTTTTTTAGTATTTAACTCTTAATTAAATAACTTATTATTATTATAGTATAAAACCTTAACTAAGATATTAAATTAGAGCCGGCGAGTTCGTACGAGCTAACGTAGCTAGTAAGGCGTACTTATAATCTTATTACTTAATAATAAATAAATTTATAATTAATAAATTAATATATAAATTAAGTTAAATTAACTTATAAAGAGACTATTAGATATAATAAGAGGGTAAGGGCGAGCCTACGGGCCCGTCTAGTAAAAGTAAAGGTAATAATTCTAGAATCCTAGATATATAAAAAATCAAGTACTACTTTAAAGTCGAAGAATTATTCGAAGAGTAATCGCCTCTAGTATTATAAGCTAAGTCTAATGAATGAATGGTAGCACTTTTCGCTACTTGTAGACCCCGTTAAAACAAAAACTTATCGTGTAAATCCCCTACAACTCAGCTTCTCTAGCAGTTATAACAAAAAGCACATGACATGAGCTTAACTCAGAAGAGCTTGTGTTCGAGTGTCATGTCGCTCTCCGGCTCAAGACCTACGCAGGCACGGAAGATATTGGTCAAAGCCCCTCGCTGCTTAGCAAGAGCATTAACAACAGGTGTTCCTGGAGGAGTCAATGGAGCCTTGAGCATGTAGCTAAGAATGCTGAGAACACTGTGAAAGTTTCCAAATTCCTTGGTAGTGGCACCGTCGATGGCATGAGCCTTCCATTGAATTCGAGTCATCATCTCAGCGATAAGAACCAGATCAATGATCAATGGTGAGGCCAGCAAAGAGTCCTCACAGACATTGAAGAGCCTACATTGTTAGCGATGGGAGGTTCACGGCGCAGACGGTTGAACTTACGAAATGGTTTGGTGACCGCCCATGAAAATTTCGGCGTAATATTCGTCCAAAGCACGCTTGTTGTCGCCGACAGCCGGCATGTACTTGATAACAACAGTATGATCTGGGTGCTCGCCCTTTTTGTAAAGGACGGAGTTTGCCTCGACCATGTCATCAACAACATTCGATTTGGAAATCTCCTTGGATCGGAATTGCTTGTGAGAACTAAGGTTCTTACCATCGTTGTTACCGAGATGGTTGTAGCTTGCAATGGAAGTGAGCTTGATACCTGCGCTGATCAAGAAGTCGACGAGGGCGGACTTCATCTTGGTTTGACCAGACTTGAAGTCGTCACCTCCGATGAAGGCATTGTGCTTCTCAGCAAGTTCGATAGCACCAGGAACGAATGTGTTTTGTGGAGATCCGTTAATGAAGGGGGCGTTCTCGAGAATGGATGCCACTGCAAAAACGGTGGATGGAGCAACCTCCTCGTGGCCGTCTTCAATAGCCTTCATAAGGTTATCCGCAGTATCATTTATTCCGGGAATGAGCTCAGCAAAACGCTCAGTGTTAGCAGTCCATTGAACAATGACTTTGTCCAAGCCATGCTTGGCCTTGAAATCACTAAATATTAGGTCAGTATAGCAAACAAGAGTGTTAAATAAGATATATTTACCGAATATCCTGGCGGATTTGGTCGACATGGGCAAGAGAAGCTTTGCTACCTTGGATGAGATTATCGGCACGGTCTTCTTGGTTGGCAGCAATGAAATCTGGATAGTAGATGCTGGGAAGTGGAACCATTTCGACCATCTCCTTCTTGACCCGAGCTTTCAAAGTTGGCTCAAGGACAGCAGCTCTATCCATAGCCGCAGCTAAGTTCATACCGCTGATATCCCAACCACCAATGGCAAGATCGTTCGGGTGGACCATAGGGAGGACATCGTGAAAGGGAATATTAACATCCTTGGCAGTTTTCGCATTTGTTCCTAGCTTCATGGTAGATCCCATAACAACAGAGCCATAATAATTGGCCGCACGAGGTCCTTCGCGAGTGTCCCAAGTGAGACCACGACGATTGGCAATGATACCGGCAGTAACAGTGGTGCCATTGTTTCCGCCCCATCCGACCAGCATCATGCCAGTCTTGGGGACTTTGCGTTCAACCTTGAAGTCGTAGACCGTTTCCTTGGGAACCGCCTCGAATTTGCCATCGGCGACTTCATTGACCAAAGTGGTGCGGTATGTGTACTTGGTGTTGATCTCACTTTCGGTGTAGACCACGTTGGGCGAGTTGACCGTAAAGAGGTTCCTTGGGAGGGGGGAGAGGAAGGTAGTGGTTGTAGCATGTCCGTTCGAGGAGCCCATTTCGACTTCCGCGTGGGGAGCCATATTGTCAGAGGGTGGGGGGAGGCAGTATTGGTAAATCGATGTTGAGAATAATCGATTACTTGGTTATGGGAGAGTCCGATACTCCACCTGGAGAAGAGCAACGGGCTCCTGCGAACGTGTTATGCGAGCTGGAAGTGAAGATAGTTAGCATGGTATGGAATTGACCGTCGAGACAAATGCAAGCAATCATTGCAAGGCAAGATGAAGCCGCGAGGGAGGCTTACGAGTTGAGAAGATTGGAAAACGTCTTGACGACGGTGGTGATCACACTCGTAAGTGCGATCGACTGGGGATTTGGTGGAGGGAGGAGAGTTCTGAGAGGTGGTGATCTATTCTATCGTGAATGGTCTCTAATCGGGATTGTTGTTGGGAGGAAGATGAGGTTATGGTGGGATAAAAACAACAAGTACTTGTACTGTCACTTCACATGCGATATCCGGAGCGGCGGCTCGTGTCAAATTGCCCCACTATGCGAGACGTGGTGAGCTAATCTCTTTTTGGATGGCGGGGAGATGAATACCGGGACGGGCACTCAAGCACCGAGTAAATTTACCTCCCATCCTCACAACACTTACAATATACCTGCGCAGTAGGTAGTATTACTATCGTGATACTCGGTAGTACCTGTCGATACTTCGTGTTCGCTCCTCAATGGCCAGTATCTGAGGTCTTTTGGAAATCTTGATGCGTTGGAAACTGGTGCATGTTGGTATATAGTGCCGTCAATTCTGCCACAAAATCCTCGAAGAATTCAATTTCACTAGGGCGACGAGGCAACCTCCAAAATTCAGTACCTGCGTGAATATGAACTATAAGCTGCAGCTGTCTCAATTATTGATTCGATAACCTTGGCAGACGTACATGCTCTCTATTACTCCCCACAAGTGTTAGACCGGAGGGAAGAGAAGAGAACAGGAAGCGAGAGGACTGGAATAACATAAACACTTCCTCGACCATCCCCCAAATCGGTTACCTTTGAACTCTCGAAAATATATACGGAGTGTTTACATTACTTGCCTCATATTTACTCGAAAAAAATTCGCCTTTGCTTCCCGTCAACATGCAGCCCTTTGGGTTGGAGTTGTCCGACCTCGGATGCAAAGTGGCGGTCTGCATCTTTAACCGTTAATGGATGCAGTAGCCACAAATTGGACATTTGAAGTGGCACTAAATAACTCCCTCGTTATTCTATCATTGTAAGTTGTTTAAGTTGCTGACGAGTATACTTTCAGTGGCAGTTTGATTGTCTCAAGAGCTGCTCAATAATTGTTCCAGTAATTGCAAAATATCAGGAACAACTATGAATTTTAACAATTCTAAACAGGTAGAACACGGGGGACAATTTACTGCCGCTTTTAAACGTTCCAGTAAATCCGAAGTACGCAAATTAAAGCCGAGTAGACAAGCGTCTTTTGATTCAATCACACCGCAAGTTGTAAATTGTGATAGAAGAGCTAGCTTGGTATTTCATTCGTCGCGGGGAACTTCGCAAATTCGAAAACCGACGCTGCGTTGCCCAAGAATCTTTTCCCCCAGAGATACTCTTGTTCTGGAAGGGTATTGGCGGGGTGTAACCGCGCGACCAAGGTTGCTACCAACCAATTTTCCTCATCAGCGGATGGTGGTAGGAAATCCAAATCAGACGAAATCATGATGACACGATGTTCCCTGCCATCCTATTGTTGATTCGAGGCTTCTAGATGCAGATCTGTGGTAACATCCACTGCATCAGTTCAATATCGGTATGTCGCTTTCCCTGCAGAGTTGCACCGCATATCGACCCAAGTGGGCTTCAATTTGCTCGATTTGTTTATACTCCTGTCGCTAGTACATAGCCCGGCAAAGCTGACAATAGTACCATGCGTCATTCTTTCGGTTCTGCTTGTAGGAAAACAATTCCTAATTACCTCTCTTGGTTCACGTTTTTCTATTAGAAACATTACTATACTCCGTATCTCGGTTGATGAAGTCTGACCTGTCGGTTGCACACGCCCACCAGCCCCTGCCTCATCATTATCTCGGTGACGTCCTCAGGCTAGGAAATCTTGGACGAGGACGAGCTATGATTCCTCCCGAGCCCGGCATTATTTACCCGTCTCTTTTTATGAGCTGAAATCTAATTCATATATTAGATTCAATTTGGATGCGACCTTTTGACCAATCAACTGTTCTTTCCTTTCTCGCCTCTAGAATGATGAATAGATGGGTTTTGCTTCTATCCATGGAAGCAACTGATGCTATCTCTGTCGGATATGCATGCATAACCTTTATCTAGCTATGGGTCTTGGAAGGAGATAACCGACGGCAAAACATTTCATGCTTCGTCGCGTGTGATGTGGTGTGGTGGCGCTTCGAGGCATCGAGATAGGTCACGATGTGTTTTATTTCGAACCTTTAATTTCAGGAACAGAGAACTCAGCTTGTTTCAATCAGTTGATCGATTCTCCTATACAGACCAAGCCATGTCTGGGGTTGGCAGGGCTGAAGATTTCCATTGGCGATTGAAGTGCCATCCGTTCATAGACAACAAAACACCAACCACATCAACCGACTCGTGAGGGACTCTTCACAATAATGGTTGTGGTAATCCTGATGAGACTTTCTCGAACGCAGCCGCTGAGGATATTTTGGCTGATTCCCTCCCTTTTGGATCTTTGGGGATGATTCGGGAAGAATTGGTGATGATCATTTGGGATTGTTTGTGGGCATTGCCAGGCCGGGCCCCTGGAGCTTCGGAGATTTATTGACGCTTTCAACCAGCCCAATCACGGTACACGCTGGGGGCAACAGTTCCCGTCTACTTGAAGACTCCACTCCGTACTTCTGATTTTCGATAGCGACCATCGACCATCGACCACCCCATAGGGACATGCGGCGTGTGTGACTTTGCTCGGTTTCTCTTCTATGATGCAACCAGGAAGAACGTGAAAACGGTCGTTGTGACAAACTGTCATCCTCTCGGCTCCACTTCTCTAGATGGCAAATACGAAGTTTTCGTAGTATGTAGGCTAAGGTAGCGATCGTACCGGCGGCTCTCGCAAGTCGTAACGGGCAGTACCCGTTCCTTATATACTTTGTAGTACAAGTAAATCGATATAAAGCACTACTGTAGCAGGGAGATGGCTGCGATACATCACATACTACCCCGTATCGCAGTATGAATGGATGAACAATTGATCAAGAGTTGCCGAGGCATAAATTAAACGCAAATGCGGTACTACTCGTAGATATACTTCAAAGTAAGTGGATTCCAAGGACCAAGGCAAGGCACCTGCGCCTTTAAACTTCCTCTATCCGCCGGTTCGTCTCATTATTCAAGGAATCCGGCGATCTTCCATAGTTGCAATTGGCGTTCGTCTCGTCAAGCGAGATTCTCGTTGCTTCCGAAGAAGTTTGGTCTCCATTATTCCTTTCCGTTTCTCCTGCAATAGAAAAGTACATTTGCAATCGTACTAGTACGTAAATATATACTGTTCGTATACTCTGTAATTACACAGGAATGGATATACTTCTTTATACTACAACATACGGACACATCTATGGCAAAGCTTAACTCACAGTAACCCCTCCCTCCTCTACTCGGTGAATTTACCTCTACCCCATGAATCGAGCGCTCGTCCTTCTCCAGATCTTGGTTCAATGGCTAATGTCTTTTTTTTCCCACGTCAATGCTGATAAGATCTCCTGGCCATCTGGGTTGAGGAAAACAAATCGGTGCACGGGGAGAAGGGAAAGAGCAAAGAAGGAGGGTCCAATCAAGAACCAATGAAGAGCCTAGTCAGGTCTCTCCTTTAAATGCTTCCCACAACTCCCCACCATCTCCTCCAATACCGGATGCTTGTCTGAAGCCTAAGTCTTACCACCAGGTAGGGTCCAGGCCAGGGTCCTAGGCTGATTATCTGATAGGTAAGATTGAGTTAGAAGTGTAACCGTAGACCGACCTACTCCATAGGTACCCAAGAGCCTTGGCAGGTACCTTCAAGAGACCCCCGTCGGCGCTAGTAGAAGCATCAACATTTCTTCAACCGACTCCTCTCCACCTCCTCCTCCTCCTCCCCTCTTCTCCCCTTCCAGATACTCACACTGCCGACTCTCTTTCAGTGCAACCACCAACTGCATTGCACTGCACCCCTTGCGCGAGATTCTTACGCCGACGGTCCTTACAAACCCCACTTCTCCAACCGGTCTTGGATAGCCATCGTACCATTCACAAGTAGCTCGCTTCCTCGCCTACCAACACTCGTTCCAACAAATTCGCGTCTCGTTTCCGTGCGCTCTCGCTCGACACATCTACCCGAATACTACCTCGGTATTGTTATCTTCGCTTCTCATCTATCGTTGGTATCGGATTGTCTCCCGCCACATCACTTCGTTTCAAAGTATTTCTGTGTAGCTCGGACTCTGGATCATCTATATATGTTGTGTTGCTTTGTTGAACCAATAACATCCACTCAAAGCACCTTCACTTTACCGAACTTCTCACCGCCAATTATCGCCAGCGACGACCGCGTGTTTGGAAAGGAGGATCTATCTGCATCATCTCAACGTGAAGTAGAACAAAGTCTTCCACAATGGCGATTCCACTTCGACAGTCGAGCTTCCTGCCAACGATCAAATGCTCAATGTGCGCCAAAGACATCGAGATTTCCAAACTCGGAGATCACATCTGTATCAAATCAGGCGAACAACGTATGTTATACTAATTGGCCGTGTCGAAAAGTCAGTTGCTGACCTAAATACAGTCACTCCACCACAAGAATCAAGTGAAAGCTTTGAGCCACTACCACCACCACCCCGCAAGCAAACCCCAACCAATGGATCTAATTTTCTGAAACCTTTTCGGGCCATGCCACCACGGGTTGACACGTCTGCTGCTAGTACGTACTTGGCTGTCAATTCTCCTTCTTTCATTTTTCTAACAATCTACAGACCGACCTTTCCGCCCACCAGGAGGTCAATTGACCCCAAACAGCGCATCACCATCTAGATATGTCTCCCCAAACTCGCCCTTTGGAAGGCCTAAAGGTCCATTACGAAGCGCAACCATGCCTATTTCGAGAGCACCGCCATCCTGTGAGATTCTATCTGGTAATTTGGATTGCGCGTTTCCTCCTTTCCCTAAGAAGCAGCAACCAAAATCTACAAACCGGCAAGGTGGGGGAAGTGGGCAAAGACGTGATGAACCAAACCGGATGTATGCACCTGTCAGTCCTAGGACGGCAACAAGTGGAGGTCTACTTGAAAAAATGAACACGATTGCACCGGGCCCGTTCGATATCAATCGCCAGAAACCCGGACACAAAGCGCAAACTAAACCACCAGCTGCAGCTAATCTTGGCCACCGTAGGCAGGGTACCGAAGGCAGCCTGAAAGATATGAAAATGCCGTCTCAGATCGAGGTTGCAGGAACTATTGTACGGCCGTCGACCGCTGGAGGGCATGCTCGCAAAGCGTCTATTGCCAGTTCAACTCACTCAAGATCAGGATCTATAGCCCCAAAGGTTCCAACGGATACCGATTATGGAGGATTCGGTCCACCATCAGATGAGATTCGAGCACACCTCAACAGATCTCAAACATCGCCCTTGGAAAACACAAATCCAAGCCCTCCTGTCACGTCACCAGCAGAACCAAGGTCTGCTTCAAGAACAGGCAAAACTTCTCCCGATATGGGAGCGAAATATTCCTTTGCCCACTATAGGAAGGCGTCTCCAACAGGACCAGATCTCTCTAGGCCTCTACCTCCTCGCGGTGTAAGCCTGATAAGGCCTCGAGTGGATACCAAGGTTGGCGAGGTCCCTCAACTACCAGATTTAAATCTCGCTGCTGAGTTTGGTATTGGCAACCCATACCATACTCCCACGGAATCACAGTCTTCCGATGCCTCTGGATTTAGCGAGGAGAGCAAAACAAGTTCTCGGTCTAGCCCGCCACGCTCCGTCGGGAGTGCAGGATCTCGAAGACAACCTTCCGATGTGAGCCAAATGGATGTCTTGATGGCCGATCTTGAGTTTACAATGTCCGACTTATCGCCTGTAAAGCTGTCCCCAGAGTCTTCTCCAATAAATCCCATACAAGAACGAAGAGAATCGCCAACAACCTCTCTTGTAGAAATAAGTACAGAATCAATTCAGCCATTAATGCCACAACCAAACATAAGGAGCGCTATGCCTCATCCGTCCTCGCAAGCAGATCCTGCCATGAAAGAGGTACGCCTACTGCCAATCCCGCAAGACGCCCCTCGGTCGACTAATGGGCATATGCGCAAGCCCACTGTTTCCAAAGGAAAGTGCAAGGGCTGTGACGAAGTCATCAAGGGGAAGTCGATTTCGTCAGCAGATGGGAGGTTGACTGGAAGGTACCACAAACACTGTTTCGTTTGCAGGACTTGCTCGGAGCCATTTCAGACCTCGACATTCTATGTCATCAACGACGCACCATATTGCGAACGTCACTACCATAAGTTGAATGATAGTGTGTGTACCAGATGTGACAAAGGGATCGAGGGACAATTTCTCCAGACCGAGAAAAGACAAAAGTACCACCCAGAGTGTTTGACTTGCGCAGATTGCAATAGAAACCTGAAGCATGATTATTTTGAGATGAATGGCCGTGTATATTGCGAGCGAGATGCATTCAGAAGAACCCAGCAGCAACCAAGGTTCCTCGGTGCTGCAGGGGTAGAAACCAACCGAATGGAAAGGAGGACAACGAGACTAATGATGATGGGCTGATGAATGAATATGATTCGAACTTGGATCTTGGTAGACTGACATACGCGCCTTCCCAGTTTTGGACGACCGCTATCATGCAAACGACCAGGAAAGGATACTGGATGAGATATGCCAATTGGACGAGACTGATTTGAAAGCTTCCGTCTGAATTCGTTTGTTTTGTATTTGCTGTTTATACCCTTGTTCACATACTTTGTTTTTGTTGGAGAGGAATTGCGAATGCTTTGATGGATTCTTGTTACTTTCTGAGCCTAGGCCAGTACCAACTGCGATTATTGCTGCACCAGTGGATAATTAATTATTCATATACGCATTTTGTACCTACCCGCTTTATATGATGTATTAGATATTATGTATGTAGATAGAAGCAACAATGGATAGAGGAAGTCTTATATAATTGGGGCGATAATAATAGTATTCTTTATGCATTTACATAACACCTGAGATGGTCCCTCTTCTTCTGAGGCATGTGTGGCTGCTGATTATCCAGTGACTGCAAACAATCCCCTATTTCTGTGCTACAATGACGATTCCGCCTCAGGTGATTTTGAAAATTAGTCTCTATCCCTTCAACGGCCATGAATGTCCTTTTTTTCTTTGCAGGACAAAATCATTCTCTTGTGTATCACTGAGAGAGGAGCTTGGCTTGTACAAAGCGGGGAAACGAAAGCTCAAGGTGGAATTCCAGGCCTATTTTCCTTCTCCTCTTAAAGACGGGGCCTTGTTTCTTTCTCCCGGTTATCTTGGGGGCGGTGTATTTTGGTTTGAGAGTGGCGAGGAGTTTGATTCATTGTCATTCGTCTAAATACAATATTTACCCCCTTACTACCCCTTCTGACGTGAGCTCTGATCCGGGTCTTGCTACTAGTTGTACATATTGTAGAAGTCTACCCTTCCTTCCATCAGTTTCCATCATTGTTCTTCTTCTCGTCCTCGCCGTCATTATCACTAGCATCATCGTTACTATATTCATTCACATCGCTGTTTCCATCCTCGCGCACACCATCATCATCATCCTCGTCAGAATAAACACCGATATACTCGGCCGCTTTTCCATTCCTCATCATCTCCCCCTCCAGAAAGACGGGTACGCTCCACTCTGGATCTTGTTCTTTAATCTCTCCAAACGCCCTGACAACCTCGCATTTGATGCCTCTCAGATCCTCCGCGCCTTGCTGTACAATCTCAATGTTGCCGAACGTAATGACTCCTTTCTCGGGTGCAATCTGTTCGACCGCACACCAACAGGAAACACCACGAGGACAGTCACGAAGAACATGATAATGGCTCTTCAGATTCCTGTAATCTTTGATAGGAAAGCCGTTAAGCATTCCATCTTCGGTAGCACCTGAGAACCACTCGAGAGGCTCGATTGCCAAGTGGAGAATGCTGGATGTGGTTTCCGGAAGCGGCTCAGGGTTCTCGTGGCGCCAGAACCAGGATGGGTAGTAGATTATGTCAATGATGGGGTTGAAGTAGATTATTCCTGGCTGAGAGACTGTGGGGAAGGAGAGGTGGTAGTGCTTTAATGCCTCGGCTCGGGATTCTTGACAAGTTGAGAAGGGAGGGGGGTTGCACGTTGGGGTGTAAAACGAGTAGTTGCTTGTGTCTGTTCCCCTTTGGAGTATTTCGATGATACGGGGGTTGCTAAGGATTGAAAGGCCCCAGATCTTGAGACGTAGTTCCGTAGCTAGGTTGGAGAATATGGTGAATGCTTGGAGAGTTTGTGGTACTGATATTTCTTTGGGCAGGTCTGGCAGGCCATCGCCGAGATCGGAAGCTGGATTTGGCTCCATGCCTTATTTATGTATGAGAGAAGTAACTGTGAATGTGGTTCGAAGAGGGAGAAGAGGATGTGAGGGTGGTGGACTGGTGGTGCTAACCTTGGGGTAAGGTATTTAGGGATATCTGTAGATTGGTGGTAGGAGTCAACCACAAAGAAGCGATATTATAAGCAAGCTTACAAGCCGAGATGACTCATACAGCCGGCATGAGTGAGTATACCCTGCAGCCACTGCCAAACGTCCATATTCACCTATGGCTCTATTATTTTATGATAGGTGTCGCTACTCCTTATAAGTTTGTTCTTCACTATGCTGGGCCATAATCAATATCCTTAAAGAAGAAATTCTGCTTCACCCATGGCGCAGAGACACGGGCTGGGAATTAGGTATCAGTTCCATGATTGAACTCACTGCAATATGCTTTAAGTACTTATAAACTTCTTAGCCTTTTCTCAGTACTGCCTACCACCAGTCTCACTCCTCGACTTCGGTTACCGCCATTCAACTTAACTTGTAGTTGTGTGCTGGTACGATAGAATCTTCCAGCCTGGGTTTCGATCGCTGATATGGTTGAGGTTCTGTAGAGCACGTGTTCCTCTGGTTCCACAGTATCTCTGAAATATCGGGGATTTCCATCGCTCTAGTGGAGAGCAACATGATAGAATGTCTTCGAATTCGGGTAACGCACCCAGATAGTGACCGGGTGGGCCCATTGAAACAGTGACCAACTATCTGGATCCACGTTAGTACCTCTGATTCCACAGCCATATGTTGGAAGGGGGCCCTTTGTTCCCGTTTTAGTAACTCATCGAATGTGAAGCACTTGAATGGCTTATACGGAAAGTAGACACTGTCAACAGAATGGTCAAAGTTGATCACCGGTGGAGTCCAAGCGATGGGCTGGATACGCTGCTGATCGGTCTGACTTGTATCGGAAGGATTTCTTGGGGCATTTTTGAGTGCTCCTGGGACTCGTGACATGCCAATGGGAGTGCGGGTACTTTTTGGTTCATATACCAGCCACCAAAAAGGCCGTTTGGACGGCCATTGCAGGGTATCAAGTTTGGGCTTGACGACTCGTGGTTTAAATTCCATGATAGGGAGTTCCTGGAGTGTGAGCCTAGGTTCCTTGGGAAGTTGCGGAATTAGTTAAAGTCTGATTTTTTGGTACATCGTGATGGAAGGCATGACTCTTAGTGTGACCAAGGTCTGACGAGGGAGAGGAAGGAGGGCTCTAATCCGTGTCATTTCGGACGTGAGGCTGCTGTTCCTGGGGGTAGTTTGGAGGGAAAATGGGGTTGGTAATTGAGTTTTACTATCTTCTGTGGGCCAAATTCACGCTGCGCTGATATCGAAGAGTGGATGTGTCTCTGAGGATAGTGTGTTTTGAGTGTCTTGAAGGCTCGTGAGAGAGTTGGAGGGAGAGAAATCTAAGTTTAACTCCTGCGAAGAATATCAAGGTCGTGACGGTGTCTGCAGTTGTAACATGATCGGGTGTTAAGTTTGAGTAAAGTGCTATTTCAGTAGATCTATGCTTCAAGTATAATACGTAATTGCTTCGGAGTTGGTGGTTGATAAACGCCATAGGAAGAGGTTCCCCGAACTAGAGGTTGCGCGTAGTAATAGTTAGAATTTCGGTAGCAAAGGCTGTTATGAAATTGGAATAAAATAACCTCAAGGAAACCAATAATGGAGGATTTTCTTCAATCCGATTCACCCTCGGTTGCCATTTTGTTTACTCGACTATCATGGGATTTTCAATAATAAGCCTGTAAAGAGATTGCTAAAACATACGTAGAATGATCTCAAAGACTTAAGGGGATTTGAATACCCCCACGAATAGTGAGAGGGATTCGGCTTTTCATGTCGCATTTATCGTAGGGGCGATAAAAGATCGAGGAACAGAACCCTCGCTTAAACATGGAAGAAAGATGCTGTAGCATTTATCCTCTTCCCCCACGAACGCCCAAGTAAACACGACCGGTAATGCTATAATCTTCCTACATGGACATATTATGCATCTCATCTTCGAGTACCTATGAATGGGCTGATTTTTTTCGCCGAGATGCCGCCACAAGAATCCATATCACCTTTTTTTTTCAAAACGTGTTATGATGTCTCAGGCTATTTTTACCCCTTTTCATTTTTGAACTTCGACCACCACAAAAAATCAAAACTCACACTACAATTGATGAAAATTCGCGAGAATGCTACCGCGTTCTAGGTGGATCTTTGCTCTTGCTTGCACTGTGTTTGTGGGGTATTTATTAATTTGGCACAATGTTCTGGGTTTGGGCTACGGACGATCCAGTCGAACCATCGGCACCGGGGTTACAACAAAGAACGGAGAGGAAGATGCGTCTTACTTTGAACCGGAGAGATCTTCGGCGTCGTATATTGATTATCATCTGAGCCGTACTGCTTTTGCACAAGCAGGGTTCGAAACAGGAGAAGTAGGCCTGGAACTCGACCCTGAGCGTTTACAAGACGACTTCGAGGTAGACAATGTTGCCCTAGGGTTGTAAGAATTATCCTTTGGAATCAACTTAGGACAATTTAAACATGTCACAGGAAGGACTCAGCGGGAAAAATATTCGGCAATACTATTAACCACCTCGTTCAGAAAGGAGGTCATGCAGGCTTTGCTGCCCAACACCTCACTCCAGCAAGCTCTCCAATAGGATACACTCGAGCCCCATTCTACAAATACTCTCCATACCCTACATATAACGATCGGGCATGGAATGTCACCAACCAGGGCTCTTACTACAATGCCCTGTTCCGTTTGGGGGTATTGAGGATATCAGAACAGTGTCCGGACATCATGAGATATTCGAAGATGGAATGATGGGGAGTTATGTTCCTCTCGATATTGATAGCAACCTTTGTTTTGAGAGGGAGGGGAGGCTAGGGCCATACGGGTTTAACGAAGATGATAAAGAGGGGACTTTTGATGGCACAATTAAGGACACAAGAGTTTAGGACAAGATTGATTGGGGATCTTTGCAATCAAATTGTGTAGATTTGAACAAGGATCGATACGCTAAGGCGAATCTGGTTGAGACAACTGCCACCAGGGGTGAGAAAAATGCAACGGCCAGTGTCGACAGGATAAAGGCAGCAAGGAGTCACCGTGGCATTCCTGCCAAATCAGCACCGGTAGAAAGCCGTACCGCATTCCCGATACGGACCAATTCATCACAGAAATTTACAGAAAACGACAAACAAAACATACGTGCCTTGATCACAGAGCTCTCTCTGAGAAGCGGAGGAGAATACCAAGTCTTTCTGATTGTCGAAGTGCTCGATGGAAGCCTTCCAATCTTCACGAAGATCGAGGCCTATGAGTCTGCACTTTCCTCTTTCGTGCCCATTGAATTCCAAAACATAACAATCCTCTACAACTCGGCAATAATGCACGAAGCCTACCCCCCTCTCGAAAATATAGACCAGGAAGACGAGTACTGGTTAATCGTTCAAAGATTCTCACAGGAATACCCAGAATTCGAATACGTGTGGAATTGGAATTTGCAAACTCGTTACACAGGCCATTACTATAATTTGTTCGAAAAGACTTCCAATTTCGCTAAGCAGCAGCCGAGAAAGGGGCTTTGGGAAAGAACTGAGAGGTTCTACGTACCCGAGATACAATTTCCTTACCGTTCGAGATTTCGGAAATATGTGAACGACATCTATGGCCCTGACATTTTTTGGGGAGCCCCAGAGGTTGAAGATATTGTGCCTGTCGGAGAGAGACCTCCAGTTGAAGATCCTACCGACGAAAATCACAAGTGGGGAATTGGGAATGAGGCTGATTTCATAAGCTTGTCTCCCATTTTCAATCCTGTCGATACGATCTGAAACTCAAATATCAGCATCTGGGGATTCTGCAAGGACATTCCTCGCCGGGTCGCTATAGGGGGTCAAGTACGTATGAGTAGAAAACTTCTGGGTCTAATGCATGAGAATGACTTAGAAGGTAATCATCTAGCGAAGGAGATGGCCCCTTCAACTCTAGCTCTTTTGCATCGATTAAAGCCCGCCTTCGCTCCCATACCAACCTGGTTTGACAGAGAATGGAGTGGAGAGAGATTAGAAAAGCTTTTCAACCCAGGAGAAAGAAAAGACAGTGGTGGATCAGGGAGTCCTTTTGGGCCGGCAACAGGTGGGAGATTCGAAGGCGCGTCTTGGGGTACCCGTGGAGGTATAGGGACCGAGTTATATGATGCTTGGTTAGGTAGAGATGCTAATGGCTGGGGCGGAACCAAGGTAATTATATTCTTTCCCCCCCATCATACAATGGGACTTTAGCTGAATAGCCTTTTAGTGGGAGAAGGAAAATGGGAGAGTGTGTTTACCGCTGCTCTTGTTGTCACCCTTTGAGGATAAGGGAAGACACAGGTATTCTTCTTAGTTTGCCCCAAACAGTTTTTGTTAAGCGCAAAAGAGAAGAACTTGGATATAGCTTATTATTATTGTGAACTACTAAAGAGAAAAGAAGGTATCCATGGAATTATAGGTTACAATAAATTATAAAACGCTACTTAATTTAACTAGAGGGTAAATGCTAGAATATATTAACAGTTTTTATTGTTCATACACTAGGCATACTCGTAATGGAAAGGATCGAGCTAGAGAATGAGCTAAAAGCTTAAGGAACTCACACAAAATTAGCAGCTGCGTAGCCCTGTAATTGAACCTAAGAAAGCAAGCGATTGGGCATAAGTCCTTGATGTGCTTCTACTTTCATCGTGAACGTTTCCGCAAACTCCATAGCAAAAGAACATCTCATAGGAACGCCGGTTGCATGTGTCGGAGCGCGCGAGATGTCGAATACTAATAAGCTGTAAAATTTGTGCATTGTCTGCTTGTACTCGTGAAGCCTTTAGCGACTCGTTCCACATACCATATGGCGGTCAAGAAGTAGTCAGGGTGACATACAATAACAAAAGATCTACAGCACAAAAGTTTCTCCCTTGGCAGTCAGCCCGGCTGTCGGTCCTTTTTGTGGTGCCACTTACCTAGAAACGCCAAACGGCCGCTTCCCCGCACCCCAAGTTATTCGTCCCCTCGTCCTCGGTTGAGTCGAGCAAGCAATAACCTTGAGTACTCCGCTTCATTCGATGCTGGAAGCGGCTCAAGACAACAAATTGGTGATGTCTTGCGGCGCGGCGGTGACCCGCAATTTTTCACGTAAAAATGGTATAAAGTGCAGATATTCATGTTCTCGAAAGGGCACGATTGGGAGTCTTCGTTGGCCTTCGTTTTCTTTAGCCATGATTCTCTCGCCGCTGTCCGGTCTGGTGGGCTTCGCAGCTGCCATCCCTTCTTCAGTCGGCTCGCGAGCTTTGAGTACATCGGATGATTTATTAGTATCTTGTCCTGGTTATACGGCTTCAAATGTCATAATAACTGGCAGTGGCTTAACAGCCGACCTGGCTCTCGCCGGAACCGCTTGCAATGTTTATGGAGAGGATTTGACGAGCTTGACTTTACAGGTTGTATATGAGACTAGTCAGTACATTCTTAAGATATGGCTTCTTATACAAGCAAATTACTAACCACGGTTGAAGATGACCGAATTCATGTTAAGATTCAGGATGCCGCCAACAGTGTTTACCAAGTTCCTGAAAGTGTGTTTCCACGGCCGACGGAGCAAGCAGGGAATAGCTCGGTAAGTATTCTATTCAAGTATACAGAATCTCCGTTCTCGTTCTCGGTAGTCCGCGCCCAATCTGGCGAGATTCTCTTCGACACTTCTGCTGCGAGTCTCGTCTTTGAATCCCAATATCTTCGACTACGAACTGCTCTTCCTGATAGCCCAAATCTTTATGGTATGGGTGAGCACGCAGATCCATTTCGTCTCAATACTACCAACTACATCAGGACTTTGTGGAGTCAAGATGCCTATGGTATCCCAGCTGGAGCCAATCTTTACGGCAACCATCCTGTCTATTTCGATCATAGATTAACGGGCACCCATGGAGTCTTCTTCCTTAACTCCAATGGGATGGATGTCAAGATAAACAACACAGACGGAAAGAACCAATACCTTGAGTATAATACACTCGGCGGCGTTCTTGACTTTTACTTCATGGCCGGTCCGACGCCCATTGAGGTTTCAAAGCAGTACGCGGAGGTCGCGGGCCTCCCTGCCATGCAGTCTTACTGGTCTTTTGGCTACCACAACTGTAGGTATGGGTATCAAGATGCTTTTGAGGTCGCAGAGGTAGTCTACAACTATTCGTCAGCCGGCATTCCCTTGGAAACAATGTGGACTGACATCGACTACATGGATCGCCGAATGGTAATACACCCATGTCCTCTTATTGTGGCTGGCTAACCAGATAAGGTGTTTTCACTGGATCCAGAACGCTTTCCATTGAAAATGGTTCGAGACCTCAACCACTATCTCCATTCTCATAACCAGAAATACATCGTAATGGTAGATCCAGCAGTCGCTTACGCAGACTACCCAGCCTACCAAAATGGAGTTGAGAATGACATCTGGCTCAAAAGATCTAATGGTTCAGAGTGGCTGGGAGTAGTATGGCCTGGAGTGACTGTTTTCCCAGATTGGTTTCATGAAAATGTCCAAGAATATTGGAATGATGAGTTCACTTCATTCTTTTCACCGGAGAATGGAGTTGATATTGATGGGTTGTGGATTGATATGAACGAACCTTCCAACTTCCCGTGCAACTTCCCTTGCGATAATGTAAGTTTCCATACTCTAAAATTACCCTACCAGAATCTGACTATAATCATAGCCATTTCAATCAGCCATAGGTTACCCACCGACCCCCCCAGAAGTGAGAACGCCACCTCGACCGCTTCCCGGATTTTCATGCGACTTCCAACCTCCAGGAACAGCGTGTAATGAGACACAAAAGAGGGCCTTCACTGAGGTGCAGGAGCTCAGATCATCACCTCAAATCCAGGAACGACGGTCTTCAGGTCAACAGCTTGGTCTCCCAGGACGTGATCTACTTTATCCGAAGTATGCGATTCATAATGCTGCAGCCTTCACTGTTGAAGATAATGCTTTAGGGGGAGGAATATCGAACAAGACCGTAAACACGGATGTCATTCATCAGAATGGATTAGCTATGTACGATACTCACAACCTCTACGGCACAAGTCAGTCAAATCCCACAATGCCATTCCCAAAACTAACGGATTTAGTGATGTCAACCGCATCCAGGGATGCTATGGAGCACCGTAGACCAAGCGAGAGACCTCTTATTATAACCCGAAGCACCTTTGCTGGAGCTGGAACTAAGGTTGGTCATTGGACTGGTGACAATGTTAGTTCATGGGAGAAATACCGTATCTCGATTGCCTCAATGATGGCGTTCGCTTCCATCTACCAAATCCCCATGGTTGGATCAGATGTTTGTGGATTTGCCGACAACACCACTGAACAGCTCTGTGCTCGATGGGCCGCTTTGGGTGCTTTCAGTCCGTTCTATAGAAACCACAATGGTTTCGTACCAAATATCCCACAGGAATTCTATCGATGGGAAAGTGTGACTGCTTCCGCAAAGAAGGCAATTGACATCCGCTATCGTCTTATGGATTATATCTACACAGCTCTCTACCACCAAACTCAAGATGGAACACCAATCATCAACCCTCTATTCTATCTGTATCCCCAAGACACAAACACGTTTGGCAATGACCTCCAGTATTTCTACGGACCTTCCCTACTGGTCAGCCCAGTCACCGAGGAAGATTCTACAAGTGTCCAAGCATACTTCCCCAAAGACATTTTCTACGACTTCTACACCCACGCCAGAATAGAAGGACAAGGTGCTGTGATACCACTCACAAACATCGATGTGAAAACCATTCCCCTGTACTACCGCGGAGGAGTCATAGTCCCTCAGCGCATGAACAGCACAATGACAACCACCGAACTCCGCAAGCAAGACTTCGAAATCATCGTCCCGGTGGGAAGCGACGGTACCGCTGCGGGCGAGTTGTATCTCGACGACGGAATTTCGTTGGTACAGAAGGCGACTACTTATGTCAAGTTCAACTTTGACGGTAGCGTGTTCACCATGCAGGGCAACTATGGCTATGGCTTGGGTGTAAAGATCGCGAGAATAGTGTTCCTAGGAGTGGGCGACAAAACAAACGCAACGGTTAGCGCTGACCAATTGAAGAGCGTAGAAACAGGCAACAGAGTGGAAGTGGTCATCGGAAAAGAGCTAAATGCTGATTTCTCGACTTCAGTAAACTGAATAGATAGTTTGCCTTCCACGGAATACAATAATAAACTTGTTGTTCGCTATTCCCGCCACAGCAGGTGGTACCAAGTGTTGGAATCACAATGGCAGTAATAGTAACTACTTTAGAAAGTCGCCGACATAAGACTCAAAATTAAAACCAACTCTAGTATATTCTACCCCCAGTCTATGAATTGGCCATTTTTTTATACAAGACACAAATTCAATTCACATAATTTAACTTTTCGACGATTCTCGTACAATTTCATTGAACAGAATTGTTTGGATAAGAACTCGTTACACGTTCTCAACAAAGATATGCTAGGATTTCTAATAAAAGTTTACTAGACAGACGTATAATAGTTTGTAGATATAGATACGCCTAAGTAGCACACAGCCACCAACTTCTTGTGAATTAAAGTTACCAGGCCCAATGTAAACATCCATAGAGGCTTCGTCTTATCCTTCTGGCTTTTACTCGAACTGTCCAAGAAGAAGGAAGTCTTTTCACTTGGAATACCAAGGTGCTAATGTTCCACGGCCGAAATCCGAAATCTCGAAGGAGCAGAGAGGCAAGTAAATGCATGACCTGTTCCATGACAATTTGTCTACACCATTAAACCTTGAGCTGCTGGCCCTTCTGATCTAGGCCTATGCTAAGCGTATAGCGAAACCCTTTCCAGCTATAAACAGTCTAGTCAGTCGAGACAGAAGCGGCGTCACTAAGGCGAAAGTATGAATGGAAGGTGTGAATGAATATATAAAGAAGTACCACTAGTGTTTCTACAGTACAACCCCCCTGAAACAACGCCGTCAATGATGTAAAGTATTAAAACGCCCCCGACGTTTGAAAAAGGGAAAGAAAAGACAAGACAGCAAGCTGAAGTCTAAATTATGCTCCGTCATACAGGTACTTTGTACAAGAGGCCCCAAGTAGATACGTGCGCACTGCAACCTCTACCCCCTATCATATCCTGTTATTACTCAGGTTCGTCGATATCATGTTGATCCAGATAAAAGTTTCTCTTTCGTCTTCACGTCCATCCATCGTTCCCCATTTCTACGTCGACTCCCCTGAAGCTTATCTCCCCCGTCAACATGGACCATCCCAACTCTCGTTGACCCCCATCCACGACGATCGCATTCTTCCATAACCTAAACCCCATAAGACTGTTTTCCCATTCAAATCATAGGTCCCGGAGTCTGCACCGCATCCAAACCCCTCTTCGTCTTCATAATCCCAATCTGCCCCTGAATATCCCCCAACCCAATCGTACCCACGCCCGGCGTCGGAGGCAGCGCCCAGGTACCGAGCGCCGTCTTCGCGAAAGTCTGGGTAAAAGTCATCTCTATCGCCGTCGTCTTGCCATCAATCGTGGCTAGGGATCGACATTTTGAGGTCGTCGCCATCTGTGTCGCGGCCGGCGAGGATATCACTGCTCCTCCTCCCGCAGCGATTTGTGCTGCTGCCAAAGAGGAGCATGCGCTGAGGGCGAGGAGAAGGTTCGTAGAGAGCTGCATGATGTACGTGGGATTTTTGGTGGCTTGCCTGAGTTGGAATGTCGAAGGCGCTTCTTCTTTGGCTTCGAGGAATGGAAAGTTGGAAGGACGGTTTCGGGTAGTCGTAAATGACAGGCGCTCGTGTAACCCTCCGGTTATTTGCCTTTCGATTTGACCGTAAATCTTTGACGAATTGTAGAGCTCTTTCGTGACAAACGAGTGTGGATAGATGTGATGATTGGGAGAATTCCAATTTCGTTCAAAGGGAAGATAGATGAGAGACTTCGTATCCACCCGAGAGCCTTGGAAGAGCACAGCCCAAATTAGCATCAATGCATCACGTGACTGACCGGCAAGATGGAATGGGTACACAAGCACAGTGACAAGCGATCTTCTTCAAGCCTTGTTGGTGCTTGGAACCTTGGAACCTTGGAACAACTTGGAATTGGAGTGCAATACTCTTTCCTCACGACGTGCAGAATATTATATTACGGTATTGGTTATTACCACAGAAGACGGGACTTTGGAGGGACCATCTGCAGTCCTTCGGATCAATAAATATCATGAGACTCTAAATGCGAGGAATGCAATCTCTTCTCGCTAATAACGAAAAAAGAGCTATCTAGAATCCCAGCCTGAGATCGCTTACAAAAGGTGTCATCCAACTTCCAGGCTGCCCAATAACAGAGTCTCTGAGGGGAGAGAACCTAAAACCCTTTCGCCAAAATCAGCCTTCTCGCTCACGACAAGAGGAACATTCAGCATGAGAGGTAGCACGCAGAGCGAAAATAGAGTTCCGTTGGTGCAGCACAGCCCATCATAGTCTAGCTATGAACATTGCCTCCCCAGCCTCATATGGTCTCGAATTACATCCCGTCTATAGTTTCCTAAATTCTATATCTAACAATCCCTCACAATTTGTTGGGCGCGGTTTCTGAACAATGGAGGTTAGCGAAGTTATTCAACCAAACATGTAACGCGCAGGATTCCGTATGAATTACGTTCCATACTTCACTCTAGAGCTAAATATTGGATTTCAGAAAGTGGTGATGCTTACGAGTGGTTGGCCATTGATACCCAGCTGCGTCGCTAAACTTGTAGCCATAGGAGGATGTGAAGTCATCGAGAACTGCCGGACCACGGGAACCTATCAAACATTAGCGGCGAATTCTTCTCTTCTTTCTAGTATTTACTGACCGTATGGGTACTCCATTGGGATGATCTCCTTGTTGTCGTCGAGATAATGGAGCAGTGGCGAGAAAACTCTCCAACTAGCATCCAACTCGTCATCACGGACGAAGTTGGAGTGATCTCCCTTGAGAGCGTCCAAAATCAGGGATTCATATGCCTCGGGAATTTTGAGATCTGAGAAGCGTCTTCGGTATGTCAAGTCGAGCTCGGTAACAACGGTTTGCATGCTCAATCCAGGAAGCTTGGAGTTCATCTTGATGTAGACACTCTCGTTTGGTTGAATTCGCATGACGAGCTCATTTCGTGGAATGTCCTTGAAGATACCTGAGGTAACATCCTTGAATTGAATTCGAATTTCCGTCTTTTGCTCGTTGAGAGCCTTTCCAGCCTTGAGAATGAATGGAACACCGTCCCATCGCTCGTTCTTGATAAATGCCACCATCGCGCAGAAGGTGGGACATCTCGAGTCCTTTGGAACGGTATCGTCCTCCTTATACGAAGGCTTACTTCCATCCAAAGATTTGCCATATTGACCAATGATGACATTTTTTGGTTCAATTGCTGGAATCGCTCTCAATACTCGGACCTTTTCATCTCTAACATCTTCTGCCGAGAATGAAATTGGACGCTCCATGGCCAAAAGTGTCAATACTTGAAGCAAATGGTTCTGCATGACATCTCGAATGATGCCAAACTCATCGAAATATCCACCACGACCCTCGGTTCCGAATGGCTCCTTGAATGAGATTTGCACGTTGTCAATGTGATTGCGGTTCCAGGTTGCGCCAAAGAATTCGTTACCAAATCGCAAAATCAGAATGTTCTTGACCATCTCCTTGCCCAAGTAATGGTCGATACGGAAAAGCTCCTCCTCCCGCCAGTTGGGTTCCAAGGCCTTTTGCAGTTCACGAGAACTAGCTAAATCCTTTCCGAATGGTTTCTCGACCTACATGGGGTACTGTTAGACACCATCAAACAAGATTGCGATGGATGTATCTTACAATGACTCTTGCAATTCCACTCTTTGGGTAACAGTTTCTCTTCAATTGTTGGGATACTGATGTGAAAACACTTGGTGGTAATGCCATGTAGAAGACTCTGTTTGCTTCCTTTCTGCCTTTCTCAATCTCTTCGAGATGTTCTCGTAGTTGAATAAAGGACTCGTCTTTATCATATTGTCCCGACACGTAGGTGCAGAAGGAGCAGAAGTCATTGAGTTGTTGCTCCATATCCTTCGTTGGAGTTTTGATGTAGGATCTGACCCGCTTGAGGTATTCCTCGTGATCCATCTTCGTTCGCGCATACCCGACGATCTTGATATCTTTCGGCAGGAATTGGTTGCGGTACTATGAGGGTGGTTAGAGCTGAGGCCGGGGATGCCGGGGATGCTGTACTTACAAGACCAAACAAGGCTGGGAACTACCGTTGCATCTGTTAGCTGTGCATTGGAGGATATGGCAAATTATCTTTTTACCGTCTTCTTTTTGGCAAGATCACCAGAAGCACCCAAAACCACAACGACAGTGTTATCCTTGAGCTCGATGGAACTAGTGGGGCACACAAACGTTGTTAGCATTAAAGTTCTGGACAATTACCACCGCCATTGACCAGAGGATTTTTCCAATCGAGTCTTTGCATCCCTCAGCAGCTTTCACCATGTTTTCAGGCGTCGCTCTTGTTGGTCGTTGATTGGGGTGTTGTTGAGGCTCGGAATTGAGGGGGAATCAGGACCACTCGGGAAAGGTGACGTATCGCGGGCAAGAAAGTTACTTACCCAGCATTGGCTGGCTCGTCGGCCTTGATCAACGTGCTCGACATGATGGAAATGTTGGAAGGGAATAAGAGTGGGTGGAGGCGTAGGGAGTAGGTAGCAATATGAGGGCGAAGGAAGATGTCGATGTGGGTGAAGAAGGATTGGGAAAGTTTCTGGAAGTTGCTGAGGGCGCTGGTGCTATGCGGGGTCGCTGGGTTGCTGGGCTAGGTAGGGGTAGATTCGGCGTTAGGAGGCGGAAGGTGAAAAGGGAGCTGGATGTGACGGAGCTCCTCGCCCTCGCGTAAGGTACAAGTGCGGGTGCGGGTGCGGGTGCTGATGGCGCTGCCGCTGCTGGAAACTACGAAGTAAGGTGCTTGGTTCTTCTTTACGGAGTAGGTGCAATGTGCAATGTGCAATGTGCTGGTGATGGTGATGGCGATGGCGATGGCTTCAACAAAAGACAAATTAATAAGGTCTTGCTTCAACACAGAGGCTTTGGCTTGGAAGGGGAGCTCAAGATATGGCCCACCGATGGCCGAGAAACGGTGGAAGTGGGAAGCTGGCTGGACACCTGCAAGCTTGACGGCAAGCACTTGCACAAGCGAAATATGGGCGAAGGGCGAGAGCGAGGGGGAGGCATTGAAGAGAAGCTGGGCTTTTATCCACCCTCCACCCATCGACATGGCCATGCCGATCCCATTCATCGGTGCTTCACCCCATCTTTACACCTGAACAGACGAGACCGAGTGGGTGACTGAGGCTGATTATAAAGCCATTTGCTTCTGAAAGCCTGGGTGCGGGTGGATGTGGGTGTGGGTGTGGGTGGGGATAGGGATAGCTGGTAATAGGAATATGGATATGGATGATTCTCCCATTTCTCTACGCTGCGCTGCGCTGCGCTTCTCGTTTGTCACCTCGCCTCTGCTCAGCCCTGGCTTTGGACTCAAATATACTCGAGTACTGGCTAGGAAACCCCCGGATATGTGAGATCGACTTGACACCTCCTCGTTGTGTGATGTGTGATGTGTGATGTGTGAGGTGCTCGCCGATAAATCGGACTTTTTACCGCCTTGTCAGACAAGACCTCCCTCGTACGGAGGAATCGTGGGTTCGGGGTACGTCATGGTCTTGGAGCTACCTACCTAGGTATAATGTATGAGCGTCTACTCGAGTATGGTATTGACGTCTCATCTCGTAGCGAATTTTCCTCATTATTACTTTTTAACTTGCGTAACAATTGTGCTGTGGTTTGAAAACCACCTAGCAAGCGATGCCAGCGTATTGTTTCTTACGAGTACCGACTTCCTCTCTTCGCGCGAGTAAGATCTTACCGGATAGCACGGAGAAGAAGAAGCGAGATCCAATCGCCCCAGAACAATTCCCCGTAGACAAGAAGCGGCAGTGGATGGGTACCTTTCTTGGTGTTTTATCGATCTTTCTAGATTACTAAGTGATACTCGAAGACCCGCATCTGTAGACTGGTGAGCTGTCCTGGAATGAACAATTACTAAACTACCTATGTTCTTGGAACAACCCGGTTTTTGGACTTCATAAGCTTATAGAGACAATGAGGCTACTTGTCTACTGTACTTGTTGTCTCCTATCGGCAAACCGCGCGCAAAGTTTAAGAAATTGTCGAGATGTTGAGCTTCTACATGCGGTTTATCCGAAACCGTCAAATTGGACGTCAATTGCGCTGGATCCGGGAGGGAGACGCTGCAAGGAGAGTGATGAAATGCCAGATCCGTGGAGGGTTGAGGAAGGTACTTTGATGGAAGAAATGCCTCATACGTGAATATGTGGTAGTAAGTAGGTGAACATACCTTATGTACCTACCAGTAGGTACTCGTCGGTACATAGGCACAGCCAGATGGTTCCTGTGGAATGCATGGCTCTTCCCTTGCCTGTGGATGTCCAAGTACCGGTGTCCGTGAGGTAGAGGACACTTCTAGATCATGTGTTGCAGTACTGGTACGCATAAGAAACAGGAAGCATGAGAAAGAGTACCTATGTACCTACCTATCGAGTATACCTATCTTGTGGCTATTTTGTCTGTACCGAGTACCTGGCAGGGTCGGGAGTGAAACTGAGAGACAACACAGCCCAAAAAAACAATGGTTCGCGATGAAATACGAAGCAGCAGCAGCAGCAGCAGCAGCAGCAGCAGCAGCAGGAGTGAGAACGTGCGGAAGCGATGCACTCGAGAGAATGAATTGATAAAACAATACACACACAAACACACATATATTTGTACCTATATTAATGTTGATATTTATATTTCGATAATACTCTATCAAATATCAATACAAAAATACGCTCGCAATCAATTCATTGTCCTTTGGTGAGGAGCTGAAAGAAAATCCACGCGCGGTGATTGGCCCTCGACACCGGCCAGGGACCCACTTTCTTTGGCTACTTCTCAAACCGTGAGGTCGGGTCTGCTCCAACACCTAAAATGCCGTTCAAAAGAATAAGTGCGGTGCCTGCCCATGCCACACAAACCAAGGTTCGGCGGCTTGTTCAAATAAGAGCAAGTCCAGGTCATCCTCCTTGCGCCATGACTACTTCTACTTGATCCAGCACACCGCACCAACCCAACCCCATCCACCCATTTTACCCATCCTCACCATCGCCGCCATCGTCCATACTATCGCCAACTAATCCTCCGTCATTATTGGCAGCCCTGGAGTTGACGTCGTGACGATCGAGCCTCTGCAGTACGAGATCACGCAAAACTCTTCACCCGCTCCCTCAGCTAACCAGCAACTATTTAGTCACCCAACCCACCCACTGTCCTCGCGCCCAATTTCCTTTCATCGAAAACTCAACACCATCACCACGATGCCTCCATCAAGCAAACCCGCAAATGCCCATGGCGCACGACGAAAGTCCTCCAACACAAAGCAAAGCCTCATCATACAGTTGAAACTGTCCCCAACCAGCCTCCGCGCCTTCGATCCGCTTCCGTTCAAAGAGGTCGTCGAGAAAGAGGACTCGCCCGTGAAGGAATCACCTTCGTCGTCCAACTCCAACTCCCTTCCCGCCACGACCAGCTCAAATGGCGACAACAAATCGGACTCGAATGTCGACACTCCTGTCGCTGTGGGCACACCCGTTCCATCGGCGATGCCACCACCTCCCATCGAGGGACCCAAGAAGAAGGGAACGAAGAGAAGCGCCGCCGTCGCATTGGGACCAGATGGACCTCCCATTCCGAAAGTCAGAGGCAAGCCTGGTCCTAAGAAGAAGGCAAGATTGTAAGTACACCATGGCTTTATTATTCCTATCACCAGCTTTCTTCTTTCCCGACAGCTACATTACAGGTATCATTGTATCTCGCGTAAAGTACAGCCATCGACCAAGTCAATTACTAACTGGGTTCTTCTTAGGGAGGATGGCACCATTGACCACTCAAGCAGTGCTCCAAGAGCTGCAAATGGCACCGCACACAAGCTAGGACCCAAGGCCAATCAAGGTGCTATCAACGCAGGCCTCCGCGCTCTCGATAGAACCGGAAAGCCTTGTCGGAAATGGCAAAAGGGTGGCTTTGTGCTCAAGAGTTTCACTGGAGTCATCTGGGAGATTCCACGATGGAAAGCTCCACCACGTTACAAGGGAGATGGACTGCCTGAAAGCTCAGCATCTGGGGATAGTAGCAAGGAGAACAAGGACAGTCAAGTTGAGAGTGAGAAAAGCAATGTTGGTATTGAGGCTGCAAGTTCACCTGTCCCTTCCTTAGCAGCACCAGCCCCGTCTGCTCCTCTTGACGCAACACCAACTCCCCCTGCCAGCCAGACAGTTACTGAACCTATGGAGGGTATTGATATTACTGCACAGCCACATACAGGATGAGTGCTGTTGTTATCTCTGGCATGATGTATAACATTTTCTACTTGGATGGTCTACACATTCCGGCCAAGCGATGCCTGTTACCATCAGGTATCTTAGGGGGTTGGCTCTACTTTGGAGCTTCGTAAAATGTATTACTGTCATGTTTTTAATTATTTGGTTGGGCTTTTGAGGACCTGGGGGCGTTTTGTTGCACAGCATTAGGGAAACGTCTGTCAACGGGATGGTGATATGGCGTGTAGAGGCACTATGCTGTATTATAGAAGGGCATCATTGTGAGGTGCTTCGTGAATTTACAGCCAGGGTCTTCAGGATTATCTTTGTTTTGTTTGAGTGTGAATTTGCCGTAGTGGTTATTCTGACACCCTTCTTGATGGAACTGGACTAGTGATATCTCGCTACCACAGAAGACCTCACTTAATATTTATGACCCATTGCGACTCTATCTCTTTGTTCGTGTATTGTTTATTAGATAGTTTGGGAGATCTATAATTTCCATGCCTGCAAGTGACTGTAAGGGGGGAGTACTCAAACAGAAGTTGCCACAACGCATGAAGCTGAGCTTTTCCAGGCCATTCTCACCACAACAATCACATTAAGTGATGTGCAAAAACAGTAACATTTGTTGAAAGGGAAGAGGCACAAATCAGACTTTCATAATCGCTTATTATTCAGAGTTGGTGCAGCAGTGTGCTTTCAGCGTGTGTTTGATCCAGCCTGTAAGTACAATAGAGCAGTGGCAAGACATTGTAAGTTGATAATAGAATATTTTAGGACAACATATGTTATAACTCTCACTCACTTCCTAGGTTTTAGATTGGGAATACAGTAATTACTGCTCAAATAGTCAATTCAAGCCAGTTAAGACAAGGAGGGTACTTTACTGAGTTTACCTACCTAGATACTATAATTGCTTATTGGCTATCACGGGGCTGGTCTGAGAGGCGGGATCCCAGGAGGTGGATACGGTATGGTGGGAGTGGGTGTGGCTAGTCAGTAGACCCAACCCACCCAACGATCATCATCACTCCTCAAATGACAACCAAAACACTGAATACCAATTATTCACACCACGAAATGCATCTTTTCATGCTTGTGCAGCTCAGGTAGAGCTTAGGTTGTCTTGAGCCACAACTACATGGTTTCCTCCATCACTTAACGCTGGCCAATCCCAATCCCGACGGATCTAACTAAAGCACCCCTCCCACTACCTCTCTCCACCTCTACCTCATACATATCCACACTACCATACCCTACCACCATACCACCATCACCACCACCACTACTATTCTCAAGTTGATAGCCATCAGCACCACAATACACCATACGACTTGACCCTGCACAGTGCAAGTCCAACTCTCACCAAGACACCCAATTCAGCTCTATTGTTGGTGCACGCTGGACCATCCACGTCCTTACAACCACATCTGCCTGAGTCCTGATTCGCAGCAGAAAGCAGGCCATCATAGAAGAGGACATGACCAACTCATACCCATCGGGTTCACCGGGGGTTCCAGAGTATTCAAGCATGCCAACCGGGGCTTCGGGGGGCTTTGTGGCAAGAAGATCCTCGTACGCTTCTGTCGTTTCTGGCACCGCAGCAGCCATCCCACAACCATATCAGCAACCCACGCGGTCTGGCGATTTTGTCAACCTCTTGAATCAGGCCCCTGATTTCGGCTACGACTCAGGCTACCAGAATTCGGGCGGACAGATGCGATACGATTCTCGGGCGTACGATATGGACTTTGGCGTGAATGGAGGACAGGGAGGACAGCATGGACGTCCAGCGTCGTGGGGCCGGAATGGACATCTGCCCAGCTCCTCAAGTGCATATGGCCCGATCATGAATGGAAATGAATACGGGGCATATGGAACTACACACGGCGATACCTTTTTCGTGCCCTCGTATCTTCGAGGCTCGAAATATGTTCAAAAGCTAGAAGAGGGGCACAAGGCCAAAGTGTTGGCTCATAGGGATGGCCCCTCTAATCAGTCTTCACAACCCGGGTCGCTCTCAACAAGCGCAAGTAGCACACATATACATGCCAAAAATCCACCTTCACATCGAGGTATGACTTATGATTTGATCGAGAAAGTACCGCCTGTGATAGACGAATCTTTGTCTCTGTTGCCCTCGAAATGGAACAGCCAGGATAAACATCCCTCTCTCGAGGTTATGTCAGATGGGCAAGAGGTCAAACTCACGGGGTCGAAGACGGAACGAGAAAGAGACCTCGAGGCTTTTGCTATAAGGGCAGACCATTCTATGCCGTCTCAATGTGGTATTTACTACTATGAGGTAACAATTGTCTCACGAAAGCGAGAAGAGTGAGTCTCCAAGATCAACAAGTCGGATGTGTAACCTAATACCATTCTAGGAGTACAATTGCTGTCGGATTCTCCAGCAAAACTGTTACACTAAGCAGAATACCCGGTTGGGAGGCTGACTCATGGGCGTATCATGGTGATGATGGAAACTCATATGGTTGCCAAGCGAATGGCAAACACTATGGTCCACCATTTACAGCTGGCGATGTGATAGGCTGCGGAGTGAATTTCAGGACCGGTTCCGCTTTCTTTACAAAAAATGGCGATCATTTGGGTTGGTGAATCACGCTCAGTCGTTTGTGGAAGTTGCTGACCGAATACTACTAGGTACTGCCTTCCGCGAGGTCGATAAAGATAAAGATGGCAAGGAACGAAAGCTCTTTCCAACTGTGGGAATGAAAAAGTCCGGCGAACATATCCGAGTAAATTTTGGGCAAAGTCCGTTTGTCTTTGACATAGATGGCATGATGTCGGTCAGTCGTGATTTTGTTTTTTCTGGTTATCTGCCTCTTGGAACTACTCTTTCTTTACCTTGCCCCAACAATACACCTGTATATGGGGAAGAGCCTACAGATTTTGAATTTCGGCTCTTGCGTCAGCTCATTGCATCATGGGATGGGCCTCTGGAAGTCTTGCGGGCAATTATTACGAAGCAGGGCGTACCAGTTTCACCTGCTCAGGCAATAGCGTTGGCCAAGGAACACTTGTTCGCGCGAAGAAGGGTCGGGTGTCATGTCTGGTGCCGCATCATGATCAATCTGCTAATATTTGTTTTAATAGCTCGAGAAGACACATATACAACATGAGATTGAGAGAACCAGGTAGAATCAAGGAGTTCACTTACGGAACATCCAAAACTAATCTATCGCAGTACTGAAAGACTCGCTCCTCCACTGAACGAAACGGACTTGATCCAGTCCCTGGTAGGTTTGGTTAGCAATGATCTCTTGGCTACTTGTACTAATCATTCAACCCCTCAGGTCCTTCAATTCCTTACCCACGATGGCTACATAGAAACAGCAAGAGCATTTGCAGAAGAGCTTCATTCGGAAAAGCAAGCCTTGACTTTGGATCCCAACGCTGTACTTCCAGGTGTCAATGTTAAGGAGGATGAAGATGCGCGTCATCGACAGCGTATGATTATCAATTCATATTACACCTGAAAACTGCTGACGGGCATAGGGATTCGGACCGCTGTTTTAGATGGAGATGTTGAAAGAGCCCTCAAGTACACCAATGCGTTTTACCCTCGAGTCCTTAAGGACAACGAAAATGTTTACTTTCGCTTGAGATGTCGAAGATTTATCGAGATGATTCGACAAGGGGCTGAATTACAGCACTCGAACAAATCGCATGTCTCGAAAAAGAGTAATGGTCACAACGGGGATTGGTACGACGATATATTAAATCATGATATGGATTTGGACGAGCAACACCCTGGCCCGAGCAATAACTGGGATCGGATGGAGACCGAGGAGTCACCAAGAACCAATATTGACTATGACAAATTGGTGCAGGAAACACTTGAATATGGGCAAGGACTGCAAGCCGAATTCAAGGACGACCCACGACGAGAAGTCAGCAAAGCGCTAGAAGATGCGTTTGCCTTGATGGCATATTCAGATCCATTGAATGCAAAGGAGGTTGCTCATCAACTGGATCCCAATGGAAGAGTAGCTGTTGCTGAGGAATTAAACGCCGCCATTTTATGTAAGTTTTTATTCTACACAATCCTCGAGAGAAGCCTAACATGAGCGTCCCTCAGTGTCACTCGGGAAATCCTCTTCATCGGCTCTGGAACAACTCTACCAGCAAACAAGTGTACTCCTGGAAGAACTGCGCGAAGGGGGTGGGCCAGGAGCTTTCGTAAATATTGATGACTACGCCCGACCTAATGAACAATATCATCGCTAGTCCATATTCTTCATTCTCACAGAAAAAGGTGGGGGGGGTCGCAGCGATCCGATTTTCTCTCTCAGTTCATTTTCTCAGGCGTCCGTGTCATCTGCATTTCGGATCTATAGCATCCCTCTGTTTGTTTTGTTCGGAGTGATCGGGTGAATTCGGTATCGGTTGGGGCTTTCTATGGTAGGGAGCGGGGGCACTTTTGAAGAATTTATGGGTGGAGCGAATGAATGAATGAGTGCACAATGCGAGCAAGAGAGACGAGTTACCTTTCTCTCTGTCTTAGATTTGGCGACGCTGTGGTTTGTGAATAGGAATATAAATCGATGAATCCATATGTCTGCGGTCTGCTCGTTACACAGAGTTTGAGGATTGTATTGTGCTGTACAGGAGTGTGTTAAATTGGGTTAATTGAGTTGTAATCGCTGGGGGGAATCGGTTACCATCATGAGCTGAGAAACTTGTCTTATCCCTTATTCAAGGTACGAAGATGTTATGAATATATCATGCGAATAAAACCCCAATAAACTCTCTCTGAGCAAGTTGCCACCATCCAAGTAGGCAATCATTCCGCACAGGAAGCGAATTGGAACATGCAATCTGATACCAAGACTCGGTTCTTAGGTAGAAGACTGTCCCCACAGAGAAAGCGGTAAGAAGGCAGGCCTTTGAAGATAATCTTTGTACACGGGTAGTAGAACGCACCAGTATTTGAGAATATTGGGGGCCAGTTGTACGTGGAGAATGACGGGGACGGCGATTTAAAAAAGGTGACGAGAGATTTGGGAGAAGCATGTTAGTCGAAGAAACAACCACAAGAAGTTCTCCATTCTCGCGTTCTACTCAATTCCTTTGAGTTTTCATCCAGGTAAATTACTCCGTGATAGGTTTACGGCCCATACTTCGCTTCAGCGTAGAGAATCCGAGTAGTTGAGTTGAGTAGTGACACCTACTCAACTCAACTTGAGTAGTGAAATCACTAACTAATTCAACTCGCCAAGTACTCGATTAACTCATGAGTTATTCTAGTAGTGCGGGCCCACTCGGCCCGGGTCCCTGTGGCGCGCTCGGGCTCGCTAGCCGGACGTCCGACGGTCGGTCCGCGCATGCGGACTTAGTTAGCTAGATGCCCTTACGTTAGGCATATGCTAAGTTTCTTGTATTGTAGTCACGTTATATACAACTACTCGAGTACTACTTGAGTAGTCAAATCCACTACCGGTGCTCAACTCAACTCATCGGAATCACCCAATCATACACAATCAACTTAACTCGAGTAGTACTCGAGTTGAGTTGAGCAGTTGAGTAGTTTTGTGTTAACGCTGCTTCGCTTCAGGTTCAAGATATCCGAGTCCGCCACTACTGTGCAGAGGCCGCTCTACAGTACCAAGGCCGGCTTGGGATATCTTACATGTAGTTTTGTTCCAGGTAGAATTAATGTCACCTGTCGAAGGTGACTAATTTACTAAGGTGTGCAAACTGGTAAAAACCCCGTTAGGAAAAGGTTGCATTTACTTCGTCTGAGACAAGGCAGATAGTAGAATTTGTAGTTTCTTTTGCGGAACTTGCTGACCCTCGCATCGCCATGCTCACGCAGAATAGAAGCTACTGTTCAGTACACCCTGGTAATTCTCCATGTACGAGATGCCAAAAAGAAAAAGCAAAGAAAAAAGGACCGACAACCCCGACTTGACGGCCCCCGGAAAACGCGGGGTATGACAGCTGTCTAGAACAAAAAGCAATTAAGCTTAAATGAAGGTTTACGCACTATGACGATGTCTTCGGTACACCCAGCAAGGAAATATAGATTACTTTCAAAGTCAATCCTTCGCTCGCCCATCATACATCCTCACGCCGAGATGTATTATTGGGGGAGAAACATGAGAATGCACGAGATCCATCACATCAGTCACACGAGAACTAAAACACAAGGACAGATGCTGTATCATCTTATTCTCATTACCCTAGTTACCATCTCCATATTCGGGCAAATTGACCTTCCCTCAAATGTCCCCCATCTCCTCTTCTCTACAAAGGTGGATTGGTTCAAGAGCAAGCATCCACGTATATCTCCCCTGAGTCCGTTGTGAAACAAGAGAAAGAGGAAATGAAAAAGGGCAATTGAATATCAAGAAACAGCGCCCTTCTCCTCCTGAGACCTTTCTCTTTTTTGAACCGGAGGAAAAAAAAGATGTTGCCCTTCACCCCAAGCCCGAAAGATTATGTGCAAATCTATCTATCGCAAGGGACTCGCTTTCTCAGATGTGTGTGTGAATTTTCCCTTTTTTGGCCTCATCAAAGTTTGTTTCGTCGTTCATGAAAAAAGAGTGAAAAGAGAGAAATAACGCCAGTGATTTGTCTTTGGTTGCGCGGAGAACGACGAAGTAAAGTAAGCAGAAAGAACACCCCTATTCCTAACCCATGCCCTGACCCCTAATAAAGACAACAGAAAGAAAAGAATTTTTGTGGTAAAAAGGGCCCCAGATTTTTTAGTAAATAACAAATTCCCAGCTTCTTCTCTTGTGGAGACAGTTGGGCCATCTAAATTCGTGATGAGAGAGTACACCCAGTGTACTCTCCATCGAATGTAACTGCGGTAGAAACAACGAGCTGATCCGGACGAGCCTATCCGGGTGAAATTGAGACGGAGGAAAGATGCAATGAGGCAGTCCATGTTCAACATCGGATTTCTCAAGTATGATTTTTGGCAAACCATATTAGAAATAGCCGATGCCCATAGGAATTGCTTAACGTCAGTGCCTGGCTTTCAATGTACATCTAGCGACTATTCATAGAAAGGCCTTGGAAGTTGTTAATCCAGGCTTCACCAGGTGCTGCCATATGCGAACGAGCATAGTCTCCGTCATGTGGCGTAGCTCCGTGAGGAGAGGGAAATCTTGCTGGATAGTCAGTTCCACCAAACGATTGGAACGTGTCCATTGGACCGTAACCATTTGGAGAAAGAGCATTGCTGCGCGGAGCGACACCAAATGGAGAATATCCATACGCATAACCCGTAGGTTGGAATGCGGTCTGTGGCAGTGATCCACGATCGATTCCGGGAGTGCTAAATGCTTGCGGGAATGCACCTGCATAGTTACGATTGGCTGGTACATTCGCAAAAGGAATTGGCTCAGGCTGAGGGGCACGACGCTCAGATTGGGTGTTACGAGCGACACCAACAGCTCCGGGTCCAATACCGCTTGGTGCTTGAAGACCAAGGGAAGGGCTAGCGAAGGAGGCAGGGTTGATAGCAGACATCCAGATTCTAGTCTTGTAGACCTTGAAAAGATCCGTGACGAGTGAGTTAAAGTTGATGTATGCATCAGCAAAATAGTAGAAGGTCAATTTCTTCCAATCCCTGGTTGAAGAGTTAGTGGACTGCGTAAACAAGAGAATTCATTAGAAGCACTCACATTTGAAATTCAGCATCCAGAATCTCCATATGAAGACCGTGCTCCTTGACCTTTTGCATGCAGACACGCTTGGCCTTTGCCTCATTGCCTTCTTTGTCGCGGAGTGCTTGGATTTCGTGATTCTGAGCAAGTCGCTTGATGATCTTAGGCTTCATCTCACCAGGATTCGCTTCTTGCATGCCATGTTGAGTTGGGGGTCCCATTCCACCGATAGCGCTTCCTTGAAGACCATTAGAGGCGGCCATGAGACCAGCACCAGTGCCGTCCGCAGTACCCGCGGCACCCTGAGAATACATCATCAACCATTTATAATGTTCCTCAGCATAGTGCTCCTTCACTTCCTGGGCTTCGGCCCAGTCAACATTATCACGAGCGACCGTGCCAAGGTCAGTTCCACGATCAGCCTCAACAATGACCAAGTCTCCTGGCTTGACAGACAAACCAGTTCCTTCCTGGACATAGAATACGTCGGCCCGAGAACATTTGAAAAGAACGATGTATAACAGCTGATTGTTGCGAGGCTGTGGAACACCATACATGCTTCGGTGTGGTGAAGGAGCTCGCCCAACCCCAAACTGACCGGGCGCTCCATAAGGATAGGCTAGTGGCTGGTAATTATTGGAACCATATTGATCGGCGTTACGAGGTACAGTGGCAAGTCCACCGAAATAGGATACAGCTGTTGGTTGATCATGTAAATAGTTTGCCTTCAACGATGATTCTTCCACGATCTGGCCCAATTTTTGCCCATAAAGAGATGCTCGACGAGAAGTATCAAAGGTTTGCTCACCATGATCATTCAGAGAGTAACCAGATCCCTCCTGGTATCTGCCAGAATAATCTTTCACCGTCATGCTATCCTGCGAGTTGTTTTCATGCGCAGACATAGGATCCACGGCTGAACTAATTGAGCCCTGTCGAGTGGGAATGTCGGCGAAGGAATGGCGTCGACTCTGTGAAATATCACCCAGTCCGCCGAATCCAAGTGAGCTTTGCCAATAAGCCTTCTTAACGTTCTCTAGCTTCCGATTTTCCAAAGACATGTAGGAAGGAACTCGTGGTTGGCCAGTGGCTCCGTACTCACTCATTCTGCGAGCAGGCAGTCCTTTTGAAGCCATCTCCTGGAGTTCGTTGATCTCCTCGAGCTCATCAATTGCGTAATCCGAATCCTCTGGCACCAGACCAAAAGGGTTGCCTGTCGAAGAACGAGGTCGAACACGTGAACTGTGGTATTGTTGCTGCTGCCGAAGCATTGCGTTCTCTCTGGCCAGCATTTCAATGGTCTTGGCTTCATTTGACTGCAAGGTAGCACCGTGGTTTGATCCATTAGTACTTTCGTCATCGTCATCGTCAACTTCCTTCAATTTTCCCAGACCACCTTCATTCGACATCTCACTCAGCATACTTGGTCTCGATGGTCGATGTTGGAGACCGGAGTGTGGCAATGTACGTCCTCGACCACCTGCGGTCGGCGCAGTAGTGGTTGGGACAGCAGACGCGGGCGACTCGGGATCAAGCTGACCAACTGAATAAGATTGGGAGCGGTATGTTTTGGGTGTTGGATGAAGAGGTATCGCGAACGGAATGGGTTGGTTTGTTTGTGCGTCCCGTTGGTTATTCATCATACTATCATTACCAAAGAAACCATTGCCAGCCGATCCTGGTGGATACATAGAAGTGGGTGATGGAAGAACTTCAGTCAATCTAGAAGGAGGCTCCTTTCGAGATTCGTTGGTCCAAATACCACTACCCCAAGGAAACGCACTAGAAGTTGGATGGCCTCGGCCTACGTTTGCATTGGCTTGAGGATGAGCGTTCCAGGTATTGTTGGAGTCAGCTGAAGGAGTTGTAGGGTGTGAGGTTGTGGGTGACATTGAGCTACTCGCAAATGATCCCTTCCGAGGTTGGGCAGCACTTTGACTGGTATCATTGAGCCAGGAAGCGCGTCGTGTTGGCTTATGAGGAGGGACTGTTGCTTGAGCCTGATCATGTCGATCGCCTTCATCATCAGAGCTTGCCAAGGCTTCTGAGTCTGGAGTTGAGCGACGACCGTTGAACTTATCAAGAAGGATCGAAGGGTTGCTCGAGGTCATAGATGAGGCTCCAGACTGTGCAGGCTTGGCAGGACCGGAGCTCAATTTAGAGCCACCGGAACTCATGGTGTTGTCGTAGAAAGAACGGATTGTGTGTGTGAATAGGGAAGAAGTAAGGTGACTATTCTGATTTCTAGTTCTGTTGTATGTGATGCTGTGAGTTCTATTAGCTTCGATGATAGACCTGACGAGTAGGTGGTTGTAAGGAAGATCGGGGGAGATGATGGCACAGGTTGTGTGTGAATATATCCCAAGTCAAACTTGGTTGTAGATAACTCAAATGGTCAGATGCGGGGTAATCGGAGCAAGTCGAATCGACTGATTCCTTGAAACTGCAGGCGCAAGAACCTTGATGGGTGCGTGAATTGGAAGGTGAGAGTGAAAGTAAGGAGGAGTAGGAGCCGGATTGAGCCGCCCGACATACCTGTTTTACAGATCGATCCAAGCCAATGACTGAAGAACCGTAGAGTAAGGATAGGAAAGTGTCTCTAGTTGAATAGAGACCGATCTAGCGGTCGGTTGGTGGGAGGTTGGAGAAGTGGTTGGTTGTAGTACGATGAGAATCGTGATGAGCGTACCGGGAAAGCCAAGAGACAAAATGGGTAGTCCAAATTGTGCTGTTGTAGATCCAAACGGCAGTAGATGTTGAGAAGGGCTGGTAAGTGGGAACGGCAAGAAATAGACGGGAGGGATTTCTAATTACGGTGCGTTTATGGATTTTCTGGTGAATGAACATAGAGTCAGCTCTGTGGTAAATCGCCAACCTCGCTTGCGAGAGAATTGGCTCGCTTGGTATTGTGAGCCGGTCAATATCGTGATCGTGGCAAAGTGCTCGCCAAGGGTGAATGATAGGATACAGCGCAATTGTGCCTATTGTGACCGACCGACGGCACCACTGCTTCACTTTTGCAGCTGTTGTCGGGAATCTTTTCTCGGTGCACCTTTTTCGAGGTCCCAACCCCTCGGAAAAGGTGGAGGGCAACAACAAAGCGTATATAGCGTATATAATTGGGCATCATTATAACACCAGTCAAAGAGGGCTGCTCTAGACTCTGGGCCAGACTTCTTTGTGGCTCCACTGCGACTAGCATCTGGATGCAGGGATTCGTATCTCATACAAAACAAGCTCACTCACCCGTGCGGAATTACTATGATGGAAAGAGATGATGTTGGAGTACTAAAACAGAAATTGGTATCTGTCTTTCACTCTTCAATTAGCATTTGATTTTGGGAGACATCCATGCCTCCCCCGCGAGGCCCAGACCAACGTTCGCCTCGGCAGCAGATTTCCGCGACTGACCTGAAAAGAGCGCGATTGCCGTTAGAAAACCATAAACCCTTCTATTGTGTCAAGATTCCCGTTCTTCGATTTATGTGCCCACCCAAATATCTAAAGCCAGCCCAATGTACCGTGTGAAGGAGAAAAAAAAGTCGTACAAGCGTCGTCGCGTGCGGAAAATCAGGCTGTGTTGCCCAGACTATGCGCGGCCCATCGTTGGACGAGGAGGCCGCTGTCAAGTTCGCAAAAGGTCCAGAGGAGCCGAGTTGACGGATTATCGAGGGCAGAAGCGAGTAGAAGAGGACTCGGCGCAAGCGGAGAGGTCGAGGTAGAGATGCGTTGAGGTGCGAAAGTCGGCTGCAGCTGAGGAACGACCGTTGGGGGGCAACTCGTGTAGTGCGTCGTTGGGGGCGGGGTCGGGGGAGTTGTTGCTACCAACAGGACAGAATTGCGAGGTCAAGAGTCGAATGGTGGATGGAGTGAGAGTAGTGGATTGTTAAGGAGGAGGAGAAGGATATGGAGACTGGAAGGGCAGGAAATGTATGATGTTCGGGAGCAGAATAACCTTAGCAGGCGTGCGGAGCGCAATTGAAGAAAGTGGGGAGCAGCAGGAGCAGGAGTCAGGAGCACCAGCAGCAGCAGCAGCAGCCGAGAATTGATGCATACGACTCCACTTCTGCCATTGTTCTAAGCTAACGAGCACGCTAAAAGTGCTGGGACCAGGGTCGCCGGGCCCGGGCGAGCAGGGAAAAGTTGCCCCCATACCCATCCATACCCTTACCTTAGTTACCTACCCATAACCCAACGCCCATCACCCATCACCCATACAGTAAAAAGACTGGGGCGCCCAAAGGCCTACTCTTCGAAGTAGTACTCTACACCCCTCGTCGTCGTCCACCTCCATCTCCACCCCTGGGCCCCTGGGCATCTACGGTCTACCACGACTAGCAGCACCGCGCAGCATCAATCTGCCCGCATCACTCCTTCGTCCTTCGCCGACTGGAACTTGACAGCAGACAGGCGCACTGCTCACACAAATCATGCACAGGTGGCAGCATCCATCAGTCGTCAACCACCATTCACTGCAAAACTGAGACTCTCATAGTGGTGATGGTGGTATTAGTGGTGATGGTGGTACTAGTGGTGATGGTGGTACTAGTGGTGATGGTGGTACTAGTGGTGATGGTGGTTTTTTCTCAACCACCCATCTTCCCTACACCACGAGCACACCTTTGCAACGGGACATCCTCCGTACAATCCGGCGGCCGTTCGTGCATCTGGTGATACACACGGAGATGATACGATTGCTGTCGCTGGAGGGGTGCCGCTGGCTACTTCGATCTTTTGGCATACTCTACGTTTTCGCAGTGCGAGAACCGCTGCGAGGATATGGGTGGCCGCCAGCAGCCATCCATCAGGAAATCCCCTGGAATTGGATAGTCTAGACTCGACATGCGCAAAGGAGAGAGCGAGGAGGCCTGCTTCGAGCCTTAGTTTGGTCCACCGTGACGCGCTTACTGGAACCCGTTGAAGCACGCTCGGCCAGCCACTCACCATATCAGCATCCTCTGCACATTATCTGTCCATGTAAGTCACACGCGCGCTTGTCTTTCTCTCTTCTCTCCACCTCCCTCCCCATCTACGCTGTTTACCATCCGAAAAAAAGGGGTCTTCCGGGGAGCGTGGCTGCGTGGCATCGACAGTGGGAAAAAAAAAAGAAACAGAAACCTGGTAGGTCCACCGCGCCTGGAACAGACCGTCCTAGACTCCTAGCCCGGCCCAGTCCAGCGCCCTCCAATACCATCCCCAAAGGTTCGGATATCCCGCTCGCTACGGTGTTGGTGTGTGCTTCTGAAACTTCTGACTTCGCAGTATGGTGAAGGGCATGGGAAAACGATGACGATGACGCTGAAATTGAAATTGAGATGGAGATGAAAATTGAACCTTCTTCTCCATCCGTCTACCTACAGACTTCGTACATTGGCTCAGCACGCTAGCTCTGTCTCCATTATGGAAAAGTCCGGGACTGGAAAAAAGAGGGGGGAAGGGGGGCATCAGGATCAGGATCTTGAGAATAAATGGATACCGTCGCCTAGTGGCTCTGCGCATGCACATGCGCCATGTACGGTAGGTAGGGTCGTAGGTTCAGTGTAGTGTACTCCGTACGAGTACTACGGTGTCCAGCCCTCCCCTCTGCCACCAGCGCACTCCAACTCGGACGGCCAAGTTTCCCCCAATTTCCCCAGATTTTGCAAAGCGAACCAATCGAGATTCATGGCTCGCCTGTGGATGGATGATGTGGGATGTTTCGCCGCCGCCGGATATCTTGGTGGAGGCACGGCGGCACGGCCTACTCAGTGCCACCATCAACCTTTCTTCTGACGGCGGAGCCAAAATGAATCTTGAATTTGCGGGGAAGCTTGTCCTAGTCCTTAGTACCGCCTGTACAACCTGGTATCTATCGGTACAGTAATGCCTACGGAGTCTGGTACAGTATTATTCCTGGACCCTCCTCCCTCTCCTCTCCGCAGAGCTGACTACGCGTGCGCCATCACCATCGTGCTTTCAGATGCCTGCCCAAGGGTCACCCACACCCGCTCCTTCCGCTTCCTGGTAAGAAATATCGCTTGAAGGACGAACCGGCCTGGAGGGGAAGAGGAAGGGGAAGGGGAAGGGGAGGGGGAGAGGGGGAGTCCCGTTGCTCTTGTCTCCGGCACAGAGATCATCCCATGCTGCCACCCCTTGACTCCTGCAGCCAGCGACAACGCTTGAGGGTTTGCAGCTCATGCACTGCACGGTGATTCGCTGCCTCTGGATTACACTTCACCCATCGACGATTGTAGCTTGAGTGAGGAGCCAATCACCAACCCGCATGGGAATGTCGTCCATCAGAAGGGTCGCCATATACTTGGTCAAGAGGAGAGGTGAATGAAGAGGGGGACACGGCATTGCATGGTGGTTTCATTTGGATAATATCTACCTGTGACATAATTGTGGCCGTTTTTGATCGGTTGCATCGATTGAGAAAGCTATGGAAATTGTTGAGCGTGCGTAGTCTTTTCAGAGGCGAAATGGGCAGTCGTATGTTGTTGCATCCATGTCTGACTATTGAAACGTGGGAAGAAAACATACGAGATAACTTGACATTCTGTACCCAAGTATCTATCTAACCTTCAGTAAAAAATATCCGACGTTTTGACTGGTAATTATGTTCATCTTTCCATGCATCCATCGTCTGATGGCAATTGGAGAACAGCTGTTCCAAGAACAGCATACATGCCCAGAGAAGAACGAGACCTTAACTTCAATGTTTGTCAACAACGTGACGTTCTTTCACTAGCCGCGGCTTCTTAACACGAAGCTCAAACTCCAAAGAATTGTATTGCTACGGAAATAGTGACTCCAGTGCCCAAGGGTATCTTGTCCAGTTATTGTACAGTTTTCAACGCTGGCCTCTCCTTCCAATGCCTCCCGTTCCTTAACTGACCCACGATTGGCAGGTCCGCAAAATTAATCCAGACTACCTTATTGGCTATTTGGAAATTACCATATTTGGTTTTGTACTCTTCTTCCTCTCTTTGTGTACCGTTTTCAACTGCCTAGGCGTGAAGAGAGGTCAAATTTTTAATTCTATCAGATTCCTTGTTCTTCAATAGCTTCTGCTCGAACTTCTCGAACTCCGCTGCAGAGATCTCATCTGAAGGATCTTTCACTTGTTTAACTCCCTTGACTTCTGGGATCTGTTCAATTTTTATCAGTTTCTTAGCTTCAAACCAAGTGAAGAGTAGTACTCACGTAGTGCATCAACATGCCCTCAACACCTTTGTTTAAAGTGTTAGTGCTTGATTCGCAGGTGGTGCAAGATCCATGAAGCTTCAATTTAACATATCCATCTTCGAAACCCATATATGCAATATCACCACCGTCCCCTTGAATGGATGGCCGAACTCGAGTTTCCAGAAGCTCTTTGATCATTCCAACTGTTTCGCTGTCATTTTCATTGTATGCGAGACTATCCTCCTCGATTCTAGCATCATCGCCGGCAGATCTTTCCGAAACGTTCACGATGGGCTTTCCGGAGTTTATGGTTTCTGTGATGAGCGCAAAGACCTCCGGCTTAATGTGTGGCCATGGGGTCTCTTCATCCTTTGTTACAGTGATGAAGTTCGCACCATAGAATACGCCTATGATCCCATTGATGTTCATCAGACTCGCGGCCAGAGGTGAGGGGTATGGTGGCTTGATAGTTGCTCCGGGGGTCTTGTATTCAAGAAAGGTTGGGAGACCTTCTGGAAGGATGGAGTGGTTTGGTAGGAACTTGAGGGCGTCGGGGTTCGGTGTGGTCTCGGTTTGAATAAAAATACTGCGAGTGCCACCAATTGATGTAGGCCGTAGCATGCTTGAAGGCTGATGTAAAGGCTGCAGTTTTGGCCTGATGGCCGAATTTGATGCTGACATCGCGGGCAATCGAGTGCTTTGGTGGACATATCTTGCTGCAAAGACCGCCGGAGAAGCAGAAGCAGGTTGCTTGAGAGGGCGGCATTTCGCAAGTAACGGGACAGCCGCCCGCGGTATTCTTGCGGATGCCATCTTGGGGTGAATTTTATATGCACGATCAGTGGACTGCGGAAGTGATGAAGACGTATTGGTGAAAGTATAACGGAGCAAACAGTGGCGGTCGCGAGGTTGTGGAGGTACCACTAATTTATGCGGTTGATAAGCAGTTGGTTTTCGGCGTTGGATTGCCCCTCGGCCCAATGACGCGAATCGACTCAAAACTTTCCTTTAACCCCTGCAAATTCACGAACTTTGATTTCCCAGGGCGCGAACACAATATTGAAACCTACAACCACAAACATTTTTTTTTGACACTTTCCCTCCCCAAACCAACCGGCTATGGGTAGCATGGCAGACACATCTGCTCCTCCTCTCATAGAGGATGTCACAGAATCCAGAGTCGAAGTCGCAACAGCTGCGAATGGCGCAACCACCTCCTCCGAGCTACAGTCCCCCGCCGCCCAAGCACCTACGAAGGAAAAAACCTGCGGGGTGTGCCATGAGATGGAAGGGAAATACAAATGTCCCCTTTGCTTTTTGCCCTAGTAAGAGCTTCTGCTTCTGAAGCCGCGGCAGACATCGCAAGCTGATATTCGTCCTAGTTGCTCTGTCGCATGCTCGAAAATTCATAAACCTACCCACCCTCTCGAGCCTCAGCTTCCTAGCAAGCCCAAAGCTACTGTTCCCATCGTGGACAGTACCGTACCGAGACCTGGTACTGTAGCCGCCGCGGGGTTTAAAGGCCCTTTCGCGGCATTGGACAACTCGAAGGAACTACAGACTCTCTTCATTAAATACCCGAGGCTGATTTCTCAGCTCACTAAGATAAATACCGCTACCTTACCACATACGGGCGAGGAAAACTCGAGCGCTCTGCAGGGAATGCAGAAGAAAGGCGGTAAGAAGGAGCAATGGAACTCTGATCGCGGAATGCAAAGGGGCCTGGAGGCGTTACGCAAAGCCAGAGACGATGGCGATGGGGACGGAGAAGGCGTCAGAGAATTCTCAAAACTGATCCTCCAGATCTTATCCGGCGATGAGGCTCGTAATACTGAAGTACTCATTCAGAAGGAAATGCAGGAGGAGAACGCGCGGATAATTAAAAATATGTTGGATCAGGAAATGGGCTGAGGAGATTTTCACATCTAGACGGAGAAGACCATATCAAGAGAATTCAGAATTACGATGATACCAGACAGAGGCGGCATCGGACTCGCAGGGCAGGTCCGATTACTGGGTACCAAAGCTTGCCACTTTGGTTCCAAAGAGAATACAAAAAACTGAGGCCTCACACACTACCAGGATTCTATACCAGTAAGGAATGGTCTGGATCACTGTGAATCGCCGGGAATATTTGGATTGGGGAAGACTAGTTGTATACTCATACTAGCGCGAGCCCTGCGGGATCAGATCATGACAGCCGTGGATGGAATTAAATTCATTAAATTCATATGAAGTTCGTTACGAAATACCCAAAACATTGCATAACATACGATGTTGATGCTGATAATGTCAACTAGGATGCCGTTTAAACCGTGCAAGAAATCTTCCCTTTCCGCCCTTGCTGGCATCAGTTGGTGAGCCAAGGTTCCCGATGTTCGTTAATACTCCATTCTTGTGTCCAATGCTCTTCTCTCCCCTGACCATCATCATCCAACTCGAATCCTTCTTTCTTAAAAATGGAGTTACCCATTCTCGTTTCGTATGCCCGTTCTCAACATCATCCCTCTGAGCCCAGTCATGTCTATCGTTTGCTTCAAACAATGGCTTGGATCTCGGCTTCGCGGCCCCGTGGACAAGTTGTTCATCGTCCGATAGCATGTCTGACGTACTGAAGCGTTGAATTACGTTTGAATTACGCAAAATTCGTAAATGTGATGTTTCTGGTTGGAATGTTCGCTGTGGCGGCTTGTACAAATCACGATCGATGTCCAAAACCACAGCTTCTTCCATATCGTGGGTCCATTGGAATTGATTACGAGTTCTCACACATTCTTTTTCGATTGCTACTTGATCCCGGGCCTGGGTTTTCTTGAGAGCTGAAAGTCCGGGTTCTTCGTTGTGGATGCTTAACTGTGTTTTCAGCACGGGTTCGGCAAGTTTGTGAACCTGTCGCAGAACATCTGGTGTTGCGGTTCTTTGGAATGCTGTTGCTGCCACCTTGGGAATATGGTGATATATTCCATTTGCCTCAGTTGCGGCAGCTTTCGCGGCTCTAGCTTCTCGCCGTTTTTCTGCTTTGAATCTTTGCTCTGCCAGATGGATTTCGAGGCGGCGACATAAATCTTCTGGGTCGAAGGGCTCGCCTTGCTTGACCCTTCGCTTCGCCGTAGTGCCTCTGGGCTCCCTCGGAGGATATGTCATTGTTATTATATAAGCTCCCTGTCGCAAGAGAATGGATAAGTAAGGGTATTGTTGAACAAGGGCTCAATATTGGAATTTTACTTACTGTAGGGCGATCTGGAACTGATAATGCCTCAACGGCCGGCGTGCTGGGCGGCAAACGAGCTTTATAGAGGGAGGAGATATGTCAGGTGTACACAAAGTACGAGACAGAACGTTCCAGGGTCAAGTTGGGGTATGGAGATGTGGGGGGCGGACGACGAGTCACAACAGGTCTCAAGCATGCATCGCCATTTATTTCTTCGACTGTCAATATGATCACCAGCGTACGTGAGAGGTGCACGAGGGGATACCCAAGTACAAATACTACGATGCCGAGTAGATAAAAGTCGAGGCCACAGACATCACACTACTTTACATGCATCTTGGGCTTGCCATTGTAACCCAAGTAAGTACGTTGACGGTCCTGCCCGAAGTTGTCACGAAGCCACCATTCAGAAGCAGGTCACGGACCGACAAAACTTTACATCAGGTTCTCTTAATGCAGCTTAACGTTGGCGGCGGTAACGAGGCTCGATTGGGAAACCTGCAGCATGGTACATTCCGGCTGCAGATCTCGTGGGGTACTTGTTTTTAGTACATATCTCTATTATTTTTTGTTTAGACCAACCAACGGGCATTTCTCGAACAAGCTGACTTGGATTTTGATGTCCAATGTCATACATCCTTATCCTCAGCTTCAGTACACCAATTTACTTCGGTCTGAAGCTGCTTGGATGTGATTGGTCCTTGTCCATGACTGAGTGGATGGCTCGGCAAGACACGCCATTTTTCCCTTCATGAACAGATAACTTTTCATTCTTTCGCTTTTTCTGTCTTAATGTGGATGGAGCCTCTCTTGGAATGGGTACCTTCTTATCAGCATTATTAGTTTTATGTTGATTTCTACGTACGCTTGTTTTCGGGGCTCTTGGATTGGCATCGCTTTCCTGTGGTGGTGGGCACGAGACCTCATTAGAATGCCTACATCGGAAGACTCCAGCAGCGTTGGCAAATGTTATTATCACTTCCAGACGGCTCTTTTTCTCACTTCCTTCTTCCTTAACGTTCTCCTTTCCGTGTTTCAACACGGGGAAGTGTGTATGCCACGATCTTTGCTTTGTGAATACATTGTACGCGTCCTTTTTGTTCCTATTCCTGTGAAGCCAAGCTTAACGGCTGTTATGAAGCGTTAGTACTAGGTACTCCGTTTGGACGGGATCGTATCACCAGAACGTGTACTTGTATCGTTTGCATTTTGTCTTCGTACACCCCGAGGAGGATTGTGGAGTTCGGACTTGAAAGATATATCTCTTTTTTTGTAGGAGTCAGGAACGCTTCTCCGATGCTCAACCAAGTCACTTTGAGGAATCGAGTAGATTGCTAGTGCGTACCGAACGGCAACAGAGACAGTCTCTGTAAAAGTTGATTCTCAGGCTGGAAAATACAAATTGTGTGGTTGTAGATGTAGTCTGTTCTAGTTTTCCTTCGGGGGTCGGAAGGGCTATAATAGTAGTCTCGTCGGGCCCTCTACTATGGATACTGTTATCAACTCCTTCGAATTGATACCTGAACCATAGTTGGTCTGGATACACAGTGCGCCACAGGTGTATGACTTAGTTCAGGTTAAAGTGCTCCCCCGCCGGATAATTGGTGCTTCTGTTTGACAAGGAACTTTTCCTCCGAATATTCTTTCGTTCTAGATGCAGATCTGTCTTTGATGTCATGATGCAGGTGGATTTCATGATCTAAATAGATGTCTCTCAGGGGTAGGGGATTGGCGATGTCGATATCGATTCCTCAAATACTGGGGTTCTATTAATGGTAGTCAGACTCGTAGCAGACTACGCAGGCAAGTCTTTCGCGGTGGAACTCTCCAGATAGTATGGCACGTCTTTGGAGTATTACACAGCTTAATCCAGGCTTTCCATAGCAAAAATGTGCTGTCTTCACTCTGTCCACACTCTTAGACCCAAGAGCAGTGAATGGGCTGCGACTCGAACAAAAGGTGAGAAAACTTCTTTCCCAGACCTCAATACCTGGTACCCGGTAGACACTAAGAGCATAAGGGAAAAAGATCCCCCCAAAGTCTTCTTATTGTGCCGCAACTTGACGAAATGGCATTTCTCTCACCGATATTTCAGCTGCAGATTTCTTCCACTGCCTTCTTGGAACCCTACCCAAATAAACAATTCACGATGACTTCATGAAAGCTATGTGAATATATGGCGACTTGTTTTTCCAACCTACAGAGCCCTTGAGGCGTGCACCGTTCATTTGCTGTAAATATCGTTGGCCATGCTTTGGTATCCGGGAAAGTGATGTTTTGAAGTCCGGGTTTAATTATATACCTTTTAGATTATATTTAGTGGAGTTTTCAAAATTGTTCTAAACGATCCAGAACCAGTCCTTCAGAGCTCTCTATATACTGCCGTTTTGCTACTCGAGTACCCATCGCCAGATTGTTTCGAAAAGATTGCTAGGAGAAATCTGATAGGCCAACGTCATCATGTCGGGTAAACCATGAAAGCTTTGTATTGGAATCGAAAGAACAATTTATTGTCCTTCTAGCGACGAGGCGATTATGAAAGCAAGTTCTCGGTTCTAAATATATTTCTTCGATCGGTCTCCAAATGGGAAGTTAAGGGCATCCCTAGGCTGAACAGTTACACCATGACCATGGCATGTCGGCCAATGGGGCTCGTCTTTAGGGCCACGACCCTTCAGAGTTTGCTGGTGCGAATACTCGTACTCGAGTATGCATTTCTATTTCTGCCAGAAGAACAACACCATAAACTAAGCATAACTGCAGCTAAGATAGCTCCGATAGTTGCCATAGCGTTTGACATTCTGGCGGCTCTTGACAGACCATCATGAACCGCGCCAGCTCCAGCGTTCCGAAGACCTAAAGGCCGCGGTGGTTTGTTTGAAGGTCGCCTGACATTGACACTGACACTGACACTGGCACTGACACCGACACTACCAACTTACTGGGATGGACGCGCTCTCTCGAGGCTCCAGCAACGCCGCAGCTGCTGCAGCTACAGCTACAGCTGCCCACCAGGCTCAGGCCCTGCGTGGACCTGCGCTGGCGTCCAGCAACTCAAGCTCGAGCTCGAGCTCCAGCACCAGCACCAGCACGACTCCGCGGATCTTGCGACTAAGTTCACGAACCGTCTCAGCGCCCGTCGATGCGACACCACCGTTGATGTTACAGCCTGGGGACTACGAGTACAGCGGCCAGCGCGACAGCATCGCCTCTCTTTTCCACGACGACGATCCCTTCTTCAAGCAGTTCCAAAGCCCCCAGACGGCCCTGGAGCTGAGGACCGCGAGAGAGCGAGAGCGACAGCGACAGAGACAGCGAGAGCATGCTCATGTTCGCGCCCCAGTGGTAGTGGCAGTCGACAATCCCGCCATGATACCTGTGCGTCACCCTACCCTCTCCACCACCCCTCTCCCACCCCTCTCCCACATCCGCTGGTCGAGTCCAAACTAATGCGAAAGTTCCATCGCGATAGCCTCAATCGCGAAGCGCCAGCGGGATGGCAACCATCAACATTGCCGTCATGGGGGGTGGCGGCGTGGGCAAGACGACCTTTACACAGAACGCCTTGGGACTACGCTCGCTACCCACGTCCATCACGTCGAGTCTGCGTATGTCGGTCGACAATATCGTCTATACGGTAAGTCTGATCGAGCTGGCTCTCGAGTCCTTTGACATCGCCCAGGACCGCCGCATCGAATGGCCCAAGCAGATCAATGGCCAGATGGTGCCACGCATGGACGGTGCTCTGCTGCTGTACGATGTCATGAACCGCGACAGCATTGCGGCTCTCCCCCAAGCACTGAGTACGCTTTCTCAGAAGCCCATGAACTGATGCCACATGGCTAATCGACTCCCCAGATGGACTCGTGGATTCTGCTCTCCCCACCATCCTCGTCTCCTGCAAATGTGACAATCCGGAAAACACCCGACAGATCAACGTAGAGAGCATGGAAGCTGCGTGTCATTCTTGTGTCGAGGCTCTGAAGACGGCCGCGACGGTGCCTGAAAGCGCAAGGCTGTGTCTAGCCTCCATGCTGAAGGCCATCATGGAAAAAAGAAACGGTCAGTGTGCTTCGTCGACTCGTTTTACGCAACATCTCGTTCTGCATCCGTCTTGATCCAAACTTTCCAGCCCCTTCATCCCATATATATATGTACGAAGCATACGAACACTTCTACATCGTATTCCAAACCCTTGATTTGCCTGTCATGTTCTAGAAAAAAAAAGTCTAAAGCCCCTGCAGATGTTTCCGCGGCCGGAATAGGAACTCGACCCCGCGCTACGAGTATTTCTGCTTCATCGCATCACCAGCATCTTGAAACATCCTTGAGTCAGCAAACCAGACACAGCCGCAGTAGTAGCGAATACTCACTTCTTCGAGGTTTTCCATCACCTCCTCTAGTATCTTCTAGACATCCTCCCTCTCCGCGATCCAATTTGCACAACCAGTTCACTATTCCGGATCCCCACACAGCTCCGCCCCTTTCCTCACACCCGGCCTTCCGGGATGAGACTCTTCGAAGTGCCGATCCTAGCAGCAAAATTCTAACAGCCTCGAATCCTCGCTCACCACTCCTTTCGCAGCCAATTGACAATAACAATCTTGAAATGGAAGAATCTGATGTAGATTCTTCGTACCGCTACTCTGATGATACGTCCATATTACAACGAAATGACGATAACAATTTTGGTAAACCGGCAAAAGTCACCGGCGTTACTTTTGATGAACTCGTGGATCGACTTTTGGCCCAGGTCATGACCAGGGCAGATTGCAACTTTATCGACATTTTCCTCTGTTTATATAGAAAGTTTGCCGCCCCTGGAGAGCTGTTTACAGCAATTCTAGCCCGTTTAGAGACTGTCACAAACGACAGAAACACGCATTATCTTACCCGAACCTCAAACCAGCTTCGAATCGTAACGGTAATCGCCAAATGGGTGGCAAGCTATCCGGGGGATTTCGCCAGTTCTTCAACGAGCCAAGCCCTTGATAGGTTTATAAACCAGCTATTGGGTGAACCGGTCTTCATGGCAGCAGCTCACGAGATTCGAATGCAACTTCAGTGTCGCGTCGTCGAGGATGATGACACGGACTGGGCTCGGACTGATGCAGATGCGGAGAGTGAAAGCGGAAGCATTGCAGAGTCTACCTATGCATCTTCATCGCGGCCAAGCCAAAGTGCCAAAAGTGATTTGGTGGAGAGTGTCCAAAATTTACATGTTGAAGATGAGGAGGGCATTGAATCTGATCGATTCGGGTCGAGAGCGGGCTCAACCTACTCTGGACCGCGAGACTCTCTAACACAATCTTTCTCGGCATCTTTATATACAGTGGAAGATTATGAAAAAGAAGCAGCCAAGATGCTTCCGAAAGCCAATCTTCCCCTCACCAAATTTCGATATCGTATATTTATGGACATTTCTGAGGATGATATAGCGGATGAAATGACACGAATTGATTGGGTCATGTTTTCGTCAATACGAGTTCGGGACCTTGTTCGGCACGTCAGTCTCTCCTTGGAACAAAAGGAGAAATGCAAAAGTCTTGCAAACGTCAACCGAATGATCAGCCACTTCAATCACATTGCACATTGGGTGGCCAATATGATCCTTATTCGAGATAAGGCTAAGCACCGTGCACAGATGATGGAGAAGTTCATGACTGTGGCTCTGAAGCTACGGCAGCTCAACAACTACAATGGTCTTGCTGCCGTCCTGGCTGGTATTAATGGAACCGCAATTCATCGTCTTGCACAAACTCGAGCGCTTGTTCCTACGGATGTTCAAAAACGGTTCGCAAGGCTAGTTCTTTTGATGGGAACCCAGAAGAGTCATTTTGCGTATCGCCTAGCATGGGAGAATTCTCCTGTACCACGTATTCCTTTTGTGCCTCTGACCCGTCGAGATCTCGTCTCAGCTGAAGAAGGCAGCCGCACATTCGTCGGCGCTAATGGAGAGCGAATTAATTGGAAGAAATTCGAGGTTCTATCGGAAGTTGTTCTTCCAATTATGAAGAGTCAGGTCTTGCCATATCCAAATCTTAATAAAAATGATGACGCAAGAGGAATGATCTTGGATTGCAAAATGCCCATTGATGATGAGGTATAAGCTCCTCTGTTCCTGTCCTACTGAATAATAGCTAATGGTGAGATAGGCGATATATCAACGAAGTCTATCGTTGGAAAGTACGTCGGGATCCGTGGACTTCACTAAAAAGAAATTTCCGTGGTTTCAAAAATAGATGAGTCTCTTTCTGGCTGCTCGTGTACCTCTACATCTCGTGTTTTTGGAAAATTTGGGTTTTGGGATATAGACATGGGAATTTTGGGAAAGGAGAACGATGGGTTGGGGACCCTGAAATGGCTGGGTAAATTTGGACCAATCTTTTTTCTTTTTGGAAAAGGGAAGATTGCGAATGGAGAGGGCGATGGATGACGGTGTTGAGTCTTGCGCATACCCATTTCGGTTTTCTTGTTTTCCCCAGAAATGGTCGGGGGAACGATATATTTATCTACATATCCCCCTGTGTATGTTTATATGAACGATGGGCGTCATATTAATAGCGAAATTGTATGGTTATTTTTACTTGCCTTTTCAATGGGCTAGCTGTGATTCAGCTCAAGACAGGAGAGAAGAGTAGCGTAAGGAAAGAATATTGAAACTTTTATTCTACCCTTATTGAGGTTATCATGGCAAATCATACTCGGTGATTTCCTTGAACCAAGGTTACGTTACGTTGGCCACACTCACGCTCGTACCCGTTGAGGTAGGTAGTCGCGACTCGATCGCCCCTTCCTGTTTTGGCGAGTTCTTGAGTTAAGCAGGCGTCGCTCAGAAGAAACCCGAACTCGACACTTCAACTTTTCGAGGTCTCCAGCATCATTTCAGCCCGCTCATCAACCTCCGTCAAAATCAGGGTTCGACAGTTTTCAATCAAGTATATCAAATCCTAAGTATTCATCCTGGGCTTGGTTTGGCCTCTATCTCTACTCCCGATTGCGCGTGCATACCTCTCACCTCCCGAATATCACAGATATAGAGCTACTCCGCGATGACAAAATCAGCGCTCAAACGCAAGTCCGAAGGTACGTTGCTCCTCTTGTGCAGATTAAGCGACTCGAGTAATCCCTCTTCTAACTACCAAAAGGAGTCGCGCCTACTGGCAAGTCAAAGCAGCGAAAGCCATCACCACCGCCAGCTCAGAAGGAAGCACTGGAGATAGACGATACGCGCAACTCTGGCGGTGAGCACAACGATGCTTTATTCGTCGAGGATAATGCGCCAATGATTCGACATGTCAAGAAGAGCAAGACTCGAAAGTCAGAGCCCGCGCGCACCCACAGAACCGACGAGTACGAAGAGGATGAGGGGAGGGCAGAGTCGCAGTACGTGTCAAAATTCTCGAGTAGGACTCTATTCTTGGATACACTGCTAACATCCCCTTTTCAGTCAATTTCTCGCTCTCGTAGAGTACGAAAGCAAAAAGAAGAAGGCGGCTTCGAAAGCTTCTGCATCTTACCTTGACAAGTTCAATCAGCAACTGAAAGATGACGACCAGAAACTTAAGAAACAGCTCCACGTATTCAATGAGGAATGGTAAGTTTCTTAGATGTTCGGCAACGTGCCTCTAGCTGATCCTTCGCAGCTCCAAACTTGACGGAAATTTTGCCGACGACTTCCGTGAAGCATTCATCGCCTCCCGCCCTAGTGAATCGCAAGCCGACGAATCCGAAGAAGCCACTTCAGCTCCTGATGGTCACTTCTGCAAGAAATACGATGAAAGTCGAGTCATCACGCAAAGTGCGAAGACGATGCTTGAAACATTCGAAAAGGACTCCAAGTTGTCAGAAACGGTAGACCTACCATTGCAAAGCTCATGGGAAGATCAAAACGCCAGGGCAGCAAAAATATTGAAGATTGGACAGAAAGTTGGGTTGGAGAAGCACAAAAGCCTTATGGTCCAGACCAAGGTCGAAGAAGAATTCACCATCGAGGAGGAGAGTATTCCAGCGGTGGAGGAAATATACGAGGGTCTTGGCCAGGCATATGTCGGTTGGGGAAGAATTGCAAAGAGGCAGGACAGAGGTCTTCGAAAGATTTCCAAGGCCTTTGATTTGGGTGCCGCTTCTCGAATGGGAAGGCTGTTTGATGCAGCAGACTGAAGATGGAATGTGATATCATGTTGATCAGTGGTTGCCTTGTGGGGGTCTTCAACTTGGTGATAGCTTGCCGGAGGGTTTGCTGGTGGAAGAATTATCTTTGCTGATTGGAGCTTTTCTGAACGTAGGATTGAGGAAGGAATTCATGTTCATAAAGAAGAACTTTCTCTGTCTGCTTCGAAGATACCTTGGTGATCTGAAGTGAGCATACCAATCAGTATCAATCATGGATCTAGCTACACTGACAGGAGATGTTACGCTAGTGCTGCTAGAACATTTCAATTAATTACTCTGAAGAATAGCGGATGCCATTTGACCTGACTTAATTGTTTGAGGCTCTTCAGCTGGATTGTAAGTATGTCTAGAAGATGATTTCTCGGAGACTTTACTATTTCCTAGTTTGACAACGTTCCCGGCAAACACATCCCGGTCTTTTACAGAGGTGGAGATCACGTGGTGCTGGTCCCTGGTTAAAAGCGGCACTGAGGTTGTGCACAATTTTAGTTTCCTTTGTTGTCCCTTGATCAGATGAAGAATAATGAATGGCCTTTGAAATGTTAAGACAACTATGGATTCGATGCGGCCTCTGGAAGTTTTGTTCAATACTAAAATGCTCCTAACAAGGCCGGAATGGTGGCTCGGGTGTCAGTGAGGCTCTCGCCGCTTTCTCGGCGAGGATATGGTCCGTGCTTCTCCGCACACTGACCTTATTTCGTCAAAAACCTCATCCAAAACTTTTGGCAATTTACGACCAACGACCAACCCGACACCCAATCTCTCAATCAAGGTCAGTCAACACGTGCGATATTGTCGATGACTGCTAATGTCTTTAGATGGGAGCTCTTAAATACGTGGAGGAACTCCAGAAGAAGAAGCAGTCCGATGTGCTGCGCTTCCTTCTCCGTGTTCGATGCTGGGAGGTAAGATAAAAATCGATCTTTCTCTGCCGCGGTAGCGATGCACCGAAACAATACTTCGAACTGGTCTCGAGACGAATTGGAATATTGTGGACGTGGACGTGGACATCCCTTGATGTCTCTGCTATACACTCGTTGAACATTAGCTGAGAGTGCAAAATATAGCTTCGACAATTGAACGTTATCCACCGTGCTTCCCGCCCATCTCGCCCAGACAAGGCTCGCCGTCTAGGTTACAAGGCCAAGCAAGGATATGTTATCTACCGTGTCCGTGTCCGCCGTGGAGGCCGCAAGAAGCCAGTGCCAAAGGGTGCTACATACGGTAAGGAATCCCCAAATGGAAGAAGCGGGCTTCACTGCTCGCGGAAGACCCATTCGACAGATTGCTGATACCAATTCAATTATAGGAAAGCCAACCAACCAGGGTGTAAACCAACTCAAATACCAACGATCCCTCAAGTCGACTGCTGAGGAGCGTGTTGGACGTCGTTGCGCCAATTTGCGAGTTCTCAACTCGTACTGGATCAACCAAGACTCTACCTACAAATACTACGAGGTTATCTTGGTCGACCCACAACACAAGGCCATCCGTCGCGATCCTCGTATCAACTGGATCGTCGCTCCTGTCCACAAGCACCGCGAATCTCGTGGATTGACCGCTACCGGAAAGAAGTCTCGTGGATTGGGCAAGGGTCACGGATTCAACAAGACCACTGCTGGACGCAGAAAGACCTGGAAGAGACACAACACTCTCAACCTCCAAAGATATCGTTAAATGTCTTAGGAGGCGGCGTTTTCGAGGGGTTGTACTGCTACGCTTTGCGGGGTTGGGATGTTTACGGCTTTGGCAAATTCGTCAAGGTTTTGCGAAAATATGCAACTACATTTGCACATGTGGTATGCCAATGAATGAATGCACCAAAATAATCTTCCACCACGTTACTTTGTGATTCTGTGATATGTATTTCTTTTCGTTGCAGGTTGTCGGGCTGAATAAAGGAGGCACTTCTGTTCCTGCACCAGGTTTGGACTCGTGAATGCATCCTAATGCAAGTGCTGCAACACATGCCCGAGGGCCAGTTCCTCTTATCATTTCCAGCCAGCCAGGCCTTTCCTAAAACCTGACTTGCCGCCCTTTTGGAGAAAAAGCAGTGGGGGAAAGATCGTCGGCAGGGGCCGTGTGGAAAGTTCGTATTGAAACTAACCCCAGTTTGGTGGATGAAACTGGGGTCTCCTTCGCAGCTGGAACAACTGCCCGCCCAGGTACTTAGTTGTTTTCATTGCTTCTATTATTAAACGAGTTTCTTCCACATTGACTTAGCATCCAGCTGAATACTTCTGAAATTTTGCGTGCCAGTTCTAGATCATGGGTAAAGGTATGTGTCCCAACGAACGTGCCAGCGTCTACAAGAAAGTCAAAAGTCACCTCGATTTCTCGGTCCAGCCCTCAGGGACGTCAGACCCAGAAGCTAATAATACCCGTTCTCATATTGAAGGAAAGAGCCCACGACGATATTTTGCAGAACGATAGACCGCCCACCGTAGCGCCGGGCCTTCATAATCTTCTCGCCCTCCAAATGCCCAATTCACAAGTCTTGCGCCATTCCAACAGACCCGCCAGCAACCAAGAGCTTTGCGATGGCACCATGGTCAAACCGAATCCTCTCTCCGAATCCTCGACCCGACCATAGCTTGCACCCCGCTGGTTCGAGTCCTGCGAGACCACCGCCACGAGTTCCTCCAAGAGTAACAGAATCCGACATACTTGAAGGTGCATACGAAATCCCAACCCTGGCTGCCACTTCCAACGGCGCAATTGGGACACCACCGCATGGACCAGCGAGCTCATCCAAGCCCACTCGAACGGCTAGTAACCACGGACGCTCTATGAGCCATCCCTTTCCCTCCTTCTTTCCTGGCAAAAAGAAAAGGCACGATGATGGAGTGGGTGGCAATGGGTTGGACTCGACAGACGACGACCTGAGTGGTTCCTCACCAATGCGCCCTCAGAAACTGGAGAGGAACGCCAAACAAAAAGTACCCGAAAAGGACTTGACAACGGGCAAATGTATGACGTGTGACTCCATGGTGCGATGGCCCAAGAATTTAGGTGTCTTCAGATGTACGGTTTGCTTGACGATCAACGATTTGAAGCCCATTCTATTGGAGGCAAGACGTGGTGACGGACATCGGGCCCCTGTGGCAGTAAGACCAGGAACGAGTCCCGGAAGTGCCCAACCTCGAGGTGAGCTTATGAACGCCGCAGCATTATTTTGTTTGGCCACCATACTAATTCTTCTATAGTCCCCCTACTGTCACTCGAAAAGACAAAACGGCTCATCGATCAATGTATTACCTCGTTTCTTCTGGACCAACTTAAGCATGGCGATGGGCATACAGCAAGCCCTCATCCGTCCCCGCCTGTCTCTCCCAGATGGCCTCCCTCAGGCTCTGGCAATATCGAAGAGCCTCTAGACGGCACTCATAGAGACAGTCCAACCAATCCAACCTCAACAATGAGGAGCCCTCCAATACAGCTTTCTTACCGTCCGGTTGATCAACATGGACACTCGCCGCTCTCAAAGCCACCTCCCGGATATATTGGCCGCCCAGCAGACCCCGGACCTTATTCATCATCATCTCCAGGAATGCTCTATGGACCCATGTCTGACGAGCCTGAGCAGACTCAAAATCCCCATCGACCAAATGAAACCCTGCGTGAGCCTGCGAATTCTGGCTTTCATCGTCCTAACGGGAAAGAAAGAGTGGATGATGTGCCGCGCAACCAGAATAACAACAGGAACCCTTTCAAACCTCTAGAAGACTACATCATTTCATCTTTCGGGTCGCTTGAATGCATTAATGCATCATTTAGTGTTGGCCGTCCCCCAGTGGGACCCAGAGCAGCGAGCGAAGGTTTAACACCCAGGCGCTGGATGCCTATTCCTGGTAAACATGTGGAGAAGCAGGCTGAGCATACTGAAAGACATATCGAAAAACAGATTGAAAGACAATTGGAGGCAGACGGGCTGTTATCGGAGCTGGACGCCAAGACTCTTCTCCTGGGAGATTTTGCGGAAAACGGGTCCTGGTGGACAGGAAACCGTTCAGATGCCAAAAGTCCCGAAAAGGCCCGGACCTGGGCCAAAGGATTTGACGGTCAACATGATAGACCTGATATTGTGACATTAAGGACGCCTCGTGTCCATTGGTCAGAAGTCAACGAATGGTACTCTGTAGTGCTTAATGCGGGAAGATCGTGGCGGAGAAGGCTGGATGCACTGATTTCTAGTGAAAATTCCCCTGACGATATTCTGAGTATCGCAGACCTAGATTTAGGGGAGATCGAAAATCAGATTATGGAGGCGCAATTACACACTCAAAGAGTGCTCCTGAAAGCTACAGAGAGTTTGTTGAAACGCCCGGGCCGTCCGTTGTCTGAACCTCATGACGTTCGATTTATACTCATAATCCTCGCAAATCCTCTACTATACCCTTCAGCTATATCCACACATATCAGAGATACAAGCAGATCTCGGTCACCTCCTCGGGACGGACCCACAAGCAACAAGGGGCCAAAACTTGAACCTCCTAGGACGTCAGGTCGTTCTTCGTCCCCTGGGTCCCGAAATGTGCGCAAGGGCAGTTCTGGACAGCACTCGGGAATTATAAAGCGTGTTTTGGGAATTTTGGCGAATCTCCCCAACGAGTGCCATCATCATCTAGTTTCGTGGTTTGCACGCTATTCAGACCCCCAGTTTCGGAGGACTGTTGATTTGATTGGAAGCTTTGTGACTTATAGACTTACCAGGCAGCACGGAAAACAGCAAGAGTCCAGGCGCGAAGCAAGAAACGATCTAATACCAAATATGAGTGGGACGGGGCGAGTCAGTTCTGCAGCTTTGCATGCTGCGTTAGGGGCTGCTGGAGGAGGACAGCAGCCTCCCAAAAAGAGCGATGGTAAACCACCACCTGTGGTTTACAATGATGACTGGCAAATCAAAGCCGCTGCTAGAGTTATGGCCTTGTTCTTTGCTGCAAATAATAGCGGTCAGTTGAGAAAAGGAGACAATCGGCCAGCAACAGGTTCCATGGATTGCACGAAATTATCTTTACCGATGCCCCGTGAGATACACCAAAGACATGGCCAAATCTTGGCGACTAGCGACTTTTACAATACATTATTGGACTATTCGGACCTCGTGGCGGATTTTGAAGCTTGGGAGTCCCGACGTGGAAAATTTTCATTTTGCCAATATCCTTTCTTTCTCAGCATTTGGGCCAAGATTCAGATCATGGAACATGACGCCCGTCGACAAATGGAAGTGAAGGCTCGAGAGGCATTTTTTGATAGTATCATGACTCGCCAGATGGTCAATCAATATCTGGTATTAAAAGTACGGCGAGATTGTCTTGTCGAGGACAGTCTGAAAGGCGTAAGTGAAGTTGTAGGCGCTGGTGGCGAAGAGATTAAGAAGGGACTTCGAATTGAATTCAAGGGCGAAGAGGGCATCGATGCTGGTGGTCTCCGAAAGGAGTGGTTTCTTCTATTAGTAAGGGATGTGTTCAACCCCGAACATGGTATGTCACACAGCTCTATAAATTCAGTCTGTCATAGCCCTGTACTGATTTTCAAACAGGCATGTTTACGTATGATGACGATTCACAATTTTGCTATTTCAACCCCAACAGTTTCGAGACAACTAATCAGTTTTTTCTTGTGGGTGTAGTACTTGGCCTGGCAATCTACAATTCAACCATTCTTGATGTAGCTCTTCCACCCTTTGCCTTTCGAAAACTCCTTGCCGCAGGTCCCGCTCCTCCGCCTGGTGCAACGTCACACGCTAAACCATCGATGACTTATTCCTTGGAAGACTTGGCTGAATTTCGTCCTGCATTGGCTACTGGACTTCGGCAATTGTTAGAATTTGAAGGCGATGTGGAGACAACCTTTTGTCGGGATTTTGTGGCCGATGTTGAAAGATTTGGTCAGGTAATACAGGTTCCACTCTGCGCAGATGGTGACAAACGACCTGTCACCAATTCAAATAGGCGAGAGTTTGTTGATCTTTACGTACGGTATCTTCTTGATCTTGCTGTAGCACGCCAGTTTGAGCCTTTCAAGAGGGGATTCTTTACCGTGTGTGGCGGCAACGCTTTATCATTATTTCGACCTGAAGAAATCGAACGTCTTATCAGAGGCTCTGACGAACCTCTAGACATTGGCTCTCTCAGAGTTGTTTCTATTTGTGAGAATTGGGGTGTTCCCAATGCCAAAGAAACGGAGTCTGTGGTACATTGGTTTTGGGAATCATTCCAAAATGCCAATGTGAAGGACCAACGCAAGCTTCTGACTTTTATCACTGGAAGTGACCGAATCCCAGCAATGGGAGCAACGAATTTGATCATCAAGTTATCGTGCTTGGGAGATGATTGTAATAGGTTTCCTCAAGCAAGGACATGTTTCAACATGTTGTCTTTGTGGCGATATTCCTCGCAGGCTAAGCTGAATGCTATGCTTTGGCGGGCAGTCTATGAGAGTGAGGGCTTTGGATTGAAGTAATGAATGCCTTTTAGACTTTGGAAGGCAGGTGACTAGAGAAAGTGTACAGATCAATTGGCTGATTGATTGAATGGGATGGGGGGCTTCTGGGCATAGGCATTGGGCATTGGCATTCATGTTATGGGTGGAAGAAACGCTGGTTGTGCTATCTTTTGAAAGGAGAATGGACAGGAACAGATGATGACAGAAAATCCTAGGTAGACAACACTCAAGAAAACAGACAAGAAAATGAATGCCTGTCTGGGCAGCATTTCTCATTGTGATTCAAATACTCGGACTTTACTTTACAGTACTTTTAAAGCTCGGGAGCGGACCAGTGTTGTTGATGAAGCTTGGATTTTAGCGTTATTGTTGAATTGGGCACTATGTTTAGCCACGCAAAATGCAGAAACTTATTCTTGGACGTTAAAAAGAATTCCAAGTAATCCGCGTCAGAAAAAGTAGTTCTCCAGAGCAGACTTTAATCAAAAACAAGCATGAACGAACGGCCGTTTGAGAACCGTGATTGGTTTACACATCCTCCGCATATTTTACAAGGTGGTTTCCTAATAGCCACATATTTTGTACACAATGCCCGAATCCAGATTCCACACAGCTTGCCAGTTGTTGGAGGCAATACACAAACAATAATTCATTTATGCTGGTAAGCCACCCTTCATCAAAATCTCCTTCTCCTTCTCTGCCTTCAGCCTCGCGTTCCGAACAATATTTCTTTTGTGGTCCTTAATACTTTGCGCTTTGTACTCCTTGAGGGACTCCCTTTGCTCCAACTGCTCTTCTGTGGGCTCGACGGGCGTGGCGTTTGTAAGTTTTAAGAGTTGCGCCAAGATCATTGAGGGGCCTCGGTTCTTGATGTTGAAAACTTCTGTCCTGTGTGGTGTTGTGAGTGTAAGGTCGGTTTGGGGGGTTGAGGCGGAAGCTTCTGGTGTGATTGGGGTGGGACCGGGCAGTTGAAGCCTTTCGGTGGTTGCGAAGAAGACGGTCATGAGGGCGGGGTCTTGGGGGTTTTCGGTTCGCGCTATTGATACTTCCAGGGCTGGGTTGTAGTATTTTATACGTCGAAGTTCGTTGCGCCAGAATAATCTGTGGTTGTGGGCGTTAGTGGAGGGGTTGATGGAGATGGAGGGGGCACGAATGTACCTAGGTCCGGTGTGCCCTTCATCTCTGGCTATTGCGAATTCCATGCGGATCTTCTTGACCTCTGGGGGTAATATGATTGCGCCATCTCCCATTTTCAGTCGTAGAAGCTGCGAAAGAGCGTTAGTTGGGATGGTGGAGGCGGTTTGCGGGTTCTCTCTGTACCTTCTGTCGGTCGACGTATTAGCCTGGAGTTCGCGTGTGGAAAGAGGGTTTGCTTACTTTCGCCAACATGGTCATACGATGGGTAACGTTTGTCATCTTGAATGCAAATTGAGAGGGTTTGAGAATCTTCAATTGTTGCAATATTCGCGGTCTCTTCTTCGTCTGTATGGGGTAGTCGTAGCGTAGCCAGGTGAACCGTGAATATAAATTATTTAAGCTTTTGGCGCTAGATTGACCCCTGTCCGTATTTTTTGTACGAGCATCGCATGGAAAAAGACAACCATTCTCACGACCTCATGACAATTGTTCTGTCTTCCAATTACAGGTACAGAATGTCGAGATCGACTGGAAAGCTTATCCTGAGGCTATCCAGAACCATTCCTGTAGCTGTTGCAGATATCCCCACGTTTCTCTGTCCCGGACTTCTCAGAGTCCCGCATCTGCCACTATCAACAAATTATTCGATACAGCCCCGACACACCCAAAGACGATTCCTCCAAACCTCCGACCATGCTGCGGCCGTAGAACCCGAAGGTCAATTCCGAAGTCGCGCGCATGCACATCTGCCACAGCAATGTCCGGGGTGCGGTGCATTGTCGCAAACAGCTGTGGCCGACCAGGCTGGCTACTACAATATTCGGAGACGGTCTGTAAGAGAATATGTCGGCGGTGCAGTCGCGAAAGGAGAGGAGGATAGAGAGGAAGCGATTGTTCGTGCGGCTTTAGCAAATGCTGGGCCTGCGGTGGGTGATCTGGAATTGGGGGTTTTGCAAAAGAACCCAAAACCCAGTATGTCGGGTCGCCAGATTTTATTGTAAAATGGTTCTGACTATGACACAGAAAAGGTTGTGGGCGTTCCTACTTGTGACCGCTGCCACTTTCTGAAGTCGCATAATAGAGGCGTTTCCATTGCGCATCCTTCTATACGATCTATTCAGGATACCATTTTCGAATCACCATACAAATATAACCATGCTTACCATGTTATTGATGCTGCAGACTTCCCAATGTCTTTGGTTCCTGCTCTGCACAAGCTTCTTCATCTCACCCCTCAGCGATCTCTAAACAGACGCTCGAAGACAGGAAGGTTCTATCATGGTCAAAAAACGGAAGTCAGTTTTGTTATTCAGCGTGCGGATCTATTAGCACATAAAAAAGAGCAGGTGGATCATATGATGCCATATTTGCGTGAAGTTTTGCGAGATGCTTTAGGGAGAACGGGGAAAGATGTTCGATTAGGAAACGTTCGATGTGTTAGTGCTAAGCAAGGATGGTGGACGAAAGAGCTGAAGGAGGAAATTTGGAAGAGGGGAGGCGGTGGCTGGCTGGTTGGAAAGGTCAATGTCGGAAAAAGTCAGTTGCTTCACAATGTTTTTCCTAAGGGACGGTCGGGGCAAGTTGACAGTAAAACGCATACGCCTGACATAAAACCACTTTCACTGGATAGCACAAATATGGATCAGGCGGAGCTAGTTGCAGAGCTGGAAGCAGAATCACGAGAAGCTTCAAAAGAAGTAGAGGCTGGTGAGGATTCGGAATGGGCAGAGCTCGAATCGCTTGATACGTCACTCCTACTCCCTCCTGCACCAGTGGAAACCAACTTTCCGGAAATGCCATTGGTATCATCACTGCCAGGAACCACGGCATCTCCAATTCGCCTGCCCTTTGGAAATGGAAAAGGTGAGCTGATTGACTTGCCTGGGCTTTCTCGAGGCGATCTTGAATTATACGTGCTGCCAGAGCACCGTGCGTCGCTCGTGATGCGCAATCGTGTCCATCCCGAGCAAGAAGTTATCAAGCCAGGACAGTCTCTTCTACTAGGTGGCGGCCTGATACGCATTACACCTACAACTCCTGATCTTGTCTTTCTCTCGTACTCTTTTACAGCTATGAGTAGCCATGTGACAGAAACGGAAACGAAAGCAATTCCCACTCAGTTGCAGACTCGGGAATCTAGTATTGAGAATATCTCAATACCAGGCACAGGAGAGAAAATCGCGTCAGCCGGTATCTTTCATCTTAAATGGGACGTCACAAAAGAAAGAAGTGGGCCTTTGACGGCTCGAAGTGCTGCAAACATACGACCAGATAAACTCCCATACCAAGTATTCTCGACCGATATCTTGGTTGAAGGGGTTGGCTGGGTTGAGCTCGCAGCTCAAGTCCGGAAAAGACGGGTTGAGTCCGAAAGTCGCCAGATCCAAGAGGTGGGAGAAAGTTGTGCCTCTGATTCAGAAGATACCCAGAAAGTAGAGGAAATAAATCCGGCTTGGCCCTCTGTGGAGGTCTTCACACCAGGAGGAAAATCCATTGGCGCGAGAAGACCTATGAACGCTTGGATCCAGATGGAAAACAAGCCTGGGAAGAGGGATATGAAGGGAAGACCAAGGAGATCTATGAAGGGCATGAAGAAGTTGGAGAAGCAAAGGAGCAGGAGTGTTTGGTGACTGTAGAAAAATACAAATATGTTGATGTTCGCTGAGAATCAATGTAAATCAATAATTATGTATTACCCCATACTTACCAGTTGGTTGTTCAGTTCAAAGATCCTGAGGTTAAATTCAGTTTCGCTGTCGTCGCACGTTAAATATGTGTTTTACTTGGGTATATCACTGGAGTTTGTTGAGCCAACTAGGCTCCAGGCGGACAGACTGTGTACAGCTTGTTTTTATATCCCTCTCATATCTTTTCAAATAGAATATGGTAAGGTTGGAGTAATGTCCAGTTCAATGCAAAACACATCAGAGCAAAGAACAATCACTCGTTCTACCAATTCAATTCTCACATTGCGGATAATTGTAAAGGTGTATCAAGGATTTCTGGCATCTAATACTTGTACTCGTCCAGCATTCTTATCCCTCTAACACTTTGGATTTTTCTGGAAGTTTGAGGGAAGTGAAGAGTTGGGAATTTTCAAATTTGTTTATATCAAAAAGTCAGCTCAAAGGTCTGAACTCATTTTGAAAATTAGGAAGATTTCAACAATCAAAAGGCTAAAACTCCATTCTCCACGAAGCTTTCGATTAAATATATTTAAGCGAATATTGTTCAGACGATTTCTATTTCACTAGAAATAAAAGATGTCCTCGAATGATAGAAAGTGTCGGTACACCTTGTACTGGTAAAGACGCGAGTAATCGTAAAGAGTTGAAGCAATCAGTCCGTGATTAGGTGTCTAATTGCTCAAGGAAGAGAAGGTAGCTAGCTCCGTAGACTACAAACGCTTATATGCCTGCACCGGTCACGTGAGTAAAGAGTATGTGACTGTAGCGACAGAAAGGAAACGCTTTAAGAGCTTGAATAATCAATATTAAAGATGTCTTTTTATTATCTCCAGATAGTATAAACGCAAGTGAAACCCTTACATGGTTATCCTTGTTTCACGTCCATTTATTGCATTCCTAGCAGATACTACATTATTACATCTACCGAAAGCCTTCATTCTTCTCAAAGATGCACTTAAGCGCTTTTTCATAGTCACATCGGACCTGAGTAGACTTCAGTGAATGAGTGGGCAAGCCATCCTTTCTGTCTGAATACTCAGTCCTTGTGTTTATCTTACTTTCTAATCTAGTTGATGCCTCGCAGCTGAGCGGGATATATCCGTAATACTGCCGATTCCTGCCAGACCACTAGGCACCTGGCGGTTCTCAATATTGGCCACTATGACCACTGATATTCGGTCGAAATTCGACCCCTAGATTCTACCTGGCCGGAATATTTGTCGGGCCAATATTGACTTGTGTATGTAATATTTGCGTGCTTTGTGATCAAGAACGCTTCTTGTAATGTTCCAAACTCGTTGTGAAAATCAGGATTATCGTGTTGTCCCCATAAAGATATTCTTTTGAGCGACAGGAAATATGCCTCTTTGTTTTCTGCAAGTTCGACAATCCAACCTCATCTTTTTATTAGTGACTGCAAGAAGTTCCGAAAGATCGAGATTTAGGAGGAGCTTTCGAGTATTTGGGAAGAGGAAAAGCACATGCTGTTTGTAGTCGAGTTCCGGACAATAGACTAGAATTCCACTCTCCCTGGTTCCAGGTACTATAAAACCAACCCTTGAGGGAATTGGTGTAATGGCCGCAGGCAGGGATTTTCGCTAGTGTGCGCTCTAGTAGTTCCAATCTCCTACGAGGCGTAATGCTAGACGCAATAAACATATCTTCTTGGAAATATGAGGCTTCGCTAATTGATAGAGCGTACGGCATTTCAACACAGGGTTAAGGCCAGTTTTGAAGTCCCGTAAACATGGACTTGAACTTGGGCCCAGGGGACACCCTTATCGACCAGCTCGGGCGGAAGCTTTTGTAAGAGCATCTTGATAGGAAGCAATGTAGTTTTTTGAGAATAGAGGGTCGTTTTGAATCCTATTGAATAATTTGAAGAGAAGTATATCGAGTGCCGCCTGGAGGAAGGGAAGAGGGGGCTCCTAGAAGCCAAAATACTCAGTTTCAATCACGCCAATTGGGCGACAGCCACTTACTGATAACCTCCCATCTATATCAAATTAGTCACCGCTCTCTTGGCCTTGCGAACAGAGTGATGACATGCGGATATATCCAAGGAGAACAATCAGAATCTGGACCTTTTTTTCGACGTTCAGTACTTATTAAGCGGTAACTTTGACTTTGGAGATATCAAATTTTCTGGCATCTTTCGGAAGTAAATAAGCAAATCAAATACCTTCTGACAAATGAACACAAGGTAGCTGGGTTTCCAAGAGTTCAGACAATACTGGGCACTGTTCTCATATTGAGATATCAAAAGTTCAGTTCCCCTAGAACTGATGTGTGTCTATGTAGCTCACTAATGGAAAGCTCTATGAGAATGAGGCCAAGAGACTGCCTATGGGAAACTTTATCCACATAGAGCATGGCAAAGTGATCACTTGCCATCCATCAATCCATTGTTGCAATCAATTCCATGAGGTGTGCAACACACCAACAACCCAAATGCTATATAATCCTCCCCCCTTCCCGCGCCGCCTCTCAAACATTCAAATATTTAGGAGAGTTCAGCTCCTCCTGTAGGATTACTACTCGCTTCCACTTAATTACATACCCAGCGTTGATGCATTCAGACTTGCTCAAAGACAGTCTGTTTTGCCCCTGGTGGATTCCTTACATTTGCAGACGTTGAAAACCAAGGAGATACTCGTTAATTGATAAAGCCGCTGCATATCATGTATGTCGTCCCATGCCCAGTCCAGCTCTATCCCTGGTCGTAGGTGTAGATAAAGTGGGTGTGAGTTGCAACTAGGTCCCATTGGAGTTATTGGCCCGGTATTATCGAGAATGACGGTTTGCAAGGATGGGAAACATTTGGGTTTATTTTCGACTAATTCGGTGATCCAGCATAACGGGTCCTTACTCTGTCCTGTACCATTGGGAGTGGCAGAGGAATCGTGCGGGTACCAGAAAACCTTGGATTGGTTGAAGGTAAAGTGTAACTAAAAATGATTAGACATGAAGCAAAAGAACCAGATATCTCGACTTCAACTCACATGGAGTTTCTTGAGCGATTGAGGCAAGAGTTTGTACATTCCATGTGGCGCAAAATCCTTGCCGGTAGGAGGCAAAAGGCACAGCGAGAAGATTTCAAGATCCTCGAGTAAAACAAATGTGCTAAGATCTAGTTTGGTTCCGTCATGTCCATACCATATCTGGCGTTCTCCAGACAAGCGCAGACGGGTGAGCGTTCTTGATAAGGGCGTGAGTATCGATGATATCTTGGGAGGTGACATTGGATAGGAGATATACCGCCAAGAGGGACCAAATGGAAAGGGCTTGATGTCATCGAGCGGTATGGAAGCTTCCAAAATTTTCAAGCCCGCGCAGCGAGAAATTATGGATTCGAGCGCTCGTGAGTCCATTTGAGCACGAGCTCCAAGTCTGAGCGATCGAAGGACGTCGTTTGTATCTGTACAGTATATCTCAGAAGCATCGAATTTGAAGTACCGCAAGGAAATGGTATCTATGGCCTGAAGTTTTGGGAAGTCCATGAAATCGAGTATTTGCAAATTGGACGTGGTGTCGGCGTAAAGACAGAGCTTGGTGAGCGATGCTCGAGAAGTAGATGCGCTCGCCCGCACCATTGGTAACAACGCAAATGTATCTGAACGTGCCGTCATCTCACGTATGTCTGAAAACAAGCTGAATACATGTTGCTCCCTTCCTAGATGATTCACCAATCCTAGGTCCAACATATCATCTACGCCGATCGTCCCCATGCTGACTGAGCGGACAAACGTTCCCGAAACTGGCTGTTCCTGAAGCGTTCGAAGTAGGCGGTACCACTGAGTCTGGCTGGCTGGTGTGCCAATTCGGATTGTAAGGTTCTTATAAAGGAAGGGCTTGACCAATTTTGAGAGCGCATGACAGGTCAACGCAAGACGAGGTAGAGTGCGCCAACCTTCCTCGACCGTGAACTGCGACAAAATGTGCGAGAATAGCTCTACTGGAAGCTCATAAATCTGCATGGTGGTTGTCGTTCATTTCAATGCTGGTGTTATGTGATGTCCGTTCCCAGTTGTGATGGTGATGAAGATGGGTACACGAGTAGTCAATTTTTGTCGGCTCCTTATTATGAGCGCGGTGGCGTCCGCTAGCTCCGCGATAGCTCCATTCACTTGCTACCCCTTTCGATCTCTCTCTGGATATTTGAGTGAGGCCATCTTTCAAATATATGGGCAGAAGATCGGCCAGTTCAATAAAGTGGTTAGTTGATGTGACTCAGTAAGTTCTCGATCACATAGGTATATATTTAGAAATAAAACAAAAACTTTAGTCGAATTTACAATGTTAATTTGCAACACGAAGCTAGGCATGTACGACATGAGAATAATCATACGGTAAAGATTTCTTACATGTATGGTTCCAAATTCTAGGAGAATCGTGAGAGGATATTGTATAATTTGAGTAACCGCCAAATGACTATCAACACTTCTCGGCATCAAGGTCAACCTAGGTCCTAAACAAGGGACGTGCTTTACGAAATACTCTCTGAGTGGTTTTGAAACCGAGAAGCTCTCCTTTGGGTGGCGCTCTTGGTGTACTGTCTCTCAGCGGCGTAGTAAGTCCTGCGCTTTGGGTAGAGATGAGATGACCAAATGAGAAGGTAAGATTACTATTATATGGAAGCTGATTTGAAGAGAGAAGACGAAATTTAAAAGGACAAAATTCCCATGAAAAAGGATTGGAAGTGCTATATTTGGGTAGAGGTGTGAAGAAACAAACCCACGATATAATTGGATTGCCGTAGGTCGAAATCAGACTCGCGACTCCGCCCCTTACTGTACAGCTACAGTAATCCTATGACCCAAGTATGAAACATGATCAAGAAGCACTCGACTCCAGCCCCCACGAGTCGCCCTCAAGCCTTATTGGAAGCATTTTACGATGAAAGAAAGCACTTGGCTCGTATTTTGAGGCATCGAGTAAGCTACGCGATCGCCCTTGCGGGTATTTTGGAGAGGCTGTGTTGGAGCTTCTCTTGACGTCAAACCCCCAATCCTTCGCAGAAAAAAACGCTCCTCTCGTTTACCGCACTCCAATGGTTAGAGAACACATCAAAAACATATTTTATATTTCAACCTAGCGGATCATTTTGGCCCCAAGATGGGGGCGCAGCGTAGCGCGTCAAGTGTCATATCACTCGACCATCGTTGCTTCCCTTTTCTGAACTTTGTATATATGGCAGATAGTCCAGGCTACTCACCCATATTTTCTTCCAGCACAAAATTCGCATCCGTTCAATTGAGCGGCCTAATATATTCTCCTCTGAACTATACAGAAATAATTTCGATATGTCTTCAAAGTACAACCATGCACCATGGCGCAAAGCAATCCTCATTCCATTTTGGGTTGTTCAAATAATATTTCTCTGCGTCATGATTGGCAGCTTGACACTTGCCATGATAGGCCTCGCAGCTTTGGACCCTTACCGGGGCGGAAACAAAGAACTTGATGCGTTTAATGATTTGAATCGGGAAGAAGTAGACAGAGCTCTCCATATGTATGTACGCTCTGCTTAGATTCCACAGGTTCATCACTGACCGCATTACAGCATCCTACCCATCTTTTTCGCGATATGCAGCTATTCTCTCGTCACGGTCATCATAGATATCGTCCTACTTGCCCTTCACAGATTGAAACTGGCAATTTTCATAGCTCTTAGTGGGATAAATACCGCCATTTGGACGGTGATGCTTGCTCTTAAAATTCCCGTCGGGGGAGTTGATACTCAACAAGCCGGGGCAATTGCTATCAATGTCATTCTAGCGTAAAGCCCTCCTTAACCGTCCCCTTTAGAGTATACTGATTCTCCTAGACTGAGTTTCTGGGTCCCCTTCATCTACGGCTGCACAGTCTGTTGTCGAGTACGAAAATCGAAGAAAGCTCTCAACGAAGGCAGCACGTCTCTTTCTGAGAACGGCTCTTCTCCACAATACGGACATTTCACCTCCAGAGATATCCACGATGAGGAGAGCTTTCCACTTGCAGTCGAGCGACCAAGTTACAACAATACACGAGATACGAGGGTAGAAGATTTCAGAGGGGATCGTAGTATTTTCCCAAATCATGGACATGGACAGGATAGCTTTATCGCGAATCACCCTAGCCCGCACCCTCCGACTATCAACATACAGCATGATGGTGTAAACGGTTATGAAATGGGCAGTGGAAAGAAGGGTGAAATACGTTAGACCGGAAGCTCAATGGGATGTACAAGCTGTACTAAGCGGTGTTTGGGATCCTTTTTCATGAGCTGTCGTCTGTCATCGGGGAACTGTCCTTTGTTTTATGAATTTGTGATACCATGAGTTGAAGTTTTGTTAGGTAGACTGATACATCGGCATTGAATTATTATTCAAAATAAAACCACGTAGCGCCAAGTACTTATTTACTATTTGAGTAGTCCGGAATAAGTCGGCCGAGCCTTATAGCGCGTCCGACCTTATTCTATAATACTATAACTAGTAGATTCGATTTAGTAGATTTAGTTACCTCTCTTCTATATTCCTCTATTAATAAAATGTACTATCTTATATAAGAGTAAAAGTAAACTTAGAAGTAGTCTCTACTTTTCTATATACGTTCTTCTTAGGTTTAACTATTAGTATTTAAATCTAAGTAAAAGATTCTAGAGTCTTTAGTTAATTATTATATTAATCTATAAATGTTTAGAATTTTATTGGTTTAGTAATAAAGCTAGATTTCTTACTTAATATATTCTTTTAAATAACTAGCTATTTAACTTGATTTCCACGGAAAATAATTAAAAGCGAATCCTCGTAAACCTAGAAGGGAAAACCCCCACGTGACTCTAGTACCCAGATTCCGACCAACCAACCTCGAGCCTACCAACCAATCTAGCGAATCAAGGGCTACATAGCTTATCCAATCGAATCCTCACGTAAAAATAAACCAATATCGACAGAAAATACTGCAGGAACGAGAATCCTAATTCCCCTCCCCTCCCCTCCCATCCACGGGTAAATTATGTAAGTTTACCTTCCCTTCCAATCCCGTAGGGTCAGGTCAACACGGCGATGCCATTATTCTCGCGGTTTTTTTGATGGATGGAAAATGGAAAATGGAAGACCGGTCGGTCGGTATGGGAGTCATGATCATGCCTTTCGGAATTCCACGAGAGTCGAGACAGACGGACGGATATGTAATATTATACAGCGGTGCGGTACCGAAGAATTGTTGATTTGGCTTAGTAACTATTGACAGGGTAGGGCAGGGGAAGTTACGGAAGGCGTTGGTTGGGATTAGAGGAGTGAGTGGCCCTCAGGGTTGGAAGCAAGTTTATTTAATGCACGTCGTACGGAATGGTTGCTGCTCCGGGCGTCGGTGGTGGCTACACGATGTGGAAAGAAGAAAGTACAGAAGTCCTGTCCTATCTACCCCGTAGATGGAGAAGTAATAGGAAAAGGATGCGAATATCAGATGCTAAAGTAGCGGGCGCTGAGCTTCTAAAATGGGAGGGTTGTCCTGTTCTTCCCCACCATTTATAGTGTTGCTGCTCGACATGCTGCACGGTGCCCTCCCCGATGATGAGATGCATTAGCGGGGTTGAGATTCCTCTACTGCTGTACTCGTAAATTAGGTTATCTATCTTCAATCAAGACGATAAGAAAGTTTTTGCTGCTTCTCTGGGAATAATGGCCAATAAAGCTGAGTATGCCCAGACCTACGGAACCGATTGAACTTTTGAAGATCGTCGCATTGCAATCAGACGTCCCGTAACACAGCAGCTTCTCATTCACAGCCTTTCAGCCCGGGAGGAGGTCAAGCAGTAAGGAAAGAGAAATGTAGTTTCAGGATCGAAGATCAGCTAACCATCCCATTATTAGTGAGGGATGATTGAAGTCTTATTACCGACAGCGAAGGGGAAACAGAAACATAAATCTCGGCTCCGTGAAGGTCTTAATCTCCCATAATAGCGGTAACACGGCAATGACGAGCTGATCGTCCGTTCTCCCGTGAGCTTTCATATTTTGTGTGTTTGTTTGAAACCGCCATGTCGTATTGTACTCTGCGGGAGCAAAGGAAAAAAGAAAGATCGAGTGCAATCGGAAAGGGAAGTGACTCAACCTTTGAAGGTGTTGATACAATATTTTGTTTGAAAAAGATGGCTGTGATACCCCTCCCCCCACCATTTTGGATTTCTGGAAAATTGATATGGCCCACCTTCGTCTTGGTGGCGTGAATGAAGGGTGCTGTGGACACGAAGCATTTCATATTGTCGCCGAAAAAAAGGCAAAAAGCAGGAAACGATTCGGTGGGTCCAGTCTGATAGATCATATGATGGTGACCAATCCCTTCGCGCTTGAGTACTTAGTAGCAGCGCAGCACGAAGTTCGGTGTTTATTCAGATGGATGGAAGCTGTTCTTGAACACATCACACATCACGAAAGTAATGCATAAACTGCCAGAATCCTGATGTCTGCGAGGACCACGGTTCTTCATGGTCAACCCGGTCAATCCGGCCAGCGGTTAGGGCCGTTGGGGTCAATTGCTTGAGGAGTCGACTTCTGAACTGTGCATTTCATTCACAACTCGGCAACCAACCCGCGCAGAGGCCTTGTTGCGAACCATGCGAGGCGCGGCGTTCATCATGTCATCTCTTCGTATCGTATCGATTTGCTCACCAGTGTGAGTGTGAGTGCGAGTGCGAGGTTATGGCACCATTGGAAGATTGTACGAATCGCGAGTTCCAGTGATGTTGTCTGCTGTCTTCTCGAATGATGCAGCTGGAGATGCAGATGTTGTTGAGAAGCAAGTGCTGTTGCTGGTGCTAGCACGGCGCGTCTGTCCAACATGGAGGATGGAGGATATTCGGAATCGGATCTCCCATAGTCCATGACATGGCATTGTAGGTATTTCCGGCAGGTTTGCCTGTTGGCGCTTGGCGAGGGTGTTCGCCCTGCCCTTCGCTGTAATTTAATTTTTATACTGAGTACCGGAGCAGCGGGGCATACGCTGCCTCGAGCGTGCGGCGTGCCTCACCCAGGAGCATTGCCGGAGTGTCAATTGACGTCTTTGGACGATTTTATATGTGGCCGATGGCACTCCAACTAGCTAACTCCAACCGAGAATTGTGAATTGTGTATATTTTTAAAGTTAATTGACGAATCAGTCTCCATACTCGTCGTCCTGAGTTTTTGCCGCTTTGGGTATTTAAGTTCCACTTCGTAAATTTACTGCGCGGTGCTCGGGTGCCGCGATGGGTGAGGTGAGGGTGAAGGACCGGTTGCATGCCTTGGCCCTTGGTCCACTTGCACATCACCAGGGACTTACTTTAGAGTAAGATAAAAATAAACAAGCCGTCGACGCAATCAACTGAGCTTCGAGAATTCCTTGCCAACTCATTTGTGGTGCTCCATGTCTTCTTCGTATCGTCTGAGAGATGATGTCAACATGGCCATACTCCGTACAGTCATCCACCGCGCATCCTTCGTCCACGTCCACATCGAGGCATACGGAGTATCATGTAGAAGTATGTGCGGACGAGTCTGGAAATGGTCTCCAGGCCCAACGGCGTCTCCTGGTGCCACTGCACTGACAGAATCGGCTAGCCTCACTAGCCTCACTAATCTCTCCTCCCCTGTGCACCACCCATCACCCAATGACCCATCACACATTGACCCTAGCCCCTTCCCCTGGCCCCTGACACGTTCCTGCCCTGGTTGCTGTCGACGTCGCCCTTTTCCAGCCAATGAGCAGCCGGTGGTCGCTGGTCCATCACATCAGCATTTCCTGGTTTCCCCGTCCGATAACATCCATCGTTCCTCCGCACGGCTTTGTACTCGATACCGTCCACGGGTCGTGTGGGTGCTAGTGCTGCCAGTTTCCTAGGGAGTCTCGCCAGTCCAAGTGCAGCTACCGTAATTCAATTCTCTCATATTGACATATTGTCCGTCTCCTTCCCAACTTCTTCCACCTTCCTTCTTCCTCCCCTCCCCTCGCATCCGTCGACATAAATCTCGAGTGCATCTTGCATACGACACGGCCACTGCAACCTGCAACCTGCCTATCAACGCACCGCACCGCACCTCTACCGTCACGGCTTGGGCGGAAGCGAAACCACCGTCGTTATACTCGTCCTTTCCTTTTTGACCTTTCGTTCTGCTGCTACTACTGTTGTACTCGTACCCATCCCCGTCCCCGTTCCCTACAAGAGATACCCTTGATATTTTCGTACTTTACGCCTCTTCGAGACCGCTCCTTCCTTCACACCCACCTGCATCAAAGAAGTGACCCAGACCACCAACTACCTGGCTCACTTCACCCAGAAAAAAAAAACTTACCACCACTCTTCCTCTTCAACACTCATAGGCTGGTCATCACCAAACGCTCATTGTGCCATTGCCATGAAGCAGATCGTTATTGGATGAAAGCGCCGCCTGTCTGGATGCAATCGTCAAGCTGTTTGCATTCCTCCGACACACTTCTCCCTCCGGCCGATCGTTATCACCGAATTCGAGACACCACTTGCCCTCCCGTACCGATCGAAATCTTCACGATCGCTTTTCTAATTCGTCTCCGACTTCATTGACTTCTAACCAAGATGTTTTCCTCGTCGTGGTCAAGTCGATGGGCTTTCCTCGCGGCCCTGTGGGCGATTTTCGTCACCAACGCCTTCGCCAGCGTATTGTATTGTTCCGATCTTAATACTGCCAGCACGGGCAAAAGTGAGTGGTTTGGCAATGACCATCGTAGAGGTGGCAATGCTAACCCTTCTTTCTTCTAGATTCCAACATATACCAATCCAATGGCCTCTGCTCAGATTTCTGCAGACCCACGTCCGCCTTCGCCGTCGTTCAAGGTGATGGATGTTGGTGCTCCGACTACGTTCCTGGCACCACAACTGATGGCTGTGATACTCCATGCCCCGGTTATCCCGCGGAATTGTGTGGAGGAAATTCAGTGTTCGGATACATTGCTCTATCCAATACACCTTCAGGAACAAAAGGTGCCCCTAGTTCTGCTCCAGCTACAACTGCTGCACCGGTTAGTGATACCCCTTTCCTTCTTTTCCCAGCACCATGTTCCCACGAGACTCCCGAAATGCATTCTCAGTCCCCTCGCACTGCTCTGTCGTCTCATTGCCCGTGACGGCAATCGTTTTGACTCGCAACAACAGGTGACTGTGACGGCCACGGCGGTGTCGGTCGCGGTATCTACCGCAGTGTCCATTGCTACTCCTGATCCTGTAACTATATTTTCTGTTCTTACAACCGATCCTCCTCATTCCGAGACATCAACGGCAGCTGTATGGATTTTCCTTGTGTTGCAATCTGGAGAATATTTGGAGGATAGATATATATGAAATCTTGGGTTCCGAGTTCACGAGCTGACATTTATGCCGCCAGACCACGACTGCTCCCAACACGCCAACTTCGCCACCTCCGCCTCCTCCTCCTCCTAAAGAAGAAGAAACTACCTCGACTACCTCGACGAGCTCTCCTACATGGACACCAACGCCAATTATTTCCCTGGAAACAGTGACCGGCCAAGTGAGAACGGTCACAGTGACCCCTACCGCTCCTCCAAACTCTTTACAGAACGCCGGAAATCGCGTCCCAAGGCCTAGCATGAACGGTAGCCAAGGGGGACTTAGTACCGGTGGAGCTGTCGGCCTCACTATAGGCCTCATTGTACTGTTCGGGACGGTTGCGGCCATGATCTGGTATTATATGCGAAAGAAGAAGCAAGAGCGCACGGAAGAAGATGGCTACAACAACATGAGTAGAACGGCTAGTTTCACTGGTGTACTTGGCGGCCCAACACCCTCGCGAACGATGAGCGAGAATTCGCGATATATTCTTGGAACGAATGGACGAGAGGTGATAGAGGCATGGGAGCATGACCCACCGGGATCAAGAAAGAGCGGGCCATTAAGGCCGGTGGATCAACGATTGGATCCGTTTGCACCTCCATATCAACTGGGGGATAATCGAAGCAGAGACAGTGTAAACACCATACGAGATGATCACGATTACTCGAGACGTGTCCAACCAATACGCCCCATTCTTCGAGTTAATAATCCCGATTAATAGCGACATCTTTCGCACCATATTTTCCTTCATTACGCATACGAAATTAATGACACATTTCCACTAGTCAGAACCATACAGGATTTGGGCATCACACCATATTCGGGTGACGCAGGCGTTGAAGCGGCTGCATTTTCGACAGACAGGCAATACCTGCAGAATCATTCTGACGAACAAGGTCTACCATGAAACAGATTTGAAGCGTGGCATGTGCGGGCAGTCGACTGTTTGGCATGGGGAGTCTGAATTCGACTCATATTTGCTATTAGCGAATTGTTTTTCCTTGATTGTATTTATAGATTTTTCTTGATCACTGAGCATACGGGGGAGGATGGGCCGGAGGGGAATTGGATTGAACTCATACCTGCCACGGTAGCAAGACGGCAAAAGCAATCGGGTGAAATAATTGGGGATTCCTTCTGGACGGGGGAAGGGGAAAAGCTTGTACATATGGGGGTAGTGGTGCTACTACTACTTTAGCTAGCATTTGAGCTTAATTGCTGATACGTCGCCAGTGGGGAGAAGCCGGGTACTGGAACATAAAGTAAAGATAATTGAAGAAAACTCTGCATATACAAACTGGTTGTCCTTCTATTGTGATTTTTAATTGTGATTTTTGATGATGTGTTGTTTCATTTGATTCACTTTGACTCAACCCCATGATTCATCTGTACTGACTAGTGAGTGAATCTAGACGTCGAAACATCGAGTTGTAGTGAATTGGGATCTTTGGTTGCACCAGTGTGACACTGGTTATTAGTTATGGTCTAGTGATGTCACGAGATTTGCTTGTGAGGTGCCCGCAGGTGAATGGAAGTCTCGTCTCTGTGGGAAAGGGGGGGGGGTTAAGTTTTCGTTTTGATGCTTTGGTTTGCTCTACGACTCGAGGTCCTTTCCTGTGTGTTACACATAGATGACTTTATGGCTTGAATAGCTGAGGGGAATGAAATCTGGTTACTTGCTCAGGGGGGAGTGAGGGAGTTCTATACTGTAATGTGCTGTAGCTTTGCGGATGTTTGGGGTTTGGTTTGTCGTGGGATATGTGTGTGGTTGTTGTGGTTGTTGTTGTGTCAAGGGACCTGACCGCGTACTGTACTGTAGCTCGGATAACTCCACCCCCTGGAAAAAGGGGAATTGATATGGTACTGTATAGTACTGTATAGTACTGTACAGTATAACTCCCCACGAATCCGACTTTCCTATTTTCTCTTCGAAGACTGGATTATGGTGTTGCATGGGTTTCTATAATATGGTACTTTGTTTATAGGGGAGAGGGGGAGGTGGTGACGCATGTGAGTTTTTTTCCAATCCATCCCCTTTTTGACTTGATTGGGCTGGGCGCACCGGGGCGCACCGGGGCGGATGGGTGTGGTGGGTGGTCCCCACACTCGCTCGCTTAGGAAAAGGGGGAGACGAGAGGAATGAACGGGTGGTCTGAGCGTCCCTCCTCGGAAAAGGTCTTGGTGAATAAGTGGTGTGCTATCGATAGTTTTTACATTCACGTTCGTCTCACGAGGGAGAAAGGGGGCACAATATTGAGAAAAAGGGCGTAGCGTACGCATCCTGCTCGAAGAGTCGAAGGGTAGGATATGCGAAGTTGTAATAATTCCTGCTCCCGCCGCTAGCTCTTGTCGGTTGTTTGTTTGTCCTCACGTGATATGGAAACATGCCTATTCAATGGGAAATTTTTTGGGCGCGGATGTGGATGAGGTGAATGTTTTGGAGGGGTGGTGAATTGAGGAGGGGGGTTTTTTTGGGGGTGTGTTTGGTTGGTGGTGGGTTCTGGGGTTGTTTTTGGTTTTGGTTTTGGTTTTGGGAGGAATGGGGATGGATTGGGTGTGTCTGCGAATGGTGGTCTTTTTTTTCGAGGGGGTGAGTGTCTTTTTGGGGCTTTGGGGGGTTTTTTCTTGGATTATGTACTGTACCTAGGTTTTATAGGGAGTTTATGTTTTTTTTTTTGGTGACTTGGGTGTTAGAGTTGCGGTATAGTAGTTCAATAGGGGTATCGGGATTCGGATGCTCGAGATGGTGCTGATGCTTTCTTGACTTGGGAGGTTTTAGCGTATGAGAGTAGAAACACTTTTTAAGCAGCTATATGGAGGAAGTAGTATTGAAGTGTAAGCCTGTGAGATATAACTAACCTTTTCGGGGATTCTCCCAGGGCTAGGGATAAAATAGGGTGTGGAAGTGAATTGACTGGGGCGAAGGTCATTGGAGACGTGACGGGATCGACTGGGGGATATTAAAGTCGTATAATCAAGTTTACCTTGGGCGCTTGAAATAGAAAGTCACTCTCTACGGAAGAATTAATTTTATACTCCCGAGTCCCGAGAAGTTCGAAAGGTTAAGACTCAAGTTATATTCTAGAAGCTTAGCGTAGAAAGAAAGGCCTTTATAGGGATCTTAGTAGAAGATAGAAATACCAAGTTTTGTTAAAAAGGTTTCTTCTAGGAGTTTATTCACTTATATTATATATATTCTATTTAATTTAAATTAGCCTAGAAAACTAGATAGTAAAAGAAATGTATAATAAATGCCTCCCTTTGAGAATTGTAAAAACACACTCTGTTATTTCAATGCCCGTCGATGCGGTAAGGCTTGGCGCAACATGGACGTTCATGAAACCAGAGATTTTAGTTTATATATTAACGTTCAAACTCCAAACTGTCACATACGACCATAGACTGAGGAGAATTGGGCATCCCGTCCGCTCTGCCATACACAAGCCTCAGATCGGCAGATTAGTAGTTGGGTGGGTGACCACCAGCGAATACCTGCTGTTGTATGTTTTTACTTCTCTCTTTTTTGCTAGTGTTCTGAAATCCTTGCGATAGGAGGGTAGGTAAGGAAGCAGTATGAAAGGGTGGAAGTAGTACGCGCTTACAAGTATCTTCTTCCCCTTTTATAGTAGGCAAGTTAGCTTAAAGGAGAGCCCGGGGTTTTTACAACTATCGTATAACCGTAGCCTCCGTTCTAGGGGCGTTCTAGGAGCGTTCGCTATTAGTAATCGTTCTAAGGGATAATTAGTATAGTAGCTAATCATTATTCTATATAACTATTCGAATTTAGAGAACGGTTATGTGACGGTTCTAACCGTCACCACCATTCGGATCACGTGGTCTCGCTGAGCGACCCACACCAAGTATTTAGATCGAAGCTCTCTCGAGCTCTCCTCTTCTCCTCAGCTTAGAATCTTTGTTTAATTGACAGTCCTACGATTCCACAACCTACACCGTGGGCCTTGCGTACGTGTCGTCACAGGTTATCTCTTATAAGTATCCTAGAATACTTCTAGGACAATTCTCGAGGATACCCTTAGATTCCTATAAGTATAAGGGTTAAATAGACAAATGTAAGTACTCGGTACTACTCCTATCCCTTACTCCGTAATACCTTAGAAACAGGTAGGTAGAACGTTCTAATTAGGTTTAGTAAGTAGTTTACTTTAATTTAATTAGCGAAGATTAGCGAGAGTACTAAGTTTATACCTAATTAGGACGTTCTACCTACCGGTTTCTAAGTTATCACGAAGTAAGGGATAGGCTTAATCTTAACGCTATCTCATGGACCGTTCGGGGGACTTCGCCGAAGGCCTAAGGGCGTGTACATAGGGCCGAAAAAAACACGTGGCTATGTGCTAAGATTTGCTAACGTCGAAGTTTTTGGTATTTGCGTACGAAACAGGATTTAGGGCCTAATCCCAAAAAGGAAATTAGCATGCGATCGTCCATTTAGTGAGAAAAGTGCTTAAATTAGATATATGTCTTGTTTTGAAGTAATCCAGCTTGTTCCTGTGTTTTTACGTGAAGTATTACCACGTAATAAGGAATTATAATCTTCCTCGCTACACCAAAATCTAGTATATGTTGAGGAGAAATCCTGTGGTGCGATTCCAGTCCCTACACGTAATACTCGGAACCGGAGATACTTGGTTCCGTATTACGTAATTCACCACCACCACCGCTGTACTTAGCCTTGCCGTAGGACAGACTCTAATCTATATGCCTTCCAACCCACTTTGATCCTAGCGACAGTATGCTGTACCGCACCGGTATTAGGGTCATACCCTACATATTGATTAATAGTATAATCTAATAGCCTCGATAGCTTAGCATTGCTAAGCTGTTAGAATAGACCCTTAACTATACATTACGCAGTCTTCTAAGCGAGGGTACTTGATCCTGGTCCGGTTGTCCCCCGAACGGTCTAGGGGATATAAAATTAAGTTTTAGATTCGCTCGATTCGGGCGATTTTAATAGGCGCGCATTACACAGGCGCACACTAGCGTATACTACGCATGGTTTACGTTAACGCTAGTATAGGTGAGGGTAGGGGTAAGTAAGTGCCTTCCTCAAGTGAGGGCATTCCCAGTCTTGGCGTACCACCTACTAGGTAGCCAGGGAACGCTCCTAGAACGGTCACTAAAAGATAGAACGATTAACTTAGGAGAAGTATTATCCCTAGGGTAACGATTACTAGTAGAAATCATTAAGGAATCCTTAATCTTACTAATACTATTACTAAACAAAGTAGTTTCTATTATAGATGTATAACATGATTATTAAGGGACAGTTATCTTTTTCTAATACTTAACTTTTTTTGATTATCACATCATTATCACATCATAGTTATAAGATAGTTGCTAAACCCCCGCGCTCTCCTACAAGGTACTTGCGGCGGGCAAACTCGAGGGGCTATAACTATATTCCACGCGTTTAAGTTTAGAAAATCCTTAATGTTTTAGGCCTCTTAACGAAACCCCCTTTCACAAAAGGAGAATGCGAAAGCGTGCCTATGATCGGGAGGCTAATAAAGCCTTAATTAACCTCGTATACGACACTCAATAAGTTTAACTTCCTGGAAACCGTAAACTTCTGATATCTAGAAGTAAGGATCTAACTTTTATAGTAGCGTTTATCTCAGGTCTACTTTCTTGGCCCTATATGTTAACGTTATTAACAAAGTTCATCTGAAGAAAGAAGAAGTAGAATAGAAGTGGAATAAAGTCTAAGAATAATGTTGAGCGCGTAGGAGACTTTGGATATGGCTATTGCTTAATTGTTAACTGCTAAGGAGGAGAGAAAAGAGGCTATCTACAGTGTAGGTCCATGATATAACATGGTACGCCACCTAATCTAATATGGGATTGAATGCCGGAATATGTTCAACAAATAATAGCGAACACTTCATTATCAAATAGTCGTTAGATCTATTTTCCGTCAGGTAAGGCTTGAAGATAGAGGCGAAAAATTGCTACCAGGGTCGCCCTGTCTCGCTTAAGGAAACAAGCAACGACCGCAGAAGATACAGATAATACCGGTCCATTTAACAACGGAATTAACATGCCTTGGAATACAATAAGCGAGCTGTCAAAAAATCTCTGCTCAGCTCTTATCTATCTTGTATACGGTTGTACTACCGTGGTAAATCGTCCTTAAGGAAAATGGGTGGGTATGTCTCGTATGCTTGCTAAGAGGTAGCAGAAGTTAGAAGATTACTTTTCAAGCCACTTAGAGATGAGTTTTCTATGGGTCCCAAAGTAGAAGAAAACTTTCACGTATAAAAAAAGTCCTTCGCCGCGGTGTACTAGCTACTCTAAGTGGCTCGGAGCGTACGGAACGGGTCTATAAGCCCTCCCCTACTACATCCACCCATTTTCCTTAAGGACGATTTACCATGGTACGGCAGTTTTAATGGGCTTCAAAGACCCGAAGTTCCCGGAATGCTTGGAGTATAGTGCGTTTACAATATGCATATATACCCTCTGAACAATATCTTCTGCTGTAGACAGTTTCCCATTCTTCACAAAAATATTTTGTTCTGCTCTACCCATACCTTTATAGCAAAATGAGTTCTTCTAATGGCAGTGTCAACTACGACCACTCTGGTGGCACCTATGTAGGAATGTCGCAACGCCAACAAGCTGAGTATGAACGCCTCCGTCTACAGCACGAGCTTCATAAACGAGCAATGTCTGGTGAACTAGTTAGAGTACCGCTCTCCAAAACACAACCCCTTCGTATCCTCGACTCGGCGACAGGCGACGGTCTCTGGATGCTGGATGTTTCCAAGCAGTATCCCTTGGCCTCGTTCGTGGGAACCGACCTGTTTCCAAATCATTTCAAGCAACTCAGGAATCTACCGGCTTCGATCAGCTTCAAGACTCAGAGTGTCCTCGATGACTGGCCAGACGAGGATTCCAATGCTTACGATCTTGTTCACCAGAGGCATTGTATTGGCCAGTTCAGTCCTGAGAAAGCTGCTGCAATTATTAAGCGTCTTTTTAACCTCGTCAAGCCAGGAGGCTATCTCCAGATCGTCGAGGCCAGCAACGCACATTTCGATGGGGGGAAGAAATATGTCTATATGGAGAGGGCGATGGACTATTTAGTGAAGATTTTTGCTGAGTTTGGTATCACAGCGAGTCCAGGTCCTTCTGCGGCGGGATGGATGCGTGAGGCTGGTGTTGTCGATATAAGGGAAGAGGTGCTGTCTATTCCAATAGGTGTCAAGGCTGTAACACCCGAAGACCAGACAGCTACAACCGCAAACATTTTGAACATTATTGACAACTTCGCTGCAGTTGGATCCAGTAAGTGCTCGAAAGCCAGGAGACCATCAAGTATCTAACCATGAACAGAAAACCCTAACCACTGGTTCACTCCAGACGACTTCAAGGCTCTCAGGGAAGGACTTGTAGAGGAATTGGCGACGAATGGTAATACTTGGCGCTTCTGGGTAGTCACTGGAAGGAAACCAGCCCAAGGGCCAGTGTATAACTTCATTGATGGGTATTCAAAGATGTGAAGACTGGGCTTCCCCTTGGCTTTCATAGGATTTTCTGTACCCAACCACTTTGTTCAACAGTACTAGAAGGCATAGACAGCAAATAACATATGATTCAAAACTAATACGCTGGGAGGTATTTGAAGTGAGAGCACGGAACCAAGGCAGTCCGCTCAATTAACACACCCGCCATGTTTCAGACTGAAGTAGAACCATTGCAAAAGTTAAGTGACATAGCGGCGCAGGAAGTGGAAAACGGGAATTCAACAGAATTTCAGTTTTTAGGCGAGAATAAGAAGGTTCAGAGCTAGGTAAGTATAGCTGAAAGCGTAAGTTCAGTATTTTGAACTTCCGGATACTCGTACAAGAAGTCTTCAAAGTATTCGCATCATCACTCCATCTGAAGAGTGCTCCACGTCTTCAAAATTTATCAAGTTTTCCGTGACTTTGAAGGAAGATGTGACGTACCTACCCAGGTACGTATAGAAAGGTACCACAAGATGCGGGTGCTTTCATTTGCGGTGCAAAGACGTTCGAGGCGATGTTGGGGGAAGCATGTATGGGCGAGAGGGATACTCCCAATGATATGTGAGAGGTAAGTACCTCCCTAGAGAGGACCAGACAGCGCGGTGTTCTTTGTATCAACCCAGGGAGCCGCGGAGCGCGTATCCCTTCTAGACTTGTAAGGATCAAAAAAAAACGTACACTCCTAGGTAGAGTTAAGTTATCTACCCTCGTAGCACTTTACGCGTACGCACGTACTACTAATACTTATTATAAACATGAATATACTAGAACTAAAAGAGGATATAAAACTAATATATTTAAATTACTAAACTACCTAAACTAGTAAAAACAAAGCTATTCCTATATTATCCTAGTATATAATATTAGTAGAAATATTCCTAATATAATAGAATATGATAAATACTATATTAAGAGCGAGTTACCTAAGGCTATTATAGAGCGTTTAAGATATTGTATCCTTAGTACCTTTTCTACCTATATAAATAATATTATTAACGTATACCTATATTAATAAAAGTATAAGTTCTCTTACTTTCGATTAGTATAATAAAGTAGTAATTCCTTCGAATATTAATAATAGGGGTAATAGAAGAAGGTAGTAGACTAAGAAGTAATTAAATTATTAATTTTAAGAATACTTATCGAGAATAATAGTACTTAAGGGTATAACTAATATACCTAGATTCGAGCTCTATCTACTAAAGGATATAAGTATTTAATAAGGCTATATTAAGTATCTAAAACTAGTAGAGTACTTAATTACGTTAAGTAATTTATTAGTAACTTAAATTTACCTTTAATTACTCTATTAAGTCTACCCCTAGTATATTCTAGTTATAGTTATTAATTAGTTTAATAATTAGTAATATAAGTCTAGAAGAAAAGAAGCGTTTAGTAATTTTATACTTATCCGCTAGTAAGAGTTCGAATATTTATTTTATAAATACCTTTATAGCAATAGAGTCTTTTAGCTTATAATAAGGCTAAATAATATATCTTAAATAACTATAAACTATTATTATTAGTTATATAACGTTTTAATCTTACTATGTAATAAGGAGAACTATTTCTCTATCTTTCTCGAGGTAGTAGATAGATCGAACTTCTCTCTAGGTTATTAACTTACTATTATTCTTCTTTATTATCTTATTTTTAAAATAACCTCTTATTCTATTCTATTATACTATTTCTACTACTCCGATACTATCCCCTTAACTACGGCTAGAAACACCTTTTTACGACCTATTACTAAGAATATTAAGCGATCTAATAGAACCCGATAGTTTCATTAGTTTTAGTTATAAAATATACTCTAATTAATAAAAGCTACGGAAACAAGGTCTTTCTTTATATAACTAGAAGTTATATCTATTATAAGCAAAGGTAATTAATACTATACTATCTTTCTTTACTTATTATTAGTAAATACGCCTAATATACTCCTTTTTATATCTATTCTTATAAGCAAAGCGATTTCGTACTATTATATTAGTATACTTATTATATTTAAGAATATCTAATAGGTAAGCATTTTAACTACGAGCCCCTGTATCTATAGTATCTAATCGCGTATTTTTATACGTTATAGAAGTCGAATATTATAGAATTAAAGATACTACGAAAGTTAGTATTCTACCCCCTATATAGGCTATAAAAAGGTGTTTCTGGCCGTAGCTAAGGGGATAGGATTATAGAATCGAGAAAAGTTTATATATTATAAAAAGGTTGTCTATAAAGATATTAAATATATAATTAGCAATCTTAGTATAAGAGCCTCTAGGGAGACTCTTATAGCCTTCGTGAGGGCCAGGTCCGCCAAGGCCGCAAAGCCACACTTAGCCACACGGGGAGCCGCCATGCGCACTTGAGCCTCACCTGCACGTATATGGCTACGTAGCTACACTTCTACATGTCGGAAAAACATATAAATAAGACCGATTTGTAGGGTCAATTAAGTAGTGTCTTGTCCTCGAAGGATGTACGTTTCCAACCAGTAGAAGTACTACTACGTAGGTATAAGAGCCGTACCTTGTGCGGACGAGTTTTCGTGTTCCTACAGCTGACTCATCGTACCCACTTTTCGTTCCTAATATAGTAAGTAAGGACTACGCCATGCCTAATGTAGTAAGTAAGGAAGGTTTGACGTTCTAGCCCTTACGAAGGATTCTAGAGTCTCTTTTAGGGATCCGAGGAACGAGGGGAAAATATATATCGAGACAAGAGTATTATACTAGATTAGATAATTAGGATAATTCTTTTATAGGTTAAGTACTAAATAAAGAACTCTTATAATAGTAGACGAGAAAGTTAGATAAAGCTCTTATATTTATATAATTTCTTATATTCCTAGTTAATTAGTTAGTAAGATTAAGCTAATTATAATACTTAAAATCTAAAAACTATACTAAATTAGGTTGAGCGCTTATATAAGAGAGGTAACCTTAAAAAATTTTAACCTCTTATACTTAGATATTCTCTAAGACTCCTTTATAAATACTACTACTATATAATATTTAAATGAACTTAGAATATACTATAAGTACTCGAATAATATAGCTGGCTAATTATAAATCCCCTCAAATATAAGAACTATAACTTATATCTATCTAGATATAGCTTTCTAGGGTGTTTTATAAAATACCGGCTTTAACCCTAATATAAATATATTATCTTATTATATATCACCTTTAAACCTAGTATTTAAAATATACTAAAAAACCTTCTATAAGTAGCTATTTAAAGGGTATAATTTCTAATACTAGTCCTTATTTACTAAAGAAACCTTAAAAAAGCTTTTTATAAGATAATATTTAGTTTACTTTATATAAAGAATAGGCGAATTAGTAATAGGTTTCTTCTAATATACTTTTAGATAAGTTATCTCTTAAAAACTAAGAAATAATAAGATAGAAATATACGTCTTAATATCCTAGACACCTATATCCCTTTATATAAACATAGTATATAATAATAGATTAGCTAATGTCTTCGCTACTACGTACTTATTTATATATAGGACTAACTTCTTTAATATTTTAATAAGAAATATAATATTAAAGAATATAACTAACTTAGATTCTTAGTATTATATAAACTTAGTAAGTTTATCTTTATAGGTTAAGCTAGATTTAGTATCTTAAGAGGTTTAAAATTATACGCTATTTTCGCTAATTTTATAGCCTATTTATAAGACTTATAGAAATACTTTTATTAATAATTAGTAGTTACTTTAATTAATACTATATTCGAATCTAAGTCTTTATTAATAATCTATAATTAGTTATAAAAGTTATTATTAAATTAATATGGTAAGAATTTAAGTAGTCTATTATTAAATAGAGGGGGGTTTTCTAGTAAACTTATATAACGATTTTACCTTACTATAGCTTATCTACCTATTCATATATATTAGATTAGTATAAAGAAATAATAAATAAGATGTATAAGTATTTTTCTAAGCTTTCTATAGTAGTAGTAATAGTATCCTTAGTTAGGGTACTCTTTTACTTACTGTCACGAATCACGTGCTCACGTGATACTTGTCATAATAAGAGGCGCAACCCTCGACAGGCACATCCAGGTTTCTTATAGCAAAATAGGGACGCTTAGGCTAGCTAAGCGATCCAGGGATTTCCTTTGGTTAGCATCACGTGACTCGCTTGGATCATGGAGGATCATATGAGCCAGTGTGAGCCGGATCAGATGGATCATGGTGATCCATATGATCCATAGAGAACGAAGGTTCTATATAAGACGGGCACGTCTGCCATTAGATAGGAGCTTCGTGCTCAACTTAGTTATCAATCTTATCATATTAGTTTGACATCTTTGATACAAGTAACGAGTTCACTTCCAAGTGAACAACCCGATAGTCTTCTTCTTATCATAGCATACCAACCAGCGAACACCCAGCCAAGTTTAGTTAGCCAGTTTGAGTATTCGTTACACTTACGTTCTTAGTAGAGCTGCGAAGTACTATAGACGAGGTAGCTTATTCCGCTAAACTCGTACTATTTTATAGTATATTTAGTATAGAAAGAGCTTAATTTAATAGTGACACCTTATACTAGAGGGGACAATAGTATATTAATACTACTAAATCAGAGAGGTGTTCTAAAGGTAGGCGAACTCGAGAGTTCTAAACCTAATAGCGAATTAGGTAGTATATGTCAAGGGTTGCACCCGTGGAGTGAGTCTTGGAGTGCTCCAGCGACATGTGCACGTGACCTCTAAGCAGACTTGGTGGAACCTTCTAGAGTATTGGTAAAGGACACGTAGCCAGTTCTGTGGTATATAGAGAGGGCTGGGAAGCTGCTTTGGGAAGGACAATCGAATCTTCTTGTACATAGACAACCTCTGTAGTTCAATTCATCAGCATTTGCTACAAGTCCTGACAGTATACTTAAGTTACGTATATTAAATATATAGTAATATTAGGATAATTTTAGGATAGAAAAATAAAGTAATAGTTTCTACGGAATCTTTAGATATTTCTTCCTATATTTATATACGTTACTATATAGTTTACTATAGTAGGAGGTATAGCGGTTAGAGAATATCCTAATCTATTTATTACTATGTTTTTATATATTACGGTATAGGGTTGTTCGTTTAGATCTAATTCAAATAAATTAGAAATAATTAGTAATTTAGGCGTTTAGATAAGTTTCAATTAGATCCTAATTATATACGTTATATAACGTGAAATATAACCTCGGAGCGGAAAATCCTATACTCCGGCGGCGCTATTACAACCCTAATTCTGCTCCGTTATCTATTATCTCTATTAACTTTTATAATACTTAGTACTATCTATGGTTTTAACGATTAGCGAGAAGTTAAGATAATATTATCCGAGATAAGAAAAGATAATTAAATAAAAGGTCTACTTTATTTCTACTTTTACTCTTAATTTATCCCGCTTATACCTCTTATAGCTCTATATTTATATATGCAAAGATCTAAGTTTAGAGGTCAAATCTTTATTTAGGCTAATTTAGGGATTTTTTAATTAGATATAATTTACCTAAGTTTAGATTATATAACCCTATTACGGTATAAGGTTCCTAGATCTATATAAACCTATATTCTAAGTATTTAAGCCTCTACTTAACCTAGTTATTATATCTACACTAATCTACCTAGGAGTATACGTTTTTTTAAATCCTTACGAGTCTGGAAGGGATAAGTTGATTTTCTGAACGGATGACTACCTATGTATCTGGGAGAAAAACCCTAATATTCAAATCCGTAGTACTACTTTTGTAGCAAGTTACGGCCGCTGTAAACTTTTGCAACCATATGAGTGCCGTCTTGATCTAGGTAAATACAACTATTGTATAATCTTACACCAGATCTACAATGGTTATTAAATCACAACAGTTGTACACATAAGAGGGTTTCCTCTAAGATATCTAGGTACCTAGGAAAATATGCCTGTATTTAGGTTGTCGGAATGGATAGGTTCACAAGCCTCAAGTTCAGGAATGGTCATACCCAGGTACTTATATAAGCAAGAAGAGATCTTTAACTTGCGCACGAGAACAATGACCTAGAAGAAATTACCACGTCGAACCACAGAAGTGTATGTCACACTCGAATGAATACCTCCCAGGTAGGTACCTATCTATCTATCTAGCGGATTACTCTTTCCAAATTGGAATTAGGTCTTCATGGGAGAGGCCATCGGAGAGGGGTTTTATACACACGCTAAGGGCGAAGCCAGTCCAGATGTGGCCTCAGTCCTCCCCTCGCTCCTTCCTTCTCCGTAGACGAACTCGAACCTCGACTTCGACTTCAACATAACATAATTCGATAGGCCGGCCAGCTGGAGGCATAGGTACATACCTCCTCCAACGCTTCAAACCCAGCCCCAATAGAGAATGCCCACGGAGTCGGGATCCACCTGCCTATAAACACATCAACAATGCTACCTACACCTACTTATGTAATGTGGACAGGCGCTCTTTCAAACAAGCGTAGTATATGCCTACAGGTCCATCCATGGACGTCAGGCCTCTCTCTATTGCACACAAAGGTTCAAGAGACTCCAAAGGCAAATGTATAACACCTTTGCGACCTAGTGTCTGCCATTTGTAGGAAATTTGTTGTCAAGTCGATTTTGGTTTAGTAGTGTTTCTTCCAAGAACCCGGAAAGTAGCTTCTTTTCTCACTTCTAAGAAATCAGTACTCTTCTCAACTACCTACCGAGCTAGAGGTTGGTGATTTGCCCATGGCATATTTTACTCGCCAACTAAGTAGTTGTAGAATAAGTAGCTCTGGATACATAGTCATACATCTAGATCACTAAATTGGATTATCTAGTTCTCATTAAACAATATCGGTTAATTAAGATAGTTAAGACAAATGCGAAATCTATACAAGGTATATTTTAAAACATATCTTTTAAAAACCATCACACTTTACGTTTTAAGAAATCTGGTCAATGAAACTGAATTCAAGAAGAATAGTTACTTCCGAAAGCATTAATGACGTCGCTACTTATATCTCTACTTGTATACAAAATCCGACTCCTAGGTTCCTGGTAAACAAATCATCGAATAACTAACCTAGCGAAAACTTCAGTCTAATGTAGAGTGTATAATAGGAATGATTCATTTAAAATAAAGGCGTGGTTGGAATTTGTCCCAAAAAAAATCTAAAAGAAGGGTTTAAATGGTCCTTGAACGCTAAAACCATGCTAGGTATGTTATTGAGAAGTGGAAGGAGTTTTCAGCTGACCATAATCATCCCGTGCTCATTTTCAGGCATATCTCCTCAAGACCAAATAAGTACTTGTAGCAGATACTGGCTTACATTTACACGTTACCCTTAATATAAAATTCTTGTATACTTAGTTTTGAGAAGGTTATAATGAACTTCTTTGACAATCGTCTAGACTGGCTGAAACCAGGTGAGTCTCCGCATCAGTGATGCAGTACCACTCGACTGATCTGTCAGTATTGCAGATGACAGCGATTGGAATTGAGCTTCCTTGAGAATATCCAAGAGTTTATTTGTCCCCCTTATATTATAAGGTTAATGTATAGGCGACTCACCGACAGCATGGCGCTAGACTTGTAACACTTCTCATTATCTTGTGTCCCAAGCATGTACTATGATAATGATATAAATTTCAGTTCATAAAAATACTGATATAAAAGAGAAAGCCAAAAAAACAACAATCTGTGGTATCATCCTTACAAAAAAACATCCAACCCCATCAAACCGTTGCTACAAAAGAGACTGACTATGAGCAAAGACATAAAACCCATCCAAGACCAACACAAGAAACCCCATTCCCAGACACCCCCAAATCCGCCTGAAATCCCCCAATTTATGAACAGAGATAGAAGAAAAAATACTGCCAGAGTATGAACTGAAGCCTGACTGAGAAACGAAACCTTTTAATCCACCCAAAAACCCAAAACACGCTAATTTGAAGTAACGCCCACACGCTCCACAACAACCCTTTCGCTTTTCCGTTGCTGTAGTTCCTTTGTTTCTTCCTTGGTTCGAGTTGATCTCGACCTACTTCGCTTAACTTCCAACCCAACTTTAATCTCTCCCATCTCCTTCCCTCTTCTTCGCTCAGAAATACTACCACCAATTGGCACGAGAGTTCCCGGGTGAACAATAGGAGAGGCGGTATTTCCATCCCAGGCTTTCACGGAATGATCGTCGTTCATGATGACCAGAGTTGGTGTTGCTGGTTTGACACCATCCACAATTCGTTCCTTATGTACTAGAATGGGAGGTGCACTATTCTTCGTCCCTTTCTCTTCGCGCTCCCTCTCCTCAGAAACAGCGGTTGCAACAGCCCCAAGTGGACTTTTGTGCGCTACTGGACTGGCGACAAAGCCTTTATTCAATTTTTGGTTCGTCGGTTTTTTGTTCATGGTGATGGGGACAAGGAGTTCGCGTTGCTGGCGAGATACTGAGATCTGGCGAGCGATAGAAACATCCGCTGCGGCCTTGCGTTTGCTTTCTTCATCGTTCTCTGTAGATTCGCTTGAGGCTTTGTCTGATGGTTGAACTTGGGCACTAGGCACGGACACAGGAATACGACTATTTGGTTGCGCCGACACGACAGATTTTGGTTGGGATGCTGGTTCTGGAGATTGCTGCTTTAAAACAAATGGAACTGATGCAGAGGTTGCCGTTGAACCACTGAGACCCGAAATTGATGAGGAGGCAGATGCTATGGTTGGTGGCCTTGCCGTCTTTTCGGATTGATTAACAATTTCCCATGCCGGTTCCAAGAGTTTGGGTTTAAGAGGTGCCGGTTCATGAGCAGTAACAACTGGACTTGGAGAGTGGGTATATGCAGTATGAGCACTGTCAGGTGAACTGAGAGCTAAATGCGAGTCTTCTGGCGACCAATTGCGCTGCTGGAGAGCCTTTTGCTTCAATATAGCTGCCGCTCGAGCAGCTGCAACTGACCCCTTTTGTTTGTTTACTACCGCAGCAGGGACAGTCAGAGTATCATTTTCCAGACTTGGGCGTGCTTTTTGAGTGGGAGGCAAAGGTACGTGATCGGAGTGTACATTATTGTCAGGACCTGGAGCAAATGAAGGACGAGAAGGAGAAAGAGCGGCAGGTGAGGTATTGGAACGATGTAGTCCACCAGGGGTTTTCGGCAGAGATCTAGTGGGGGATGATTCGCTGTGTGTTGATTTCGAAGGCGTATTAGGAAAGAGCGAGAATCCGGGACTTTTGGGGAATCCGGGACTTTTAGGGAACCCGGGTGAGGTTGCCCTTCTTCCTTGCATCTGAAGTCGCTTTTCGTTTTCCAGTATTTCGCGCTCCTAGAAATTACACGTTAATACTAATGCTGACCTAACGACTGGCATGGACCAACCTTTGCATCTAGAGCCTCCTGCGCCGTCTTAAGTTTATCCAGAGTTGCTTGTCGCCTTGCTAGTAAAGTTGATGCATTGTTGGTAGGCTTTTGAAGAACACTTCCAAACATTACGCTATACCGTTCCATTTGTATAGATGGGATATTGACATCGAGTAATTGGTGGTTGTTCCCCAATGATCCTCCATCCAACTTAATCTCAGGCGTAGGCATTGGAGGTTTTGAATTTGGTGGAACCGAGGGCAATGTATTTGATCTCTTCATTGGAGACTTGACTTTTCGTGTAGAAAAGCTTCGTCCGCGAGCCCTCATCTTCGGCTCTTCTGCATTCGCAGACAACTCTTCGGAGGTATTAGAACCAGAACCCCTTGTTGAGGATTCAGTCTCTGCAGCTTTCTGTCGAGGAGACTCCACCGGTTGTACTTGATAAAATGGTTGCTGAGCGTCCGGCTGCTTCTTTCCTCCAAACAATCCCCCAAAAACCTTCCATCTGCTCCCTTTTTGCTTCGCTGGAGGAGCAGCCGTGATGGCTACAGACTCGTTCGTCACTTCTGATGTCATGGTTCTTGACATGTCGTTGTGAGGTAATGAAGGCCAGTCTACAGGTTGTTGTGATGGACTACCCAACGCCATCCCAATCTCAGTGTGTGGAACAGCCATTGTTGCAGATTTAGAATTGGCGTTCATGGAATCGGGTGTAGGTGGTTGACTCGGTTGCGAGGCCGCCAATGATGACTTTCGAGGAGGCAAACTTAACTCCTTTGGGGAGTGTTCTGGTGTGGGAAGGGATCCTGGGAGAGGGAAGTCATTAAACTCTGTATCTCTTCCGGGCGCCTTCAAGGAATTAAAGTATAGGTCGTCTTTGGTTTCCCTTTTAGTAGCGTTCTTTCGAATTGACTGGGAAGAGGAAGCAGGTCCAGATGAGGTACTTGGTCTCTCTGGAACTGTCTCTTGTCCACCAAGCTGACTAAAATCAAAATTTTGGGTCTCTTGAGATTTTTTGGCCGCAGTTACTGGTGTATGATCTTTAACACGCGAGGAGGGAAACTCGTTGTCTCGGCCTCTCACCCCAGCTGGTCGAGGTTGACCAGAATTCTTTCTAGAAGTAGAAAGCATCTTCACCGTTATCCCGTCCAGGTACCAGCGGGGTCGGCTAAGTGATTGGTTGTCCGAGACTAGTAAGTAGAAATGCTTGAAACGTCGAGTCAGGTTAATGCTAGTGGGGGAGGTTTGTGCGAGATCTGCTGATGTGGTGTTGTTTCCAAAAGAGGGGACAGGCTCGCCAGGACACCCGGAAGCAAAAACGAAAGAGCAACGAAGGTGAGAATAAATGAAGGAAAGGACAGGAAGGAGATCTCAAGCAGACATGTTGACGGACATGACTTGTGCTTAACTACCAAGCCGTGATGCGTGATGAGGTTCTGGTTTGAGGGGTCTGGGGTCCTGCTCACCCCGGCCCCCAGGTCTGTTTGAAGTTAATGGATGAGCGACTTTAATTAGATGTGGGCCGGGTATTTGATCGCCCTCAGGGTTTATGTGGAGATGGGGACGCAAGACGCAACGCACGAGCAGGTCTGTCAGCCTGCCGCTACCAAAGCTACCAAAAAGCCGTTGTAAAGTACCAAGTACGGCCGAGCACCGTTACGTTAACATTTTCGGTCGGCAACCAAAGCAGCAGCAGAAAACCATACCAAGTAGGTTCATCGACGATCAACCTTAAACAATGTGTCCTGCCGCTTTTGGCGATTACCTCCGCACAGTAGGTAAAGTTACGGTTCATCGCAAGGCGTGTGTGGTCCAGAAGGAGATTGGAGCTTGGAATCCTCTCGCGAACTTTAACCAGCCGGGTCTGGACTGATGCAGTCTGGACTGAGTGGACTCTGGACGGTCTGGCAGTCTGCTTTCCCGCATCACACTTGGATTTGGGAAAACAGCGGCATTGATTCCAAGTGTTCCCCATCTACCGAGTATGACGGCGACCATATCAGCCAGAATAGGTGGTTGGCATTGCGAGACTGGCAGAAAGTAGCTGCGCTTCATGATCACGGCATCCGGTTTTGGACGGTTCTCTCGGCTCTCTTATGAAGTACAATAGAGAATGATGTCCAAGTACTCGTATCTGGTCGTGTAGCGAAGAAGTTGCTCAAGAAACTTTTCTAACAAGGACAAATAGTGGCGTACGAGTACAGTACTGTACCTCACCGCTCAACAGCCATAACCCCTGAAGCCGCCCGGATGAGGCTCTTCAAAAGTCAGAAGCAACGAGGGGGTTCATGTGCTGTGACCAAAACAGGACGATAAGATGGCAGCTCGAGCTCGAACCGGAACTAGGCTTGAAGACGAACGTCCTGTTGTGGCAGGTATCCACGAATATGACATGATATTGGATCTATGATCTATCAAATGATATTCTCCGACGTACTTGTACCGTACGACATCGGCATCTGCAACGGGTGCGGGCCGGGACAGAAGGAAAGATATAGAAGTATACTTAGAATGGGACTTGAATCGCGGTCCGTGTACTATAGAGGGAGCCTGGATAGGTTAGATTCCCGTAGGTAATGGATTTGTGCAAGTCTCACTCCCGGTTGAAGAGCGGGCACTAAGTTCTAGCACTCCAGATTAGGTTTCCTGTATTTCCCGTAAATCTCGTCCGCTGTCTTTCGAACCCAATAATCAGTATCTCTACACTTTGGTAACAACATGGGTATTTCCGCGGCATCAGTAGGATAAATTCCGCAAAATTGGTTGCTGATGGCCCGGGATTTTCATGTGAGCATTGCATCATTGATGGTCCCGGCTGTGGTAGTTTCACAATCTTGACGACGTGTTTTGGATGTCGACGTGGTGGTGAAACGGTATCCAGAGAGATGTAAAGCCGTGCTATGAATAGAAATATACTGCATACCGGTACTGCACACCGCAGATCTTGAAAAGGAGGATTTACAAGATCTCCTTCAAAGACGATAGAAATTATTTATCAATCAAGGGCCGTGGTGTCACATGTTGAAATGATGATACCAGGGCGAGACTGTCGAGGAACCAAGATCTCGAAGATCTCCCCCACGAGATTCAGGCCTTAAAGCACATTTTCCCTACAAACATTTTCAAAATTCTAGAAGCTTGAGCCTTTTAGGAGAGTTCTCAGTTTATTCTCCGAAAATGACAGGTTCTCCGCCCATCACTCGATGAACACAGAAACAAGGAGAGCACTCGAGGACAAGAGGGCACTTGTACCTCGACCTGTACTAGTAGCTTCTATCAAATCGTACCGACTAGCCTTGTCAGAACCAATTTGTGCCAGATTATTTGCGTTCCAGCTTCCATATACTTCGCCGGTCCAAATTTGAGAAGCAATAGGATTCGCAGGAACGGATAGGAAAGTGCATAAGATCGCCCTTGTGGTTTGGATCCTGAATCCCGATGGCGGCGTTAGCATTGAAGCTTCACGATCTGATGTTCCACAGCCTTAGGATCAAGAGGATGGGACGACGCAGCGAATACGAATTGAACCTGGCTAGTGCTAGTAAACTTCTACGAGCACTCCTAGCACTGGCAACATGGATTGAATAGAGGAGTTGGGATCTGGCTGGAATGGGGAAAAGATGGATAAGAGAAAACAAGAATAAAAAGAGCTGGTTCGTAATGATGTAATGCGCATTGAACATTGCACTTGAAATGCCAAATGCGCCAGAGAGCAATATTGATAATGTATGGAATTAATGTTTGCATTGCTGGGAAGGTGAAAGGAAACGAGGCTGTCCTTGCATGCAATGCGAACGCAGAAACGGCCTGATTTGGTAAGCAAGAAACGCTGCAAGTGCCAGCTGTAGCTGTACCTACCAGTGGCCAGTCCAGTGAAAAGGGTTCAAAGTAAACGTGCGTAAATCTCTGACTCTTCCGTATACCGAATATTGAGGGAAACTGTTTTCACAATCAGACAAAGAACACAATTTGGACCGCAATTCACCGCTGAGGTTCCTTGTCATGGGCTGAGCTAAAGACCAGTACTACTGTAGCACTGAGCCAGCACTCGTAAGGATTTAACCAGACCTGAACCACGTTTACACCACCCCACCAAAGCTAAGCGACGCCTCTAAAGTTCTCGTCACACCCCTCCATCAACACCTACACTTACAACCCGTCAAGTCTCCAACCAACGCAACTCAAGCATTTGATCTTCTTCCAACCTCAACCCCTTTGTTTCCGATCTTTAGTCCTGCGCACATAGCCTTCAACATGTCTTGGCAAGGTAAGGGACAGAACACTTGATTACCCCTCCTTCACCGAACCTGCGCTGACGTGCTTGTGCTTGCCCACAACAGCATATATTGATTCTAGGTACGGGCATCGGCATCGGCATCTGCATCTCGAGGCTATCCGCACGAACCTCTGAAGCTGATATCTTGGTAGCTTAATAGGCAGTGGTCATGTCGACAAGGGAGCGATCATCAGCGCTGCTGGTGACAGTGTCTGGGCCACCAGCCCCGACTTTACTGTATGCCTTCTCTACTCTGCCCCACCCACCATCCACGATGGCACGAAATCTTGACTCCCGTCAACATCACACGCGAAAAGAGATACGAGCTGTAGAGGACACGTTATGGGCTAGGCTGACTTGATGGATAGGTCTCTCCTGAGGAGATGAAGGAAGTTGTTGCGGGCTTGAGCGGAAAAACCGACAACCTATATGCCAACGGACTACACATTGCAGGTCAAAGATACGTCCTCACCAAAGCAGAAGACCGAAGTTTGTATGCCAGAAAGGTGGGTTGAAGTTTCTTTCTTGTGTTGATTTCCATGATTTCAGGCAGAGGGGATTGCTAATATCAGGATAAAATCAGGGTAGAGAAGGAGTCGTCATTGTCAAATCCACACAAGCCATCCTCGTTGCACACTACGGAGAGGCTATGATTGCCGGAAACGCCGCAACCACCGTTGAACAACTCGCAGACTATCTCATTAGCACAGGATATTAAGCCAAGGCAAACAGTACTCGGCTTGGTGATTTGGGAGGCGAAACTTCATGTTTCTGGGAGGAGATGTGCGTGAACGTATGAAGGGAAACTTCTTTGGTAGTGAGGTGGCAGGGCGGATATCAGAATGGTATCTGTTTTCTTGTGGTTGTGAAAAACATCTGCTGGTGGATAGCCTTGAGAAGGGGCGGGGGGAGCTATGGGAGAAGAAATAAGCCTTTACATAGGGTCGATGAATTGATGAACTCTTTCGTACCGAGATTGGCTTCTTTGTGACTGAGTATTTAGAAACTATAAGGACCGAAAGCTCTGTCCTTCTGCAACTCTCTTTTCCCGGGAAACCTGCTGGTATAAATATCACATAGTGACTTTGATTTGTGATTATGTTGCATGCATGAAAAGAGTCATTCATAATCAGAAGCTCTATTTAGCAACTCGTTCGACAGCTCGAAATTTCCTCTATCAAAACACCGGAACGCCAGGAAATCCTGAACCCGTATAATACACGTTAACAGCACATATTTTAACCCCCGGTATCAAATCGCAGCCCGGGTATCATCAATACTTCCTTTTCAAGCCCACCGTTCGTAAGTCCGCCCAACTTGGAGGATGTGCCGTTATTCTTTCCAGTATACCTCCCTCCCTTTCAATCTATACAGGCAACTCTCCCCCACCTCCAACTCTGTCCGCCAACATCCCAATATACTTCCCCACAACCGGAACATTCCTCCCAAACCCCAGGATCGTACCCAGGAAATCGCCAAAGAGTATGAATATACCATACAACTCCACCAGGAAACCGACAAACGCCCAGCGCATCAGGATGAGAAAAAGACCCATGAAGAATGCCGCGGTGCCTTTTAACTTCTGTTTGCGCGCGAAGAAGGAGGCTGTTTTCTTGGGGCCGATTATGATTGTGAGACCGATGAGGAATAGGATCTAGATAGTCGCTGTGTTAGGACTGCCAATTTGAAGGAGGGGAAAGGGGGGATTTACGTTTCCCATTGCGAGCCTGTTGCGTATTAGTTTGTGAAACTTAGGAACATTGAGGTAGGAGGAAGAGAAGTGAAAAGGGACAGAGGAAGACATACATAGCCCTATCGAAAAACAACATCACGCCTCCTATCAGAAAGAATCCACCTATCCGTATCCCCAAAGATCAGTCCCTGTGCATGCCACTTCCACCACTTCATGCGCCGACTCCTAGAACCCGGCGAGGAAAAGATGCTTACATACCACCTGAGCAGAAGGCTACCCCAATTTCTAAAGCGAGGAATCATTAACATTTCTCTCTACTAAAACCCTCCTTCCCACTCCCATCATTCCCGGCGCAAACCCATCCATTTACCTTCATTATACCATGGGGAACGGCAAAACTTACTTTGCGAATCGGATAACCACATTGAAGGCATCTTGAATGTTTTGGTTCCCGTCCAGCGTACTCGATTGGAAGATTCGGTGTGTAATTTTGGAAGAGGGTTTGGTGGTTGGGCAATTATTTATTGAATTGGTGCTTTTGGGGTCGAGTATGGTTACAAGGTAAGGAGAGCTGGCCTTGTGCAGGTACATGCGCACGGTCCTTGTTGAGTGCCAAGAGAAAAGGCTTCTTTTCTGGGGACCTTGATTTTTTATTTTTGGTTGAGCTTCATTTACCTCTCTCTAACATCAAATATGATATGGAAACATGTGAGTGTTCATCATCTGCACCCACCAGGGACTCAGGATGACCTATCTTCTCTGGTTTACACTGTTCTTCCTTAAAGCACACCTCACAGGTTTGTGGCTTCATTTTCGATTCTATTTCTTTCATTTTTACAGGAATTGAGGGTGAGTTCTAAGGAAATAAATCGGGGATGTAATTTTATAATTTGTTTCCATTGCCGCGACGACCAGAGCTATATGCTCTGGTAACTGAGTCTATTCTTCAATATGTTCTCGGTACCCCGTCCATCTCAAGGCAAATATCAGAATTCTTGATCGCGATTAAGCCGGAGCGTATTCTTGAGCCATTGGTCGAAAGGCCAATGATGGGTGGAATAAGCTTGACTTTGTCGGTCGGACATATACGGTCATCATTTTGAATACCGCCTATCGATATGATGGTGCATGAAGACTTCGTGATCTCGAGAAACGAGAGACCTCGGTGGTTTGCTCAAGTCGTACTCCGCCCTAAGAACCGTCTCCCTTCCTTTCGACCTGTGTCTTCCAATACTACATGCTACAACGCAAGCCCACCAATTGTTGCAGTTATCATCATTAAATCCGGGGTTGTAAGGCACCAATGGCCATATTCTCCCACCACCCACCCACTCACTTCAAGATTGTATGCGCTCCTCTTGCCTCCAAGTATTGCTCTGCCACTCCTTGACCCAAAGTCCGAATTACCCCAAACACTTCCTTGTTATGGTACCTTAGCCTCGTCTTTGGATCAGTATATGGCGCAGGTAACCCAGTTATATCACAATAATGTCTCTTGTGCGCCATACTCGGTGCCGACTCGATATTCGTATATGTAGCATTCGGCGCAGTTGAGAACCCATTCGACTTCATATTCCTCTCCAAGACCAGCTTCGACAGATTCCGTGATGCCTGCGCGAGGTTGGGTTGCAGCATAGAACTAGCTGTAGAGACCGCTGGGGTAACATCGCCATTTGTGGATGTCCCTGAGTCATCTGGGAGCGGGGTTGCAGCACCACTGTTCTCTTGGGTTGCCATTGTTGAAGCCTCTTTACGAACTGCATCACCGAGGATGGTCTTGATGTTCTTGTTGCGCCGTTGATTTGGCTTCCATGTTTGACTGCGGAAAGGCTTAGGGATTGAGTGGATATCGAGTTGGGCGATGAGTGCCTGATGGGCTTCGGATTCGGGAGTTGGAGGCGCCATTCTCATCTACTTTCAGTCGTGGTTTGTTGAGGGGATGTGTCTGTCGGGTCGTTGTGATGACATACAGTAGCAGGACGAGGCAGGGTTTACAGGGAGAGCTTGCTGAGCTACAGCCCGAAAGGCTTGGCGAGGATCGTGGGTTTGTATGAGTACGAGTACTCCAGCGGTTTTCCCCTCAATTAACGCGTCAAACTACTTTGTTCAAGTATCGCAACCACAAATCCACACAACCAAGCAAGATGGTAAGAGACTACATGCATATCATGTTTTGCTATTGCTAATCTTGAAATAGGAAAGTCCTCATGAACACCAGCAGAACTTACTGCTTTCTCGCATCATAACAAATGTTGTAAGTCATAATATTTACTAACACCAGGTCTTCAAAAACATCTCCCATTAACATGTTGCTAGGAGAAACTCAATGAAGCAATTATGCTTCTAAACAAGAGCCTTCAGGTATGTGTGGAAACTACTATTCTACTTCTTTGAAAGAGGCTATATTCTGACTATGTGCAGGATATCAACATCCAAAACATGAACGTGGAGTTGGTCGCTCAGATGTTCAAGAACTATCAGTCAAATGTGCTCTTTCATCTGGAAGGCAAGCCAAATGTGATCTCAGAGTCCACGAGTAATTTAGCTAACGTTTACTAGGTACGGATAGTCTGAAGGAACCTTCATAGAGTGCTACGTGCATGTGTGATATGCGATAGATGGAGGGATTGGTTTCTGTATAGCAATGAGAGAGAGCTTGGCGGTCAGTGGTCAGTGGTAATCACTGGTAGCTCGCTATGAGTCAATGAGAAATGATACCCTGTCAGAAACCAGAATCTAGTAGCATAATGTGTAGACAAACCCTACGGTTAACTAGCTGCTTATTGGTGAACCTTGAACTCCCCAAATTGATGTTGCGCAGTGGGTCTGCTGTGGCATGGGTGACGCTCTGGAGACAGCCTTGTCTCAATTTGGTAGCCTCAGATACCAAACCCAAAGAGCACAATTAGTCGGTCGTAAAGCTCACTCCTACCCCAATCCAACACTTGGATTTATTTGGTTGCAATCTTGAATCTTCCTCACGCATCCTGACTCCTGTAATGCCATAAACAACCCTTACCAGCACCAACGGCCCACTGGATACTGCACACCAGATGTAAACATGGCGCCCTCTGCGATGGATCCAGCACCACCAGCCTTACAGCCAGAGAGCATAATCACACCAGCAAAGCTATACCCACCACGCGAAACGCGTTTTGAAAAATATATTGAGCCTGAAACCGATGCATATCGAAGTGCGCGATCCCGCGGTTCAGGCAATGCTGCCATAGTAATAGATAATGGTAAGCTCCTCCCCCAACCTACGTTTCCACCAGCTTGTAGCTAATACAATTGAACAGGATCTTCCTTCACCAGAGCAGGCTGGTCCTTCGAAGATTCTCCGCGATTGAATCTCGTACCCATATTCTCAAAGTACAGGGATAGAAAGATAGGCAAGACGTATGCCTTCGTTGGACAAGATGTCTATTCGGATACCACGGCCCGGGGGCATATGAGAACTGCTTTTGAAGCTGGGAGTGGGATTGTCAGCAATTGGGATGTGATGGAGTCGATTTTGGATTACGTTTTCATCAAGATGGGAATAGATGGACAAAATGGTGGGGTCGATATGCCTATTGTCATGACAGAGACGGTAGCTAATCTTCCATATTCGAGAAAATGTGTGTTCTTTTCAGTCGCGACTTAACATGGTGGTCCGAATGCTAATATTTATTCTAGCTATGACAGAAATCATTTTCGAATGTTACAATGCACCATCGCTAGCATACGGAATAGATGCGCTCTTCTCCTACGACTACAATAATGGCAAGACTGGGCTTGTTGTCTCGTCGTCACATAGTTCGACACACGTTATTCCGGTACTACATTCAAAAGCCATCCTCACTCAAGCGACACGACTCAATTGGGGAGGTTTACAAAGCGCCGAATACCTACTGAAGCTCATGAAACTCAAATACCCTACATTTCCCGGAAAGGTAAATTCCTCCCAGATGGAAAGTATGGTTCAAGATCATTGTTACCTCTCAAAAGAATACGACCAAGAAATAGCGAAATACCTAGATTGGACGGGTCTGGAGGATCGGGATCATGTCATCCAATACCCATATACCGAGGAGATTATAGTACAAAAGAGCGAGGAGGAACTTGCCCGGATCGCGGAAAAGAGAAAAGAGGGTGGAAGACGTTTACAGGAACAAGCAGCAAAGATGAGACTGCAAAAGTTGGTTGCGAAGGAAGAACAGCTTGACCATTACCGCGAGTTACAATCGCAATTAGTCAATCAGACCAAAAAAGAGATCAAACGATTGTTGGACGAAGAGGAATTGAAGGATGAAGCTGCCCTTGAACGAAAAATTAAGGAGCTTGACAAATCGGTCAGAAAAGCTCGAATCAAGGATGTTGGTGGACCGGAAGAGGAAGCTGAGGAACCAGATTACAGCCTCCTAGACACTCCGGATGATCAGTTGGACGAGGCTGACCTCAGAAAGAAAAGGTTGCAGCGTATGGCGAAAGGAAATAACGAAGCTCGAGCACGGGCCAAAGCAGAAAAGGCTCGGGAACAAGCCAGAATTGACGAAGAGAAACGGGCCGATGAGGAAAAACGAGAAAAAGACCTTGAAGTTTGGCTTCAAGAACGGAGAAATGCTCGATTGGACTTGGTTCAGAAGATTAAAGAGAGAGATCGTCTCAAGGCAGATCTCGGGAATCGAAAGTCCCTCGCCAGTCAGATCCGTATGAAAAGCATCGCCAACCTTGCCTCAGACGCACCCACCAAAAAGAGGCGCCGCGGAAACGACGACGATAACTTTGGAATGAACGATGATGATTGGGGAGTTTACCGTCAAATTGCCACGGCAGACGGTAGCGACGATGAGGAAGAGGAAGATCCCGGCGTCACGCTCAAAAGCGTTGAAGGCGACCTCTTGAAGTACGATCCGGACTTCACAGAAGAACATACGCTTGACGCTCAAACCGACTGGACCAAATCCCTAGTTCATGCCTTCCTCCGTGGTCCCCGACCGTTCGACCCTCAGAGCCAAGCAGAAGCCCACCAAATTCATCTCAATGTCGAACGCATCCGGGTTCCCGAGGTCATCTTTCAACCATCCATTGCCGGCCTCGACCAAGCGGGTATCATCGAAATCGCGGCCGACATCCTCACGACTCGCCTCAATGGTATCGGTCAGCAGAACGAGTTCTTGAAAGATATCTTCTTGACGGGTGGTGCGACCATGTTCCAAAATTTCGATGAGAGAATGCGAGATGGTCTGAGGAGTCATCTTCCGGCTGATGCGCCGTTGGTCATTCGGAGGGCAAAAGATCCCATTCTGGATGCGTGGAAAGGGGCGGCGAAGTGGGCGAGTGGTAACAAATGGAAGACGGCGGCGGTGAGTAGGGAGGAGTATTTGGAGAAGGGCGCCGAGTATTCCAAGGTGGGTCTATGTTTATTTGTTTCTTCGCTTTCCCTTCGTCCTGTGGTTTTTCTGATGGACCATTACTAATCTGGACACAGGAACATGATCTCGGAAATGCTTATTCAGCGTGAGATGATATAAGAAGAGTATGAGAGGCAAACAAGTGGTTGCGATCACGGAGGGTCAAGTTACGGTCAGAAGAATGCCAAAGATGGTCAGATCATCCATTCACGAAAAGGCGTCGTCAGATCAGGAATGTATGTTATGATTTCCAGAGAGAGAGAAAAAATGGTCAAGTGGTATTAGCAAATTGCAGCTGGCGTAATTCTATACTGTTTTTTTCCTCCTCTCATTACATACCAAGCGATCAAAAGCAATGAAAAGCACACTCCTCAAAAACCTGGACGCCTATACCGTTCCCGTTCGTTTCCAGGATACATGCAATACCCTCGAAATAATTGCGTGCTTTAAAAAACGATCAAAAAAAGACTAGAAATGATTTGACGCCAGTCCACCCGAAATCAAATGCCTAGAACGCCAGTGTAGTTCAACTAGAAAGAAGTTTTACATGGGTACAGGATTACTAGGAAGGCCGTCCGCACTGCCTTGTAATTGCGAGCGGATGATCTCCTCGTCGGCGGCTTCGTCGTTGGTTGATTCCTTAAATCTCTTATGGTCATACTGATGTTGTTCCTCCTGGGGATGTTTTGCAGTGTTTAGACTAGCAGCTGCAAGGCTTCGGGCGGCTGATGGGTTTAGTGCGCTCATGCCGGACATTGATGCTACGGGGGCACCTTCAGGTCGGTGAACATGTTGTTCGCGTTGCTCATGATTTCGGGCATGGGGATGGCTGAGATTGATGTTGGGTGGTGGTTGTGGGTAGTCTCCTTGCGATTCGATGAGGCGTGATTGGAGGTGGATGATGTATTCTCGTAACGAGTAGTTCTCGCCCTGTATCGCCTTGAAGCTCTCCTCTAGCGCGTGCATCTCTCGTACCTGCTCCTCGAGCTTCTTAATATAACCTTCTTTTCGCTGGCGGAATGCTCTCTATCATATTAAACAATTAATGTTAGTTGATGGTTTACGTAAGCTTTGAGCTCGTGGATGGATGACATGAGAATTGACAAAGCAAGAGGAGGAACGGTCCTCAAGTGAAAAAATTCAGAAGCTTAACGACATGTTCATGAATATCGCAACACTCGCTCGCAACCACGACCATTTGGAGCAGCGAAACCCCCGACTCGACGTACCTGGGCTGCACGATTTTGCGCGGCGCGCTTCGATTGCGATAGCTCTCGCTTTCCACCCTTGCGACCATCACCCAAGCTGTCGTCACCACCCGAATCACCGGCACCGGTGTTCATCATTGCACCTCCGATAGCAGGATCTATGTTATGATCGTGAGGACTGGCGCTGCTCGATGCTGGGACTTCGTTGTAGCCATGGGGAGGACCAGCGTGTGGTTGAACTTGTTGCGGTGGTTGGGCTTGTGTGCTGATAACGGCAGCCAGCTGAGCTCTTAAGTCTGAGGTCGCGCCAGTATCATGTCAGCAAACATAGCCCGGGATTTGTGAGCGGGAATAGGAGTTGTCGTATTGTTGGACAAGGCCAGTATCGAGGGGGAGCACTCTGGTGGGCGCATAGGGATGTGGGGGGAGGGGGAGGGGGATAATACCATTGTCTGCACTCATGTCCTGCGCAAGTCAGAGTGAGTCAGCTTGGGACTTTGTCAAAGGAAAGGAAAGTCTGAACAGTAGTGGACAGTGACAGAAGCCGGAGTAGCAGGAGTACCTAGCGAATGCAATGCAGCTGGTGATGTGATGGGACGGGGTCCTGGATTACTACACCAGGCCTGGCCTACGAGTACTGAGCACTCCTACTCGGTCCACTACACGGAAACAGTTGCAGCCCGCAGCACTTTCGTACTCGCGCGCAAATGATGGCGCGCATTATTTTTCCTCGGCTCCTATGGAAACGACGGAAGAAGACAAGTTCAGGCCAAGCGGAGAACTTGACGGGTTGACTACTCCTGACTTTTTGAGAAGGAGGGAGGAAGGAGGAGGGGTACCTACCTGACTTTGCATGCTCTGGGGAATGGGCGCTGGGGCGATGGACTGCATGTTGAAGGGTGATGCGCGTCTACTCATACGCTAGGTAAGTTTACTTTGGCCGTTGGTTCTGCCTGTAATTGGATCGGGAGGCTGGTGCCGCTGTTGCGCAGAAAGGAGCCTGGAAAGCTCTACGAGAACTGCAAATGGGCGCCCTCTTTCAAGACCTGGGAGAGAGTGAAAGGCACCACCGCCGTGTGAATGGGAACCTGGAAGCAGAACGGGAAGCAGGAAGCTGGAAGGTGCACGTGACCAGGATTCTCGGAGGCCCGGAATGGGAATGCTGGGAGTGGTGGAGGGTACTGGAGGTAGGCTCAGTAGGGTGCTGCAGCTGACCGAGAGTCGTCGATTGACGTACGAGAGTGAGTCGTCTGGTCTGGTCTCGGGGAAGGGAGAGGGCTGGCTTATTAAGAAAAGATGGTCGTCGTGTCTGTGTACCAGTATCCAGGTGAGTAGGTAAGAGATGTGATAAGCATTCGTTCATCAATGAATCTATTAGTATGCACTTCCGCTGGTGAAATATTCACTTGTTAGCCACCATTTAATTTATGGTGATGACAAATCCATCCAGCCGAGCTGGAGCTAGGGTGCCAGTGGTGGGAGCATCGGCTCAAAGAGCTGGCTGGGCGGTCATCGGACTTTAGTGACTACTGCCGAAGGATCTCCTCAAGAAAGGCTTCTATCCGTGGCAATCCCAAATCATCAAAAATTGATGGTGTTGATTAGACTCATCATCAACTTTCTCCTCGTACCGGAGTACACCTCACACGCATCATATCGGGAAGCTGTATGGCTTTCGCGGTGAGTAACAACCTAGCCGGCCCTTTTCGCCCCCTGCATTGCGGTTTGGGTCGAAACATACTGTACGCGCGCGTGCTGTATTTACGCCCCCAACCAGCATCTAATTCCTCTTCAGAGTCTTCACGTACGAAAAACGGTACGGACGGTACTATCTTACCTACTGATGCCTCAGCTAGTATAATCTACAAGCCTCATTGACCAAAGCATATCCCTAAATCGGTATCCCTCGCAGCCGCGTACCCGAATAAGTCTGGGTAAAGCAGTGTTTCCACCTGGAGACAACATGCGAGCCCTACCTATTAATGGACCCGTGTATACGACTACTAAGCCTGATTCAGAGCTTGCTTCAACCACCTGCACACAGTCGTTGACATACCGTATGATGGGGGCAAGAGCCCTCAATGTTGGGTTATCAATCATCCTTGACCTTGCTGTTCACGGCTGGGCCGGAGATTTAACATCATATTATTGCCCCTCTAAAAGGGCTGCTTTACGGATCCTTCATTTCTAGAGGATGGAACCTCTTCGTTTTTAGCTGGTGGTGAGCGTGAGGTGTTGGCGTTACTCGGCTTTCTCTTCATCTTTCTGTCAGCATTTCCGACGGACTTGGATCCCGAGGGTAGTGGTACAAGTCGTTGTTCATGACCACGCGGAGGAAGATGTTAAGCTGAGTATAGAGGCGGGTATCTGCTTCTCGTGGGTCTTCATTTCATTCTTGGATTTCTGAATGATTAGAAATCTTGATGTCTTTTGGAGGGAAAACGTAGGTTTGCCGAGTACTTTCTTATCACGGGATATAATTTGGAGGCGAGGTGGTTACTCAAGTCGACTCTTGTTAGTCACAAGTGGTCTACTGTTCTTAGTGTTTCATGTGCAGTGGAGAATATGCTTTATTGTGGAAACATCTATCTAGGTACAGTATACCTTTGGAAAGACCTTGTGCCGCGATTTCTAGAACAATCAAGCCAATCGTCCTAGGGCGAGTAGACCGATTAGTGACTTCTGGGAACGAGATGAGATTGTTGTTGGAGGATACGAAACTTGCATGGGGCGTTAAGCACCTAAAAACACAACATTTGCAGAACTTATTCTGCCCTACCAAAGATTGTAAATGCCAGTGAAAATTGATACGCTATTCAATTTTGATCCTCCACATCGGAAATGATACGGAGTCAAGCATTTCGCACATCTAATAACCACTCTCAGCTCAGTCCAGCTCTAAATACCATCTCAACCTACAATCAAAGAAGGAAGGTCCTTGAATTCGGAAGAAACAACTACCTAGGATCTGCAGGAGGCTAGGCCAGTATACACCCCCTTCATTACAACACCCATTTCCCAACAATAATGACACAGGGAAGCCACAGTACCTCCCAGTATGAAGTCTGCAAATGGTGGCTGCCTCATCTGCACCACATCGGTGATGGGATGGGGTGGCTTGGTGGGCCTTTCAGCCTTACAAGAACGTTACAACGACACCCATGAGCAACACGCAAGGGTGCGGATTATTGGTTGGTTTAGACGCTTGGCATGGTTTGTTTTACGGGAGGGGAATGTGGACTGGTGGGTGTACGGGAGGGTAAGATGGTGGCTGGCTATGATGGAAGGTGTGCGAGGAGTGTTGTATTTGGGAAGTCACTTGGAGGGATGGCTGAGTGTGTATGTCAGTACTTGGGTGCTATTCTCGAAGGAAGAGAGGAGATGGAAGGATTGATCCGATGCTGTTGGAGATGGAGAATCAGATCTTCTCCAAGATATTGTAGATAGATGAATATCGCCGATATGCTGTCAGATTTGTTGTGCCTCTGGGTCTGATATGGGGGGACTGTTATTCCCGTTCTCGCAACGAGGGGAGGGAAGGGCAAAGCAGAAGATAGTTCTCGAATTGTCTTCATTTCTAGACAGTTAATGGTTAGTGTAGTGTCCTAAAATTCATGAAATCTGTTGGGCCAAATCCTTTCTGGGTTGTTCTGGAAGAGTATTAATATTGGAAGTCGCACCTTCAACTTGATGCCCCGGGGAGGGTGCCAACAACACCCCGGAAGGTACTCGAGTATCCATATTCTTGGTATCAAGTTTGTCATCTGCACTATGAACGGTGGTTACCTTATTAATCCGTCCATGTACAAGGATAGGTAAAGTCAACGAAAGAATTCTTGTCATAATCTGTGTAACTCCCTGGAAATGGCACTATCTTAGAACCACAAACAGATTTTGATCATTCATACAAACGCTTAGGGTAATTGAATTTACGCTCCTCTTTGAACCAAGTACCCTCCATTTCCAATCGAAACCCTCAGGTCTCAACGTGAACGAGCAACACACTTCCTCGGCCTCGGTGTCTGGGTTCAACTCAACAACACAGTAAGTATAGTTCAGAACAGATTTGATTTCGGAAGGGGAGGTGTCGGACGGTGATACTACGCTGGTGCAGTTCCAGGTTGGCTCGGATGTGATGTTGGATACAGTCAGCAAGAATCGATGGTCCCCCGCATACCTACATGATTTGATGACTGCAGCTGGGAGGTGTGGAATCTGTGCTGTGTGCTGGGGTAGGGAACATGTGATTCTTTGTCGGGGATTTTGGTTTGTTCGGTCTTTTCTTTTTAAAAGAATCTTGTTGGATGGGGGGTGGAGATGGGTACTCGGTTGTGGATAGGGGGTGTGCTCTGTTTTGTGGGTGTCTTGAGTTAGTGTGGATGTTCTGGGTTGATGTTTTGGAGAGGCAAGGCTTTTGCTTTGAGACTGGGATGTTTGAATGGAATTGGGAAAGAGCTTGCTTGGTATCTGGTCATCCAAAAAGGAATCTATGAATATATTTCACTCTACTCGTATGTATGTCGTTCTATACAGCAAAAGATTCCACTTCTCATGTTTCAATCCTCTTGGCTTTTGCTGTACTCGTTTTACGTCGTATTATTTAGTTGCTCTGTTTTATATCATGTTCTCTTTACTCTCCCCGTGTACCTTTAGAACTCTAGAACTATAGAACTAAAAGAGTCCCTCTCGTCTAAATGAACAGAGAAATGGTACGTGTAGCCTCGCTTGAATCAAGCGAGCTGTTACATTACTATGAGCATATATTTAGCATTACTATCCGGGATATCTCTGAATGTTTAACTATGTTTAGAATAACGAAAATCTTATCTATCTTCAAAGCAGTTTTCATAACGACTCCAGATCATTTGAAGTAATAGACTTGAAATTTGGGGTGCCCGAATACACCTAATACTACTTCCAAGTTACTAGAAGCTAGGCTAAAGAGCTATAGAACACAGAGAGTTCTAGAGATATTTCAATTGATAATCCTTTTACTATCTCTGCGACCTCAAGCTCTTTGGGAATCCATGTCCTTTCGTATAGCGTCGTAGTGATGTTTGATAGTACACAGCAGTGTCCGTAAAGAACCAAAAGATCGGACTTCTTTTATAGGAAACTTCATGATATTCACATCCCTCATCAAAACCAAATCGGGCTGAAGCCTAAAGGTCTTTCCGAGTAGGCCCGCGGAAGAGATCCCCGGCTTCCGGATTTCGTTTCGTTAGAAATCTATGCGTTAAATCGAGAGTTACACAACCTAAAGGACTGACGCCCTGCCTGGCCTAGCTCTACTGTACTCCCTCGAGAGCCCTTAGTGGTTGCTGTTGTCTTGAAAACTCTGCTTGATGAACAAGAGTAAAGAAACTTGAGATATTTCTTATGGTATTCTATAGTGTGTATAGATTTCCTGCAAAAGATAGAGGATATACCAGACCCGATCAGATATATGAATGTAGGCAAGACTTATTGAGGTAGATCTTATTTCCCGTTCATTCTTACGACACGAGAAAGGGAGAGAAAAACTGTCTATCAGGCCCCTCTCATCACAGGATGAAATGCTTTCTTATAGAAATCAATTCAAATGAAGGCGCTCCTCGCTAGTGTTAAAAACTCTCAAACAGGAACCTCCCATTGCCTCCAGAAGCAAGTAACCCCTAACATCAACTCTTTCAACTCACCCACAACGGCTTCCGCTCAAGAGCCCCCCTTGCTTGCAAACGCGAGCCGAGCCGAATGATAGGCCCAATTTATCCATAACATGCCTCCACAACCTGCTCCACACACACCATCACCCCCCAAACTTCCACGTACACAGAATACAGTCAGCAAGTACGAAGGCATCAGAGCCTCCCATCCTTACCTTGATCTCTTCCCAATCTTTCTCACTCTCCAACATCTATCGCCGTACTTCACGTGTCCAATTCAATGTAAGCCTGGGAGCAAGACCCTCCCTATGTACAGCAAGACACATGAGCCTCATGGTGAGAAAGAGACTTCTGGATAAAGACCTTAATCAAGGGCGTGGAAACTTGCAACGCCACAAGTCTACTCCGCATTAGATCACGAGAACGAACCAGTTGAGAAAGTGGGTACGAGTAAGCACGAAATGGTGTCCGTATATGAGCGATGACTACGCAAATTTGGGTTCTCTGTCCCTGCCTTCACGAGGTTATATAGTACAAGAGGTTTGTGAATGGATGATTTACAAGACGTGAAGATCAGATTGAGAATCCTGTTTTCTTTCTTGGGCCAATGGGTGGATGATGTAGACGAGTTTCCTTCTCAAAACAAGGAGGATGTTGACACCCTCTCCTTGATGTATGCTGGACCTGTGAGCTTCAAAGACTTGCCTGTGGACGAACCCCTATAAAATTAGAACAAAGGGATTTCTGAGCAATCTTTCCACTTAATCAGCCTATTTCTGCTTAGCTAAGAGATAGCACGTACAGTTCCTTTACCAGGTTACCATTGTCATTGCCTCTCACGATCAGTTTCCCCATCTGGCTTACCTTACCCCCAAGTATGGTAACGTGAGACGAGACACTGAATGTAGAGGTATCATCATTGCCTGATGTTTGCCTTGCTATGCTTTTGGCTAACAGTATTGTGCTATAAAAGGTGTTACTCTACAATTCTTATCGCCTTATCACGAAGTTCGAAGCAAAAGGTTATCAATCTCTAACTCTTCCCAGCGTTCTGGTCGACATATTTCTCCTTCCCTTTTCCAGTATCAAAGCCTTCCATGACCATCACAGCAACCGGCACATCCACACCTCCTTCCACCTTCCATAATCCCCCAAGATAACCATCACTAACAACCCAAACATCTAATTTTCTCATTTTCTCCCCTGTTCCCCCTACATTTTCTGGTTCGGGAATCTTCAGCGTGGCTTTCGAACTAAGCCCTTTCCCCCTTGTTCCTGCACCACCACCATTAGTAGCATGCCAGCCGACTCTTTTGATAGCCACAATCTCATCCTTACCCTCCTCACAGAGAATGACAAAATACCCCTCCGTTTGAGATTTGGGGAATCGAGGTGCATACATCTTCCCGTCTTTATCTGTGAGTGGATTCACGCGATCTATCACAACCGTGAGTTCCGTTGGCTTGACATCTCTGACTCCAATCTTCAAGAGAGGAATTTGGGTGGCTGCTTTGTTGAATCTTGGGATTTGCCCGGAAGAAACGCCAAGAAGTCGAATCGAAGATTGGTATTCAACCTCAGACTGCGCCGCGAAATCTTGTAACGATTTTGGCAACTTGTCGAGATTAGAAGGAGTGGTGGAGACACCAGGAAGGATAGAAAGAGGATAGTCTGTAGGCCAACGCGCACTTTTGATGCATTGAAGGAGAGTTATCATTTGGGTACAACTCGAGAGATATCCCAGTTCGGTAAGGACATCAATGCTAGCCTGGATGATACGGATAGCTTGGTCAAGAACGCTCGTTTGATCGCCCACGTAATCCGTGATGGGAAGATCAATACGTGACATGTGTGCTTGGAGAAGCAAGAACGCTTTCACGTGGGGATCCCACATGGGCAGACCGTCGAAGGAAGATGCTGGTATGGGTAGATTCTTTGATAGTTCGGCGTTGATGAGGTCTTCATTATGGCGAACTGGGAGCTCGTCGTACTCTATGGCGCTAGACATCCAGAAGAGTACATCGGCAAATGTGGCATTGCGGACGGCGTGTTTTACCAAGTGGCGAATAGTTTTGTGAGAGAGGTAATAGTAACTCATAATCTTTCCCATTGCTGTGGAGTCAACGTTTCCGTTCGGTTCAGTGGACAAACATTGAGATTCGGCGAGTTCGTTCAGTGATTTGTCAACCATCTCGATCATGTATTCATTTGCCATTTGTTGAGCAGCAATGGTATTATGTTCCTCGGCTGAGATCTCAAGCCCATAATACGACGGATTTTTGTGAAGACGGCGGAAGAAGAATGTCCAAGTCAGGTAGTCTAGCGCATCCTGTTTAGTCGTAATTGTTTCCGCGGACACTTCTGCACCGAGATGGTTATCGAGGACATTATGTAGTGACGACTCAACCGGAAAACCAGTGTGGAGGAAGTGTTTGTAGAACGCCTTTTTAGAGTCCTGAGTGAGTATTCTTGCAATACCAGATGTGTCAAACTGTGGACGGCCAGCACGACCAAGCATTTGGAGAACATCTGTAAGATCCATGTCTTTATATCCTTCGATCTTGGCATCAAAGTATTGTGTTCCCTTGACAACCACCAGATGCGCTGGTAAATTGACACCCCAAGCAAGCGTACTTGTAGCAACAAGGATCTGAATTTTGTTGTTTGCAAACAATTCTTCCGACAACGAACGATCAGATTCAACGAGACCTGCATGATGAAGGCCAATACCGAAACTCAGCGCCTCCTTCAAGGCATCATCCTTGACTCGAGAAAGATTCAGTTGCAAATCTTCTTCGGACATCTTGACGAAACGTCGTGGATTGTCCTCCATGCCACAGAAATTGATCAAATCTTTAGCCGTCAATCGAGTTTGTCGACGAGAGGCGACGAATACGATTACCGGCTTTTCAGGACTGTGCGTTTTGATAGCTAGAAAGGTCGGCCGATTCATGGACTGCATCAAGGGACAGAACCCTCGTACTTCGGGAAAGCCATCAATGAAAGTCTCCAAAGGAACAGGACGAACACTATGTCGGAAATTGAAGAATCCCTCTTTGACTCCAAGCCAATTTCCCAGATCCATAGCATTTGCGCAAGCGGTTGACATACCCATGAGACGTACAGAGTTCTTGGATTGCGCAGCAATATAATTCATGCGAGAAACAATGATCTCGAGAATTGGGCCTCGGTCGCCGCCAAGAAGGTGGATTTCATCAATGATAACCAAACTAACCTGCTTCACGTAGTTTCTTGATTGCCAACCTCTAGAGATACCATCCCATTTTTCAGGAGTAGTAACAATGATATCCGCGTCCCGAATAGTCCGAGTATCAGGTGTGTTATCACCAGTCAACTCTACCAACTTCAACCCCATCTGTCGAGTGATTCGCGCACTCCAATCCTTGACACGCTCCCGAACGAGCGCCTTCATGGGAGCGATATAAACAACTTTTGACCCAGGTTTCTCTCTGAATGCCCACCACATTGCTAATTCGCAAGCAATTGTCTTTCCGGATCCTGTGGGAGAACCGAGGAATATATTCGCGGGTGAATGATAAAGGCAGTGGAAAAGTTGGGTTTGCATCGGATTGAAATACTGAAATCTCTTGCCATATATTTCCTCTAATCCGGGGTTCTTAAGAGCACTAATCGGCAGCGGTTGTAGGTTCAATAGATCGGTGTATACGCTTTCTGTGTCTGGCCTGATCAGGTGCTGGAATGAGACAGCGTGTACTGTTTCAGCACCGAGCCAGCGATCAGAAACAGCTCTGACATATATCTGAGTTGGCAAAGGATCCGATAGTGGAATTGTAAAGTTGAGCTCATGGTCGTCATACAACTTTCTGCGACTGAGAATGAAAAACTCATGGTGGTATATCTCCGAGGTCTCGGAATTTTCAACCCAAATCCAGTAACTCTCAGAAGTACCATGGTGACGGTCATTCCAACGGAAGTCTGGTGTCAGATAAAGCTTGATTCTGAGTACGTCTCGATTTAAAGGGGCAATCTCCGACTCTATGCTGATCGTGGGAAAGTTGTCAAGGATTTTTGAGATCGTCTTTCCAGCTGCAAAATTGTGTACCAAGGAGCCGATTTCAGCAGGTTCCATATCTCTCAGGGTCTCGATGGATACCCCATCTCTCGATTCCAGTTGATTGATTACTGGTTTTGGGAGCTCAAATTGTACCAGAGGATGCTGGAACGCCCAATGTCTTTTTTCAATGGACTTACACATCGTGAGCAAGACGAGACATTGGTGCCCCCACCGGCGGTTCAAGGCAATCATAAAGAGTGCTCTGCAAATTCTGGCGGATTGTTGTGCAATATAATTGCAATCATTGGATAGGGCGAAATCCTCAACATGAGCTCGAGAAATGTAGGATTGGAGGAGGATATTCGTTTTTGCTTGCGGGGAGTCGCTGCCTCCATCCACGTCACAAGGAGACTGCTCTTCTTTCAGTTTGGTGAGCTCCTTTGATTCATTATCTCTAGACTGAACATTGTCAAATTCTCCACTCATCGCAAGCATTTTCAAAACATCTGCTTCGGTTGCCTGCGGACTCATCATAGTATTGAAGATCGCAATACTTGTATGGAGAATGTAGTACTGGCTCGCAATTCTACCGACATCCTTACTTCGGAGCTCTTCCGTGATTTCGTTGAAAATGATCATTTGATTTTGCTGCAAAGTCCTTGCCGCCTGAATAATCAGCAAGCGTCGCCGTTGCACGAGTTCTGGGTCGTCTCGTTGTTCGGCCCGGTCGATCCCATATGTCAAGGGATTTCGCTGCATACGAACGAAGAGGAAAGAGTATCCTAGCCATGTTACTGCTTCTGGAACAGAAGCGACAGTTCCCAATCCAATTTCGGCATTCAGATTTTCAACTAAGTGTTTTGAGAATTTTGATTCAATCGGCACTTGGGCGGTGACAGCTGTAAGATAATGCTGGAGTTTATCTTGGGTGGTACATATCATTCCAATACCAGTATCTTCGAATTGAGGTCGACCAGCACGACCGAAGATCTGAAGGACATCCAAAATCCCAAGGTCGATAAATTTTCCGTCTTGAGCACTATACACCTGAGTGCCTTTGATAATAACAGCTGCAGCTGGCAAGTTGACACCCCAGGCCAGCGTTGCGGTACAGCAGAGTATTTTCAGAACACCATTGCCAAAGAGCTTCTCCATTAAATTCCTATCTGAACGAGCCATGCCAGCATGATGAATACCCATACCTTTCGGCAGTAGCTCTCGAAGCTCTCGCCCCTTTGAGCTCTTCAGATCCGATACAGCTGATTCGTACAAAGGATGTCCGCTGGGATCAAATAGATCAACACAGACCTGGTCAATAGCTTTCTCGTACAGCATTTTCGCTGTATTTTGCGTATCTTTTCTTGAGTGGACGAATACCATAATTTGGTGTCCTTGTTCAAGCATCTCTCTGACTTTCTCGAATGCAGTGGTATCAATGTTGTCTCGTGAGGTTCTAGTTCCTGCCTTGCCTTTGACTCCAATAAAATGTTGCTCCAAAGGAACCGGTCTGAAACTGGCATCGAAGTAAAATAAGCCAGCATGTCGATTGACTTTGAGAAAATCAGCAACATCGATGTAGTTGGGAAGCGTAGCAGATAGGCCGACGATGCGAATGAGTGATTGTGTGCTCTCAACTTGACGTTCCGTTCGTGCCACAAGAGATTCAAGGACCGCTCCACGATCATCATGAAGCATGTGAACTTCATCGATGATAAGCAAACGGACCTTTTGAACAAGCTCAGTGTCCCCGGTTCCTTTTCTAGTGACGACGTCCCATTTTTCGGGTGTAGTGACGATTATTTGCGTCTGAACAATCTCCTTTTTGGTTAGATGCATGTCACCAGTAAGTTCTCGAACTTGTATACTAAGCCACGCAAGACGTTTTCCAAGTTTCTCAGTAATTTCAGCAGCGAGAGCCTTCATTGGCGCGATGTAAACAATCTTGAAATCCTCAGTATTGACAACAAAATCAGAAGCTTCTGGCTTCTCTGCTGGATTCGGAGATATATTTTGGCCAATAGCATGTAGAACGGTGAGCATCGCCGCATCAGTTTTACCCTATAGTCATTAGAAACCGGAAGCGTCCGGGAGCGTCAAACTTACAGCACCAGTGGGAGCACAAATCAGCATATTCTCACTCGTTTGATAAGCCACTGGGTAGACCAGACTTTGCATGCGATTTAGAGTTTTGTAACCCTTGAATGTCCTCCGACAAAGTCCATCCATTTCAGAGATATTGACAAGCTTTCGACCAACACCAAGAGTCCCAACTTTTGCAGCTGGAATGTTGTATTCTTCATACCTCTGTATACAATTAGTACCAGAATAGTCTTCCAGAAGGAAGCGTACGTACGGCGTGTTCCTTCCTTTCGCTCCCAAGTGGTAAGCCATATTTCCTTCCTCTGTTATCTAACAGATTTCCAGTATTTACAGACTTATAAACGTGTGGGTATTGGGGACCATCTCGATCCAAACTGGGGCCTAGGGTAGCATTTTTATGCTCATAATCTCTCTTTCGCAATGCCTCCTCTCTTTGTCTCTTCGTTTGTAATTTTCCGAAGATACTATCATCTTGATCCACTGAAAATGGGGATGGAGCTGTGATTTCTTTGCGATGAGAAATAAGATCAATCACGAAATCCAAGTCATCGAAACCAATGATATCTGTTAGGGTGGATTGGAGTTCTTCATCCACGCTATCAGAGCCTAGAAGTGCCATGATCTGCTCTTGCAGGTCTTCTCCACGGAGGCCTTGTTTTCGAGATGCATACATGAGGCACTTGCTTTTCAGCCATTGAGGGCCATATCCAGAGGACGCACTTGGTGGCGCGTCTTTGTTTACATTATTGTCGCTGCTACTGTAGAAATCTTCCTCGTCGCCATCGCTGATAAAATCCCATACATCATCACCGCTATTTCCAGGCGAAAATTTGTCGTCGTCTTCAAAGGAGACATCGGATTCATAAAGGACGTCTGCGCTTGCTGGGGGAAGTTTGAGTTCAGCTAGAGCGGCGCGCATTTCTGCGAGCTGGGCCTTCCATTGTGCCTCCAGACCTGCCGCTGATGGGCCCGACATGATGTGTCGTTGGAATCTAAACGACTGCGTAACAAGTTTTCGTTTGTGAAAGGGCGAGAGAGAGCTTAATGGTACTATTTCAGAGAGAACGTGGTGCTCAAGTTGAAAATGGGCTTGGCAAAAATAGCGGTGGCGCGCAAACAAGGTGACTCAAGCGGCGAAGGGCATGATAGATTGCATCCATCTTCACCTTAACTTGCTTAGCAAATTATCACACTCGATACCCATCGTCTTTCCAAATACCCAAATAAGGCACATTCACTCAGCCATAGGTAGTCGACCAGAGGTGATGTGTCACGTGACCCAATAATAGATTCCTGCAGGTACAGGTGGTCATTTCTGGTTCTTGTCATCCTATAGTCCTTCAACTTCTTAATATAAACCACACAATATCACGTTCAGTTCAGTTCTCACAAGATTATAATGGCATAACACTATCTAACGCTAATCTAGCTATAATACAAGCCTATTATAGGTTATTGTGCTACAGAAAAACCTGGATATAAGGATATTCGCGGGGGCAAGTTTCGTAAGGATATAACGGAGGTTATCCTTATAGCGAGGGTCTTAGTATATATACCAAAAGAAATTGGGACCCAAAATTTAAGGATATAAACGAGGTTAACCTTATATCCAGTATCCTTATAGCCAGGTTTTTCTGTACGCTTATATAGAACAATGAACCTTTCTTCTAGGATGACTTGAAGCAACAAACAGAGATCAGAGTCATCTGCATTCACAGCCTAGCTCGACTCATATAAGAGTACCGATGCTTTGCTAGGGCTACCATGATCCTGTAAGTCGTAATGCACAGGCGTCTACCGAGTACCAATAAGACATAGAAAAGTACAAGTACTACTCATTATGTATTGACACAGGAGCAAATTATCGGGTATACAAGCTTGTAGCAGACGAATTAGCGAATGAACAGGAGACTGAATCGATCCTTTGGTATAGTGTACAGGCACGGCAACCATTTACTGACATGTTATATTGCTAAAGGAGGGATATCCGATTCGAAACAACTCCGTTAACGCTTGGTGTGTATGCTTAATACTTCGTCTGGTACGCGTAGAGTTGTGGGAAAAGCACTCGGTACATCGAACCAGACGGCAGAATGAGAAGTCAGAACGCATACAAGCAAAATTCAAAGCTACCAGTATTGAGTCCAAATTAGACCTGATTTCGAGCCAAAAGAAAAAAGCAGAATACAAGTATCGATTTTGAATTCTAATCCGCTCTTGGAACATTGTTACAACCTACTTCAAAGGACAACTGTACGGAGCAAATACAGTAACAAGTCTCCATACACAGAAACTTATAAGAGTGACATCGAAATTGGAAAGTGCTTGCTATTGCCAAGTAAGACACAGACTACATAACGGCTAGGGCGAGGCAATTCAATGATTGGGAATCCGCTGGAGTCTTGGACATGCTGAGTGGTCCGCGCTACTGTATGTAGCAATTTCATCCGGGATTTGTCTCGCCAAGTCGTTGATCGTGAAGCTTTTTTTCAACTTCTACTTCTTCGAGTCAGGAAGGAACCACCATACAGAAAAACCACGATACTAGGATACGCGCTATAAGAATAACCTCGGTTACATCCTTACGAATACTAGCAAAACCCATATCCTAATATCAAGGTTTTTCTGCATAAATTCTCGAACCTTTCAACAAAACAATGTGATCTTGAGGTAGGGCACCCCCGGCCTGACCTCCAGACCTGGGGAACCTTGGAAGCTGGCCAGGGGAGCAGTGGAATTAAAGTAGCATACGCTCCGACGCAAAGGTGTTGAACGACACTAGTATTCTTCAAAGTAAAATAATATAACAATTGGAGTTCAAATAACATAGCCTTCACCCTATCGTAAGTAGAAATTGAGTTAGTTCCACATGGGTAGGTATCGCCAGGATCCATATCTAGGTATCCTGTTTCTATCGATTAAACATCGACGTTGCAAGCAATACCTACTTGAGTGAGAACTAATTATTAATTTCACCATCCGCTGCCACGAAATGAACTGCTAGCCCGAATGAAGTCCGACAGCCCCCTTGGCGAGCCGCAGACCTAGCCCGCGGCTCGCTCTACATATCAACTTCTTCAAGAACACCCCGAGAATCCCTGGTTGAGCTAGAGCAGGTTGATAGTGCGAAGTTGGTGTCGGTACCGTTATCGTCTTTAGTTGAACGGAACGTGCCACTTTCGGGGGCCTTATCAATTCGCAATTGCCTTTCTGTGTGTAGCCAAGCAAAGTGGTGAGAAAAAATGCTTGTTATTCGCAGAGACGAATGGCCCAGACCTACGATGTTGGTCATTTTCTCGTAATAACGCGTTTCCGGCAACCGTAAATCCTGGCCGACTGAATGACCTATGGCATTCGAATCGTCTCAACTAACTCCACTTCGGATACGGTACACGGGAGAAGCGTCCCGCCCAGTGTTTCTCAAAGATGCCATAGACGTCCTTGCTGACCGCATTGTTTCTTATCGTCGAGGATATCCGCTCCCTTTGCTTGATTTCTTCTCGCGGAAGATTTTTCTATTTTGATGGACGGTACTTCTATTTTTGCATGGAGGTTTCACACCTCGGCTCCCTTTTCACATAATCTTGAGCTCTCATAATTTATGCCAACCTTTTGCTCCAGTCTTGGAGCTTGGCCCCCACTTGGCACCATTGACTTGAGGTCTACCAAGACTTCATGTCTGCCAGTTAGATCTTGCATGCATATCTACTCAGGTCCAGGGTCTAAAGCAGTCTTTTGGCCATCCTACTCGTCTATTTCGGACCTTCTAGTTTTATCCGCTGTTAAACTTACTTCGCAAATTGACTGTACTCATGACGCATATTCTGGAAATCGCTTGTGATTGGTTCGCTTCATGTTACCAACGTGCTTTGCTGCGTCCCACACACTAAGTGGACAAAATAACCAGGAGTTTTTAGGTCGATGCACTATTATCGCTTTTCTAGAGAAATCCTGTTGTACTTATTTTCATAGCACTTTCGATGATAGGGCAAAAAGCACAGACAAAAACTGCGGTTTATTTGTCCACCTGGTGCCACTGCGTCGACCTTTTGGCTCCATATCACACGATAAAGTCTCTTCGTATATATCGTCGGAGCTTTACTTCGGAGCTTGTTTGGCTTCCCTACTGTATCGGGGAGGAGATAACCGAAGCCAAGTACACTGCAACATACCCTGCAATCATAATTTAGGGTTACCAAGAGCTGCACAAGTAGGCTTCGCACGGGATCAAAATTCTTATATATGATGGGGGCTCCCTATGTGAATGTATAACCAGGTACTATCAGTTTTCATTGCTTCTCATCGCCGCCAAAATGAACGCTGCCAGTGATCTCGATACTGTCGACATTGGCAAGGCCCAAGTCGCCAAGGATACTACCACCATCAGCTCTCCAAGTCCCAGTTTCTCAGATGATGAGAATGACCGCCCTACTGAGGAGGAGTTGGCCACTCTTCGCAGAGTGTCAGGTCAGATTCCTTGGGCTGCCTACACGATTGCCTTTGTAGAATTGTGCGAGCGATTTTCATACTATGGTACAACCGCAGTTTGTAAGTTTTTTGGCTATGTTGTTAGAAGAGCCGTAAATTTAACATACTACAGTTGTCAATTTTATTCAGCGCGACATGCCAGCGGGTTCAAATACGGGGGCTGGATTTTCAGGTCAATCTGGAGCACTTGGTATGGGACAACGTGCATCTACTGGTAAGTGAAAATAAGCGAAGATCCTTCCTCTCTCCCAACTAACTTCTCTCTCTTTCTTAGGTCTGACGACGTTCAATGCCTTCTGGAACTATTGTGTAAGTTTCGCCTTTATTTCTGTTTTTTTATTCTTTTAGCCCTCACCCCCACCCTCTTCCAAACCCCCCAACTAACATTTCCAGATGCCATTGTTAGGTGCCTATGTTGCAGATACATACTGGGGTAGATTCAAAACAATTCAGGTGGCTTGCGCTGTGGCTATTTTTGGTCACATCATTCTCATCATTTCAGCAATTCCTCCTGTTATTGTTCATCCAAATCGTGCCATCGCCTGTTTCTCTATTGGTATCATTATTATGGGAGTAGGTGTTGGTGGTTTTAAATCGAATATCTCACCTCTCATTGCAGAACAATGTGAGTTTAACGCAATAGGTACTTGAGAACAATTTGCTGACATACGATCCCAAGGTACTGAGAATGTCATGCGTGTCAAGACTCTCAAGAGTGGCGAACGAGTCATCATGGATCCTACGGTTACCATTTCACGCGTATACTTATATTTCTACCTCATGATCAACGTTGGTTCATTGGTTGGTTCTATTTCAATGGTTTATGCTGAGAAATATGTTGGTTTCTGGCTGTCTTTTTTGTTGCCAACATTTATGCTTTGTAAGTTTGAGTATACTTGCAAACATTGTTCTGTTATTGACCATGCACAGGTCTTTGCCCAACAATCACTTATCTCTGCAGGAACAAATACGTTCTATACAAACCCCAAGGTTCAGTTATCACAAAAGCATACCAACTATGGTCCCATGCCCTCAGCCAACACTGGTCATGGAATCCATTTACTCTCAGAAAGAACGTCCAAAAGCCAGGATTTTGGGACGGCTCCATGCCCTCAAAACTTGGTGATAACAAACCGGCCTGGATGACCTTTGACGACGCCTGGGTTGGCGAAGTCCGCCGTGGTCTTATAGCTTGTAGAGTGTTCCTCTGGTATCCTCTCTACTGGCTAGCCTACGGACAGATGACCAACAATCTCACCTCGCAAGCTGCAACCATGCGTCTTCAAGGAGTCCCTAACGATATTGTTAACAACCTCAATCCTATCTTCATCGTTGTTTTGATCCCAGTTATGGATAGACTGGTATACCCTGCCCTCCGAAAAGCACATATCAACCTCACCCCAATCAAGAAAATTACAATGGGCTTCTTTTTAGCTAGTGCCGCAATGATAAGTGCCTGTGTCACCCAGTACTTCATCTACAAGCTCCACCCCTGCGGAACCAGTCCCAATGAGTGTGATATTGAGGGCGCAGAGGCTCCCATGACTGTTTGGTAAGTTCTCCCAACCCATACCATACGGGATTCAATCTAACTTATGGCGCAGGATTCAGGTTGTCCCATATGGACTCATCGGAGTTTCCGAGATCATGGCGTCCATTACCTCCCTCGAATATGCATACACCAAAGCTCCAGCAAACATGAGATCTAGTATTCAAGCCTTCTCTCTATTCATGAATGCCATCTCTTCCGCACTCTCTCAAGCTCTCGTCGCCCTTGCCGAAGATCCATTATTAGTTTGGAATTACGGGGTGGTGGCTGTGATTGCTGCTATTGGAGGTATTCTCTTTTATGTCGATAACATGAAGATTGACAAAGAAGAGGACGCTCTTAACCAACTGGGCCCTGCCAAGTTTGACGGAGAGTTCGTTCAGGAAGTTAACCGCAAAACTCATGACCCAGAGAGCGTTGTTACAGCTCCAGTAGTAGAGAAGAGCGAGGTTTCCGAGAAGTCGTAGAAATTTATTATAATAGAGCAAGAATATTATGATGATAGACACTAATGAGTAGAGGAATTTATGGCAATTTATGTCATGAATCCCCACGGCCTAATAAAATATATTTTAATGTTGATGAAACCTCTTGCATTTTATGGTGTCTGTGGTATCTAGGAGTGCGTCTTCTCTAGCCCTTTGCGCTCAAAGGCAAACAAACTTACCAGTAATTTCAAGCAATCTCCCATACCCCGGTGTCTTATAATACCTCAACGCCAACAGATTTATCGAACTTCACACAGAAGAAGTAACCCCCACCACTGCCCGAGTCTCGGTAAGATACAACTCAATCTTCTCCCCTCGTCATATCTAGCTGGCTACCTTCCAACAAGGCAACAGAGAAACAAAGCAGCCGCCGCAAAAAGAAAACTAATCCATCCCCAATCCAATTGTTCGAATGTATATAGCACCTCACTCAAGAAGAAGGCTCATTTGTGCTCTTGTCTTGCTTACTTAACAAGTCATCCCTGGGGAAAACCTGAAAGTCAGCATCACCATTTGTAAAGAAAGGGAGAACCCCGCTAGCCACTTACCAAGTTGACAATCTATCTTCTCTTTTATTCATTCTCAAAGCCTTCTTTACTGCAAGTGTCTTTCCGTCCTTCTTGTGATCAACCTTGATGCCCAGAGCCGACGAAATCATTTGGCGAGCAACAAAGTCGGTCTTTTCTGGTCTGGTTGAGCCCGTGTGGTGGTCTGTTTCAGCTTTTGGGTGACCAGGTCCGCTCGTTCTTTTGACGCTTGGTGAGGCTTGCGTTGCATAGATCTCTGCGCCGATTCCAGTCTTCTCAGGGTTTACCTCTGCCTCTTTAGCATTTTGTGAACGTACTCCACCAGCCATCTCTGGCTTAGTAGGAGCTAATGGGGAGAGAGGAAGTCCGATTTGAGGGGTCGAGGGGCTTGGGGTTTCTGTTTTGGTCCCTGAAGGACCGTCTTCAGGTTCGTGGTGTTCGGAAAGCTGGCCTTGGGCTGCGCGCATACGATATCTGGACCCTGGTGCCATAGTTGAGCTTGTCTTGGATCAGGTGAGAGGGAGTGTTGGCACGTTGGTGGGGTGGTGATTGGAAGAGGAAGCAGCAGCACTGAACGAAGGATAAGAACTGGTTCAAAAAAGGTTCAACACCTGTCTAAATTTTGTGGTGCGAAGTTGACGCGTCTTCTCTATTGTTCCAATCGGTCTCAATCGGCTTGAATGGGCTACCTAGTGCCCGGTTTATAGCCGACAAAAAGTAGTAAGAGCTTATTCACTACCAGGTGTATTCCAGCTATTCTTTTTGTCTAAGAACATAATCGTAGTATTTATCTACTAAATAGATAAGCTTCTACTGAATTATTAATAATTAGATTATCTAATAACAAGATATTATAGTTATCTAACTTCTAATATAGATATATTGATTAAGGTGTTTTTCTTTTACCTATTTAGGTAGTTGTAACTTGAAGTTTAGCGAAATAAAACATACACGTGCTTTTTTCTTAACTTATCTACTCTTACTCGAGCAAGTGAATAATGGAAAAAAACGATTCTAATTAACCCTTTTATTCTTAACACCTGACTTTAGTCTTAGGATAAAACATTCTAAAATATATTAAATAACTAAATCTAGTAAGTAATAGTAGAATAGAATAAAAAGTAATTTAAGTTAGTTAACTTAAAAATAATATCATTATTTATTTCTTACTATTTGATTATTCGAGACATTTCTAATAAGTAAAATAAGTAATTCGAATTTAGATAATATTGAAAGTAGCTAATATAAAAGTTTAATAGAATATTTACGTAACTTTATAACAAGTATTAAGTGATTTTTAGCTATTTTAAACAGGTAAAAATAGTAATAAAAAACTCGGGAACAAATGAATTGGTTTGCCTAATGTATAAGCGCTACTTAATACAAAGCTATATAATTCTAAGTATTTTGAATAACTAGAAGTACCTATTAGATAATATTTTGATTACAAGCTTTGTCAGATATCCCTTCCAGACTCCGTATGTCCAAAAAAAAAACGTGCACTCAAAGTGGATGCGATAACTGGGTCGAATAGAGGCTTAAGTACTTAGAGCTGTAACCTAGTTAGCTAAAGGGCTTTGTTTTATAGGGAAAATGTTAGGAAAGTGGACACTTCTACTCCACTTTAAGTGCACGTTTTTTTTGGACATGTAGAGTCTGGAAGGGATACTAATTCTTTTACACGTAATCCAAAGCCCTATCTAGATTTAACTTTGTTATTAATCAATGCAAACTGTTAAACTTAGTAAGAAATCTAAATCCTTAGTGTCGACTAGTTTCAAAGCAAACAATTAATTTATAGTATCCCCTATACGAGATAAAAGCTTAGTGGCTTGAGCCTTTTCGCAATATCTTTAGTTGATTAATCCATCCTCTATAGCTACTACCATGCGAATACAGTACTCCCCACTTTCCACTCACCACCTCGTTACAACAATTTTGTACCACCCACTTCTACCCCCGCTCCCGCTACTCCGATTATACTGCTATATAAGATACCACTAGTATAAATCAGTACGTGTACAGTACTAACTAAAAGTGGGCAATGATAGTAATAGTGGGTCTTATTTGGTTGCATCTCAATCAGATGCCAGTAGAAGCAAATGGCAGTCCACCTAGAGCCTAGGTATTTGTATACTAGTATGTAGCTCTTTGTTAGAAGACGAGAGTAAAATGTGAGAATAAAATAAGAATAAAGGGAGAAGCTAGATAGAGACGAGCGGAGCTCTAATATATATATTGTCTGGTGTGAGAGGCCAGACCTCGAATAGCTCAAAGGTGTGGTTTCGAATATTCAATTAAGAAGTGCGTGAAGACTACATACATGCAATCTCTTCCTCTATATATAGAGAGAGGAAGAGTTTCTGGAGTCTTCTAAGAAACTGTTTGACAAATACGTGACGTCAAAAGAATAGAGTAGAAAAGTGTAGAAAAGGAGAAACCAATTTAGCAGTGGAGCAATAGCCAATGCTGAGCGGGGACTTTGGTCAGTGCTTAGCGAGGGCATGGCCCGAGCCTCCATCATGGGTTCCAACCCTCACATCTGGCCGGCTAGAAGCCTCCGGAATATGACTAGCGCCTTCTATATAGAAAACATGCTAGTACTAGACAGTGAAGCCGAGTGTACTTGTGCCATGCCACAAGCGCTCGTGCTCTAATAATTGCCGCCGCGAAATTGAAAGACGATGCCCAAGCGTCACTTATCCCTCGGTGGATGAGACTCTTTACAAGTGCTCATCCGATCCAAATATAAGTCCAAAAGAGTGTTCAGAACGGTCTCAATTCAATGTACCGGCATTCATGCATGAGTATCCGTACTAAATCCAAAGAAACGTGATGTATCCTGTCCTAAACAGATACAAAGTCGGGGCTGCT